AACGAACGTTGAGGGTGAAGTAGTTACAGGGATTAACACCTTCGTATCTTTAATATCTTTGTTTAGGGAGAGAAAAGATTTCATAGTTTAATATTAAATATAAAGAAAGTCATATTAAACATGTTATATATATTTGAAAAGTGAGAAGTTATAATACAATTGAAGTACAATACTCAGAACTTCTGTATCTCAGAATAGAAGTGACAAAAAAAGTACAAAAACGAGCGTCACACCTTATATGAAAGTCATTGCTTTATTGTATTTGGGTCGGGTTAATAAAAAAATGACTTGAACATGGAAATGTAAGGGAACCAACCCTTGGTTTAAGCCCCGTTCCTCAAGCCCACGTGTGTCACCAAGCCCGGCCTCTTTTCAAAATTTGCTTTCGGTCAGTGCCGTGCCTAATATAAGTGAGAACTCTATCAGGCCTACTGGATAGGGCTTGGCTAGGCCTACTGGATTAGGGCTTGAATAGACTTTCTCTCTGTGACATCTGTAATTTTTCAAGAAAGACCTAATTTTGAAGCCCTTAACAAAAAACTTCATTTTTCTCTACCACCTCTTATTTTAAAGCCAAGTTACCCAAGACAAGAATGTTGCTACAAGTTTTTCTAAGTAGTAAAAGTAAAAAAAAATTTGATCTACAGCTAACTGTGCACCCATATTCCAAATCTTTTCCAGCTACCGGTGCCCCTCTTGTTGATTTTTTTGGATAGACTATGAGGGTCCGCTCACACACCCTCCCCCCCCTCCACTCCCTAGCCAAGTCCCTGGCCTCAGCTATGAAAGTAACCAACTAAAGCTTTTTAAAATACAACACTATTAATATACTTTTTAGAGGCCAAGTAAAACTATTTAAAAAATTTTGAAATATTCCTGTAAATCAAAATTTTAATGTACTACTATATATAAGAACATAACGTCAACAAAATGAAAGACTTCACATTATTTACAACTCACTAATTATTTATGTAAGACTTCTAACGCTGAGAAATTTGCACGAAATGTATTTAAAACGTACTTTCGTATAATATTAGAAAACAATATACTGTAAGCAAGGCTATTTTAGGCTGAGAATTTAACTTACAGTACCAAAAAAAGACATTTTTTCAAAAAAATGTTTTTTAAAAAATCACAGATTTTAAAAAGAAAAAAACGATAAAAACTAGTTGCAACACGAGTTTAAGCCCAAGAATAGCCGGCTTTAGGACAGCGTGCAACGGATAATCGGCTGAATGATGTTACTTTTCTTGAAAAAACTGTAAAATTAAAAATATAAAAATAACTTTCAATACATTTAATAAGTAGCATTTATCTCAATCATAGTAATTGGGATGGCTAAAAAATCTACAAAATTTTTTTGGATTAACAAATGTTTTGATTTTTTGCCTTAAGCCTATTTATGACTCTACCATACACTAATCCACCCTACCCTACCCTATCCTACCACACCCTACCATACCACATCTTATTTTATCCTACCCTACCCGACCCTATCATCTAATCAATAATTTTACACCTCCCAACACTTTTTTTTGCTCCCAAAATTTCACACTGCTCAAAATTTTCTTCTTCAAGAAATCTTGCGTTTTACCATTCCCTACCCTTCCCTACAACAGCCCTACCATATGTATCAAGAGCCCTACCATATGTATCGATAAAAAAATTAAACTCATTAATTTCTACAAAACAGCGTGCAAATACCACGAGAATTAGCATAGGAAGTGTGAAAATGTCCAGAAAATGTAAATATGTTGTTAAAGACCACATCCTGTTCCGATAATCATACAAGGATTAACTTTCTCAAATGTTAATTGCGTTTTGTAACTTTAATTTTTGAAATTTTAAAATTTAATGACAAAAAAACGATGTTGAAGCAGGAAGGGAAGGAATTCCCAACCCCCTTTTTTCTCTGAAAAAAGTTGAGAAAAGTCCCTCCCAACATTTAAAAAAATTTTTACCAGACCTACACATCGCCCTCCCTTCAACCACAATCCCCTCTCCCAACACTCACCTCTAACATATCATCAGAAAACGAAGAAACGTATGTTTTAAGTATGATTGGGTCCTAGTACCACATGAATTTCAAAAAAATAAATAGCTTTAACTTTTTAAAATTGAAAAAAAAACAAAATTAATCAATTTTTAAGTGCCATAATGTATACGTATAACATCATTAATCTAAAAATTGAACATGGCCATGTTTCGAACTCTGTTTTTTCTGCAAGTATATGTGTATTTATGTTGCATACGTATGAAGGACATTCCCACGTGTTTCTTTCTTTTCAATTTGCAAATATAAATAAAACTTATGTTCTTCAATACAAAAAAAATTTTTTTTCAGAACTTTCCTATTTTTTTAAATAAAAAATTTAAAAATAATCATATTGACGTGCCACAAAGCCAAGAGATACTAACTACTCTTATCCTAAAAATCATTTTTCGGAAAAAACTGAACGCGGTCCCCCCTGTTGATTAAAAAATAAAAAATTTAACAAACAGGTCTACGTTCCCCTACCACTACTCCCTAATATCCAGTGAAAACAAAACTAGTACTAGTGGTGTACATGAGCCAGATCGGGGTTTATTTTGAGCCGAGCCAAAATTTATTTTTTGGCCGGGCCCTTTTAAAATGCAGTTCGGCCAGCCCCTTTAAAATTTGCTTCGACCCGCTCAAAGGGACCTATTGAACCCCCCATTCAAGTCTAGTTACTACCACAAGACCAGATTTCTTATCATGATAACAAAACTGATGACAAATACACCTCGTCCACAACAACCAGACGACCCTATTTACCTGGCTACAATAACCCCGTACAGCCTTTCATTTCGTTCCGAGTATCGGCATTTGCGAACAATAATAACCATCTTTTGCTGTGTGAAGACGTTATTACAGTAAATCGCAAGAAAAAAAACATACTGTCTCTATAACAACGACCACGAAAATAGTAAGGAAGCCATATCTTTTGTTTTCGCAGCGGGCGCGTCAATTTCCGGTGGCGACGTGAACATACCACCGTTTCCTTCGGCTTTAACGTCTTAAGTGTACAATGTAAACGCCTTCAAGTGTTCAATGTAAACGGCCTTATGTATTCAATGTAAACGCCTTCAAGTGTACAAAACAAAGTGTCTTAAGTAAGCAATGTAAACAGCCTTAAATTTACAAAGTAAAAAGCCGTAAGTGAGCAATGTAAACGCCTTCAAGTGTACATTCTAAAAGCCGATTTACAATACTTTAGCCAACTACACTTCACATCATTCAATACTTAATTCAGAACTACGTAAACCTGCTGTTTTTCTCGGTAGACGTTTATGTTAGCTTTCGGTACGGTCAACAAGGTTTTTGAGATTCAAAGTTACATAGCCAAATTCAGGATAAAAAATGCACCCCTTGTAGCGTTTTTTAGGCTTACATGAAAGTTGTACCTAATATCCTGCAGGTTTGGAACAAACCCTATACAGGATAAAAAAGCATAACAATCTACCAAAAAATCTTTTTGAAAAGCTGATAAATGATCTAGGCTAGCGAGATATTAAGAGCCAAAGAATTTGCATAAGATATCCTACTTAACACTGTATTCGCCTAATAATCGGACTTTAATTTGCAAGCTATCAACCCTAACATTAGAGCCAAAAAACGCAAAGCCAAGTACACCCCTCAATCCAATGGCCGGTAATTCATATCAACAAATTTTGCAGACTATTTTCAATACGCATATAAAAATTTCAAAATTTGAAAAGTAAGTGCACACAAAGCCAGTAAACCACAAATTCTAATAGTTTTGACCTGCCCAGCCCTCAAGCAGATACAGCTAAATTAAAAAATAAGTATCTTATATTCATCACAAAAAAGATAAAATTCGAAAAAAAAACGTTTTTTTTTACTTTATGCCATAACCAGGAACGTCGCTACAGATTTTCTTAAAACGAATTTCCCACCTGTAAGAACCAAAAAAATTTTTAGGTAACAAATGCAGATGTGATTTTTCTTTCAGATCGAATCTGGAAGAGGGAATCCTCCCCCTCGTGGCAACGTCCCTTGTCAAAAATACAGTAAAATATAAACAAAACTTACATTTTTGTCAAACCGCTCTTCTCCATCAAGAATCCTGAATAACGGCTACTTTTTCGGCCTTTCATTTGCTTGAACTGAAGTCTTTCCCTTACTAGACTATACCCTACAACGTAAACTCATCAGTTTTTTATCTAGCTATCAATTTTCAAAATTACCTTTTTTAAATAGTCGTTAATATACATATAAAATATATTTTCCTTCAAAAACAAAACTTTATTTTCACAAATTATCGAAGAAAATCAATACAAAAAACTCAAATTAATTTAAAAAATCAAAAAAAGCGTATTCTAGACATTAAAATGTTAACAATAGAAAACCGTATGTGAATTTGAAATAAAAAAACCAATTCTTTATCAAATTTCATGTTAATTTATACCTAAACATAAAAAATTTATAAAATTATTACAAAATTTTTAAAATTTCAAAAAAAGTGAAAAAAGATACAATGTAGTAATTACAAGTTTATGGACAGAACTTATGTCAAGTAATATGAAAATGAAAAAAAAATCATTTCACTAAAAAGTATATAGTATAAGAGACATTGTGTTAGTGTTTATTGTACATACCATGAATAATATAATAATAAAAGTTAGTAGAGAAAACATATTTTATGTCATTTTACAACCTTATACACGTAAAAGTTAATACAAAGAGTGTGTTTTGTTCAAAAAGTTTGTAGAATTTCAAAAATCCAAAATTTCATTTTAAAAATTCTTCAAAATTAATTTTTTTATAAAAATCAAATTCTACAAACTTTTCGATCGTAGTTAATCGTATTTTACCATGTATATCGTACAAAAACATTAACTTTATCATACTTTCCATAGAATACCATTGACATTGTACTTGATCATAGTATACCGTAGTCAATCGTTAACATCTCCACCCACAGTATCAATCTCCACCCACGGTATCCATCTCCACCTTAATCCACCGTGGCCGAAGCGGAAGCGCATCGCACTGGAGCAGACTCATCATTCGAGGTTAGATTCGAATCCGATAGCCTGAGGGGTTTCAGGCTGGCACGTTGGTCCTCCATTCGTCGTGATGACATTGCAATCACCAACTCGGACATGTCATTCGGCAATTCTGGTAGGTCGGAGCAGCTTTTGGGGCGGCCGCCGAGTTCGGAACGTTGATCGTCGAGTCGATGTGATTGTCGTTCCATGATGATTTCGTAGAGGCGTTCGGACATGGCTCCGTCGTTCTGTTCCTGACTGAAAGAAGGGAGTTGTTTCCAATTGCCGTTACAAATCGACATTATTTTAGGTTTTCTTAGGTTTATACAGGTAATAAAAGTTTAGTAGGTTAATTTAGGTTAAACTCAATAATAAAGCCAAATATTCGTAGTCAAATATTAAGAACAACCTCTAGAGTCAAGTGTAATATCAGCTAGACAATAACAAGAGTCTGGAAGTCAAATACGAACACTTAAACGCGGTAATCTTTAGCAAATGCCGTCTGAGGTCCGTAATTTGCTTATTTTATAGTAATCGGAATCAAAAGCTGAATAACAACAAATTGTCTGAATGCGGCCGTAGATGAATGAAGATACTCTGTAGTATAAGAGGACAGTATAGAGATGAAAGATAGTTTGTGGTATCGAGTTTGGAGATTAAAATACTCAGTAATACAAAGTCTGTAGATGAAAATACTCTATAGTACCAAGTTCAGAGGTGAAAATACTATATAGTACCAAAGCTAGAGATGTCAATACTATATAGTAACAAGTAACAATGTTACCAAGTATTAATACTCAAATATAGACCCAAATATTAACACCAAACTCCTTCCGCACACACTAATACTTGTTGTACCCAACAACACACAAGTCAATGCTCTTCTTTATAGTAGTCGAATACACACGGCTAATACTCGTCTTGTTGTACCCAGCGCTCTCACTCCCATTCACAAACAGGCCGTGATTAAGTAGTAGCGGGTGGCAGTAATTACAGATTAACTCGGTCCGCCCCTACAACATATACCCAAAAAAATACGCAAATATCCAGCGCCCTATGAAATACCCAAGTCTACCATGATATCATTCAATTGCGTGCGATTTTAAGGTAAGACAATGGGCATGCAAGACCAGTTCCGAGAGGTTCAACTCAGACGGATGATGTTTGTTTCAATGAAATATTGAGATTTTCTTCAATGACAGATTGAGTTTGGGTCAGATTTGTGTTGATCAGAAGGATAGAGTTTTTCAAAAAGTATTGTGAATTATCATTAAAAAATGTAATAATTTTTTTTTCAGATAAAGACCCACAAAAAATGTTTTTTAAACTTGAACGTGGGCCCCCCTGTTGTTCCAAAAATTTTGAGTTATCAAGAGATATCAGTTTCCGTTCTTACCAAGCACGCCAGAAGAGTTTAAAAGTAAATTAGAGTAAGATATGGTTAGGTAAGTTAAGACAAGCCAAAGAGTAAGAACATTGCAAATCCATCCCTCCCTCCACAAAGCCGATCCTAACCAAAACAAACTGTCTAGCCCTAAAAGTCCTACAAAAACTAGAAAGTGTGACACCCTGGTTATACCGGCACTTTAATCCAGTACCTTGAAAGTCATACTAAAGTGGGTTGATTTTATATTAAACAAGTAAATTTGTACAAAAGCTCACGCCAATTTTGAAGCACACCTGCAGTCAAAATCACAATTGAAAATCGGTCTATCTACCTACGGAAAAAATGACTACAAATTCATGTTTTCAACTTTATTCTACTTGACATTCCAATTTCACTGACATGACACACGCAACTTTTTTTCTTAATTTTCATTGTATACCCTCAATATTATCCATCATAAGCGTGCTTCCTTGTTTAATAGTAAGTTGTTCAAATAATTCTGCGCTCCTTTCAACTCTGATTTTCTGGATTCAGAGGGCACAGAATTATTTCAACAACCTAATAGTATTGCAACAGTGTACCTTTGTTATTTTCATAACTTATATCAATAATATATACATTTTTATTGTTATGCTGCACTTTACTTGCGTGCTGTCTATAATAAAATTAAAGTCATTTTAAAGCGCCATTGTTTCGTACTTAACTTCACGCCATATCACAGTCGCTATGGTAGACTTCAAGTGTTTTGTTATTTCCTTTTCATTTCCTGCCATTTTTAACTTGAAAGTGTTATTGTAGTCTACAAGTGACCTCATTTCACCAGAAAAAGTGACATTTTGTATAGAAAAGCAGTAACTCAACAATAAGTGTTCAAAAACAGTGTTTTGTATCAAAAAGCAATGTTTGAAGTATTTTTGTAATAAAATTACCTTCAATTCAAAAAAATTGCTCCCAATAATTTTCTTGTTTTTCTAAATTTAAAAATATACAGAATGTGTCATTTTTGAGTAGAACAACGCTGTTAAATTTTTTTGCCAAATATGATACTTTGTTGTGAAGGCAAGTATTCGAATATTTATGACATTTAAAATGTCATCATTTTGGTAATTAATAACACATTAAACATCACTACTTTTTGTAATCAATACGTTCTTACCAAAAATTTTTTTTTATATTAAACATGGCAATTTTCAAAAATGTCTATAAGCGTTTTCATGCAACATTATTTTCTCATTTCCGAGGCCATTACCTGGCTATTATGTTTTACTCAATATTCGCCAACTCACTGTCTGGATTCTTGGAAGACCGAGTGTTTTCAAAATATCTTTTCATTAAATCTGTTGCCTCTACAGAAAAATTGAGTATTGAAAACGCCACATTACTACGTTCTAATTGACACCTAAACTTCAAAAATCCTTATAATAGTTACAATTTGTTTCTACATAAAAAGTGTCACCTGAGTTCAGTTAAAGTACGTGTAACATACAAACTAGGACACAACCTATAAAAGAAAGAACGTACCCTCTATTTACATATATACCTTATAAAATGTCATTAGATGTCAATTTACTTCCTCTTACGCTTTTAGCCCTGTGGTACACAAAATACACACAAAGTTTTGAATATTTTGACAAAAACAGAAACTAATTGTTACGCTTAACTTCTAAATTAATCCTATAATAATTGTTATGACAAAATATACAATTTACGTTTTTTAAAGACATATTACTTATAATGTTGTTCAAATAATCCTGCGCATCCTAACCTCAAAAAAATGCTTTAAAAAAAGCTCAGAATTATTTGAACAAGTAGGAAGGGAATGGTAAAATGAGGTTTACAAAATGTACAATATTTTCATTTTTCCTATCAAAAAAATTTAAATTTAAAAAAAATCAAAAAAATATATTCAATTTCCAATAAACCAACTTACAGTGACTTCAAATACTCATTTCTATCAGCCAGTCCAGGCAAAATGGGATCGGCTCGTTGTTCGTCCATTCGACGACCTTGCATGTTCATAATCAAGTCCAGAATGTCTTCTGGGTTCTCTGAAAACATCAAATTTTACAAGTTAAACATAAAATTTACAACATTTTGCATGTTACAATCCAAAAAACACTTGTTTTCATACCTAATTTGTCATTGCTCCATTAAACTTTAGATATTTACCTATCTAAGTATTAAAACTTATCCGTTTTCTTTCATTTTTACAGTCAAAATAAGCAAAAAATTGTAAAAAAAAAGTCATCACAAATCTGTAAAAAATTACAAAACTAATGTTACACAAGTAAAAAAAGTAGAAGCACAAGCACAAAACAGATGAAAATTAGCTAAAACACCTTGTAAACGTACTCAAGCACAACTAAAATGCTTTTACATTTACAAACGTTCAAAAATCTTTAAAACATTTCAAAAAATCAATAAATGGAAGTAGCCAACTATAACCAAACACTTTTAAGAATAAAAAAAACTCCACTAAAACCGACCAAAAATCCTCCATAACCCCACAAACCAACATAAAAACACAAAAAAAGTTACTGCGTAAGAAGCTGAAGCGTTCCTCAATGCTGACCACCTTCTTGATCAATTCCATTTCACTCTTTCCATAACTATCAATTGTGCCATCTCTTCTCGATCCACTTTCCACAGTGAAGTTCGACTTCGTATCCAAACTCGGCCGGCCTTCGTTATTCTCCGAAAATTCATCGTTTTCTCCCGTCTTTCTGCCATAAAACGAAACAGACCTGTTGTCAAAATTCGATTTTTCATCGAAATTCAAACTCGATTTGCCATCGAAATTCAATTGTGATTTGTCATCACAATTCGGAATAGGCTTATCTTCCATATGTTCATTTAAGCCCGTTTCTGTGCTTCCAATATTCATAAAATCAATAAGGCTGCTTCTCGAGCACCCTTCATCAAATCGAATTGAAGAGCCGGCCTGAGAATTCAAGTCCAAATCATGATGTAGGCTGTTCGACTTTTTAAATGGCATTGACGGTCTTGATAAAGTTCGGCGTAGGGTGCCTGAGGCTCCGAAACGTTTCGACAAAGATTTGGTAATCTTTTTCATAGCTGACTTCTTTCCCGGATGCACAAACTCTTCTACAACAACATAACACAACATAAAGTACATTAACACAAGGTAAAAAAGATGAAATATCAAAATAATTAGAAAACAAGTTAAATTCTTCTGAAAATAAGTTTTAAACCAAAAAAGTCTTTAAAAGGTAAGTTTTTTATAAAAAATTTATTCAAAGAAAATTTAAACAAAAAAGTATTAAAAAGTACAGTATGAGAAGTACAAAAACTATACTTAACACAACATTTAAAAAAATTCAAACACAAAATTCAACAAAAATCAAGCCTAAGAGTCAGAAAATCCATTTTTTGATAATCAATCATCGAAAAAATTTCTTTTATCCCCCCTCCCAATAAAAACTTTACTCCAGCCAATTTAAAATTATTTTTCGAAACTCACCAGACTTGTTGATAGAATCTCCCTGCCGTGTTTTGTTCGTCCTATCCTTCAAGATGATTTCAATGTCGCACCTTTGGTCTTCGTATTGCTTTGGTTGATTAAAGATTTGATCAAAAATGTCGTCGGAATCTACCTAGAAATAAAAAAAAACCTTACATTTCAAAGAAATTTGAAATTTCAAACTTTCGACCGTAAATAAAGACAAATTTAACTAAAAAATCTTTTTTTATTTTAACTTTTTACACCTAATATTATTGTTCAAATACTTATGTGCCTCTCTTAAAGCAAATTTTTGAGATTAAAGAGCCCAGAATTATGTGTACAACCTAATACAAAAATAATGTCAAAATAATATAGTTATTAATATTATAACCAAATATCACAAAAATGTTACCTTATCATTAGAGGGTGAGCTCTTGGTGCTTCGAATTGCCGAAGTCCTCTGAATCCCGCAATCCATTAACTCGGTATTATTCGACGACTCTCCCACCTCATACAGTTGACTTCTCTTCGGGGCTGAATTCCGCCGACGCTTCTGACAATCGTGAATAAACGTCTCCAGCGACTCGGATATGTTAGTTAATTTGAAAAAGTTGCCCGGTTTCTGGCTGCCTTCCATTTTCTCCTTTAACGCCGCCAAATCAGAGCAATCCTCGACGCAAACGAAGCCTTCTGAATCCACGAGTTCGTGCGGATAGCGATGTACCATCTGTTCCGCCGCCTCGCGTGCCTTCTCGATGAGCGGCTGTTCGTTTAGCTGGAATAAATCAGATTACATTAGCTACTTTCAGCACACAATGCTCGAAAAATGTTTTGGGTTTGAAGGAAGAAGCGAGAGTTTTGGGTACAAAGGAATCGTGGCTATTTAGTATCGTACAAAGAAAAACGTTGGCTTAGTAGTTGCTTTGTGCTTAAAATTTCAAAATTTCATTTCCATGTTAACTTTAGGCTAAAAAACTTCCTATACAAAACAAAGCGTAAAAAATAAATAAAAGAAAGAAAGAAAAACCACCCCCATAACACTTTTTTAAAAAAAGGTCAACAGAGTCAGCATGGTCCCGTTAATAATTTTTTAAAAAGTTGAAAAAAATTGGCAAAGTACCAAATTAAAATCCTCTTCTCCATGCTCACATTTGTACTATAAAACTTGAAACGTTCGTTTTTAAAAAAACCCGTTAATAAAATCATTTTAAGGCTATTGTTAAATCAAACTTCATTTTGAAAAACGCATTCTTATCAAATTTAGCAATCGCAACAATATAACGTTAATAAAATAAAAAAAGAAAATTCTCGTCATTTTACATGAATATTTGAAAAAAGCCCCTAGTAAGAACAGTGAAAAAAATTATTTAAAAAATTTGAAAAAATGTCTTATCATCTAACATGCCCCTTAAAATTGTAATCCATAAAAACAATAAAACCCATTTTTCCAACTACTTGCCACCCCTCCCTTGCCCCTGCAACCCAAACCCCTAAAATGCCCCTGACTAACAACACTTTAATAGTCTACACAAATAAAAAAAATCAAAAAGAACATGTTTCAACGTATAACACATCTTCTATGCAAAAAAAGTAAATTTCATCGCATAAAACGTCCCTTTCCGAAAAACTAAACATTTGATCAACCCCAACTACAATATATCATTAACACCTCAAAAATCTAAAACACCTACCCCTCTATAGCATGCCTAATATGTCATAAACGCTTTTTCAAGCTCATACGTCCTCATATATATCCACCTTCTTCGTCATCACGTCATCAATCAAAACATAACATCATCCGCGTACTTTTCAGCGTCAACGTACCCACTGGTTGTACGTACACTATCTATTCATTTGTAAACTCTTTTGCAACGACCAAAGACGGCTGACGTCCGATGTTAACACAAACAGATTGTGACTCTCGAGCATCCCCGTAGAGGATTACCCATGCCGACGTCACAACCCGATGTAACACAGGTAAAGAAGATGTTAAAGACAGCCGAAAAGAAAGACGGGCCGAAACTACTGAGCCTGCTCATTTCGTGACGTCAATCCACCCCAACAATTATGTTTTGAGTAAAGTGCCATAATATGGTAAACAGCAAACTAGATGAACTGTTTGTTTGTGATAATATGAGGTTTAGGTATAGGATTATTGTGAAAATTTAAGGTTTATATATAGTTTGTTTGTAATAATTTGTGGTTTATATATAGCTTGATATTATTTGAGGTGTATTTATGTGATCTATGTTTTATAGGCTTAAAAATGCTTACCACATAACATTTTATAGAACGTTTAGCAATTTGTAAAAAAAACTTCTTGCCGTTTTTTGATTTGTTAATAACGTTCTTGCCATTTTATGTTCAGTGTAGAAAATTCACGCCATTTTATGTTTTGTAAAGAAAGTTTTTGCTATTTTATGTTCTGTTAAGAAAGTTATTACCATTTCATGCCTTTTAAAGAAAGTTCTTGCCTTTTTATAAACTAAGTTCAGTCGTTTTTATCTTTGTAAAAAAAATTTTTAAACTTTTCTGTTTTAAAAACCAAGTTCTGGCCATTTAAAGTTTTGTTAAAGAAAGCTATTACCATTTTTCGCTTTGTAAAGAAAATTCTTGTTACCATAAAGTCTTCTGCGTAAAGTCTTCTGCGATAATACTAAAGTGGAACCTCTAAATAAGGAACCCCTATATAACAAAACCTCTTCATAACAAGCAAATTTTAAATCCCATAGCCAGTGCCGGTTGGGGACTTATGGTCTGGGGGCGGGGGTCGAAAAAAATCGGCACAGGTAGCTCTACCTGTGCCGATTTTTTGCAAAAAATTTTTTCCAAAAAATCCACAGAGGGGACCACGTTCAACTTGTTTCAAAATTTTTTTTTCTGGGGGGGGGGGCTTCTAATCTCTCGAACAATAAATGTTACTTTTAAAAAATATACACAAACATCAAACCCGTAAACCTCTCGACGATACCTTCAAAAAACCTAACGCCCAACCCACCATCACTACAAGCAGAGACATTAACCCCCATTCACCCCCCCCTCTTCCTTTTAGCAACATTCGTCCCTACAATATCTTCCCAAACAATTAGAAACCCCAGTAACTCCTCTCCCCCACAGGCCAACTATAAAATTACTACGTAAATATCAAAAGAATATGCCTTGCGGGCATCTTTTGGCGTCCGGGTTTTGTGGGGCCGTCCCGTTCACCCACTCTCCCGAGAATTTGCTTATAAACCGCAAAAAAGCAGGAAAAACTTTAATTTGAACGACAAAAAAATGGAAGAAAACATGCCAAATTGGATTATTTAAATTCCCCAAAACTGACACATCTCATTAACGGTGATTGTGGCGCCGTGTGTAGCGCATGGCACGCCGTCATTTTTGGGTCACGTTGTTTAATTGCGTCGTTTTGCGACAACGTGATGTTGATACAATTTTTTTGACTTTTTGGTTTTTGCACTACAATTTTTTCAACTTTTTGACGTTTTGGCTTTTGAATTTGCAAAAATTATAGTTTTTTAAGTGCTACAACATTAGCTTATATAAGGTTAAGAAACGGGCCGTGTAAGTCCGGCCCTGCAATCAGGCCGAACCGGCCTTTAAGTATAGTTGAAACGGGTCATGCCTGCAGTTTAGGCCCTGCCCGTGAGCCAAGGTTGAAAACTAGCCCACAACAAGTTTTTCAAACGATCCGGGCCGAACCTAGGATTTTTTGACCCCGCCAGGGCGGTCCAACCCTGTGTGACCCGAAAATCAAAAAATAACGCCAAAAAAGCTAACACATTACGAATAGAAATAACAATCATTTAAGATTTTCCAGATTTGCTCAAAAAAACGAAAAAACCGCCCCTCCCAAGCCCTTTAAGACATCAAATGCCATCCCTAACTTATTTATAAAAACAAAAAAATCAACTTTTTGCAAATTCAACTTCCCCGTGATCATAAACACGTATCACAACCAACATGCCTTTCATAAGTGAAAATTCAGTTCCCCAAAATAACAAAACAAAGTAAAGCTTCAATTCATATATAATATAACCAAACAAAAAAGGTCACACGTTTGTGTATCTTTCATTATTTGCATTATTTTTTTCTAAAAGCCACAAAATCAGCTATACAAATTCATTTAGAAGCTTCTGAAGCTTGAAATGTTACAACTCTTATAATTTTTGACCAAAATCAGCCCTTTAAAAAAATTAAGCTGTTACTTCAAAACTAGCCATTTTAGCTCTAAAACGACTTTTAACAATCCCATTCTTTAGGTAACATTACTACGTTAATTTCTCAAAACTGGTAAACCAGGTAATAGCCAAATAACTTCTTTGTCTTCCTCCAAACCATCAAAATTGTTTCCAAAAAACACCTACCTTATAAGCCAAATTCCAGTACAATGCCAAGAAGTATAGAGCTTTTTGTAGTTGATCCAAGTTCTCTAGACAATTGGAAAGGTTCAAGTAAGCGCGTGCTTCGCCAGCAACATCTCTCAACGCTTTCGCTAGCTCCAAGTGTGACAAGTGATATAAAAAGGCTGAAAAAATATAAAGTTATATAAAGAACTTGGCAAACTTGTCAGTTTCAAGTTTAAAATACGAATAAAAAACAATAAATACCCAATATACTAAAAAAGTAGTCTTCAACCCTCCGTATTTCAATTTTTTTAAACAAACCCTCCCCAGCCCTTCTGCGATCAAAATTTCACGCCGACAGTAGTCGTAACCAAAAATAAAAATCATACCGCCACACTGATAAACAGACAAAAAAACTGTCAATTCATAAAGCAAATCCAAAAACAAATAAGTGTGACAAGTGATAAAAGAAGCCTAACAAACACAACCTTCACATCCTTCAACCACAAAACATCTGCCTTCCATCCCCTCCCCCTCCATGGAACGTTGTTCCAAACCGCCTAAAACAAGTCATCCGCAAAAGTCCGGCAAAAAAGTCTGTGGCCGGAGAACTCGTTTTTCGAACAGCTCTCTTCTGATTTGGCACAACAATTTGGCAAGAGAAAAAATAAACAAACAGCGGGCATGGTGAATTGAATAAACATCGCGATTTTTACATTCCATCAAACAAAAAGGGCAATTAAATTTCAAAAGGAATTTTTGACAAAAAACGCCAAAAAAAGTTAAAAGTTGTCCAAGAAAATTGAAAAGTCTAGTCGAAAAAGCTGTGGTAAAAACAAGAATATAGTACTATAAAAGTTTTTCTGGGTGCTCGTGCTTGAAATATGAACATGTTTACGGCTTTCAAAAATACGATGGCTGTATTTTTTGCGATCACAAAAACGTATACAGGACATGTGTGTTGAAGAAGAGTTTGAAATATGTAAGGAAATCATTTTCGAAAACAAAGACAAGTACGTTTTTAGAAATAGATCTTGCAAAATTTGAAAGCATTTGTGTAGCATACAATAAGACGTTATAAATTTAAACATGTATAACTTGTTGTATTTAAAAAGTAATCCAAGACTTTATATTTTTCAAATCAAAACATTTTTACACTGCCTTTACAAATTGTTAGACTTGAAAAACCCTAATTTAGACAGAAACTTTAAAAACACAGCCCATCACCATAGATATCGAAATTACCAACATGCCATTGTATTCTACACAAATGGTCTCAAGATGCATAAAACACTGACACACGTAATTCGTGTTTATTTCACGCCATCCTTTTGCATATTATGGCATTTTTGAATAGTCTAGTAGACATAATTTTCGATATGTTAATGTTGGCCACGAATTTTAATATGAAAACACCTTTTTGAACAGTTTTGTGTTGTACATTTGAACAAAACACTAACAATTTAAAGAAATGTAGTAATTTGGTCCCAAATGTTAAAATTAAAACCATTATTTTCAATATTTTAAGGTAATGAACAAGGATTCTACTATCAATCCGAATAAAATAGTCTACAAAAGATGCATTAAAAGACGTTTATAATAACATAAACTTTAATTTTTTTCCAGCCAAAGCACAAAGACTATTTCACCTATTCTAATATAACTCTCAAAAACTTTTACGCCTAACCACGCGTAGACCAAAAGCGTTTAACAACTTTTGACAAAAAAATTCTAAAACATCTTTTTTTACGATATTTCAAATTTTATGTACTTCAAAAAAGAAACCGGATCATGAGGTAGTAGACATCCATTATAAAATCAACTATATTTACAGCAAACCTATCAAATTCTCATCACAATAGTCAAAAGTAAACTTTTGTCTCATTTAAATTGCAAAGAACTGCTTTAAGCCAACAAAATGCGCGCAAAACAATACAATTTGCATACGTTAGAGAACAGGTTGGCAAGCAAATACATATGAAAATAATGCACTCCGCCGGTGCTTTTCGATTCTCGGCCACTCATAATAAAACAAGTTAGATTTTTCGGCTCTCATAAACTTCTCAAACATCGGCATTTAATGCGGTTTTGTTTCAAAAAACGGTAATAAAATGTGGCGTTTTGCAAAAAAAATATAATACAGGAAGATTTACAGGGTGTTTCAAGAAATTTGTAACTTTTGAAAAATTTTTTACTTAGCCATGAAAAAAGATAGGAAGACAAAATTTAGCACGCATAATGTACAGCCAATGTATATTTTTTATAAAAAATTTTGAGATTTTAAAGTGCACATGAAGGTCGTTATGAATTTTTGAAAAAACTCATTTTCGCCCAAATTACACAAATTTTCAGTTGGAAATCACTTTTTTCATCAAAAATTTCTAAGTTTTTGGCTGTTTTATCGTTGGAAATGCATTTTTGAGATGAAATTTCATGTTCTCCGCGTTGGCGGAGAGCTTTAAATCATCGGCGGAGGCCATAACTCGCTTCAAACTTTAAGGAGAAACTTGAAACCAAAACTGATCTTCCTAAAATTTTATGCGCTATCTGCCGATGTATAAGTTCTATTGAAATGTTAAGGTAATTACAAAAATTTTAAAGGCTAGCTTATTATCATCATGAAAAGTCAATTTTTGATTTATATTTTAAAATGATAATTATTACAATAAAAGTCAGCCGAAATTTTAAGTTGCAGTTTTTGTTTTGGATAGTTTTTTCAAGATAATACTAAAAAAAGTAAAATAAGTAACTTAAGTTGCGTAAGTAAAAAATTTGTTAACTTTTTTAACCATATCTATGCTCCTAAAAACAATATAACACATTTTGACGTATTATGCATTTGATATGCCTCTTTTGAGTAACCTTTTGTGTTTACCTTAATATTTTATTAAAACTTATACATCAGAAGATAGCGCATAAAATTGTAAGGAGATCGATTTTGGCTTCAAGTTTCGCCATAAAGTTTGAAGCGAGTTATGGCCTCCGCCGATGATTTAAAGCTCTCCGCCAACGCGGAGAACATGAAATTTCATCTCAAAAATGCATTTCCAACGATAAAATAGCCAAAAACTTAGAAATTTTTGATGAAAAAAGTGATTTCCAACTGAAAATTTGTGTAATTTGGGTGAAAATGAGTTTTTTCAAAAATTCATAACGACCTTCATATGCAATTTAAAATCTCAAAATTTTTTATAAAAAATATACATTGGCTGTACATTACGTGTCTCCCCCAGAAAAAAAAGTTAGAAAAAAGTTAAACGTGGTCCCCCCTGTGGATTTTTCGACCCCCGCCCCCAGACCAAAAGTCCCCGCCCGGCACTGGTCACATACTACTCTGACATTAAAAATATACATTTCCATAAAAGCAGGGTTTAATGTGTAACATAAACCACAAAAGTAACAAAATTTTTGCCATAAACACTACATTATTCCAATTCAAATTAATGCATTGTGTTTACAATAAAAGACCCTTAATGATTGTATGGTTTACTTTACCAATACAAGTACTAGTACTCATCATTATTGAAAAAATATACTTTAAAACTGTATAACTACTCAAATTAATCCAACGTATTATCCTATGTTAACCTATAAAATATATATTTCAAAATTTTTCCTCTGAAGTGATGTAAACAATTTTATAGTAATATTTCATCAATTGCTTCAACAACTTAAAAAACCATTTTGAAAATAAAAGAACCAAAAAAAAATCGAATAAATCAAATCAATACCTAACCTAATTTAAAAAAAACACCGCCTATACTCCCTCACCCAACGCCCAGCCTTTGAACTTTCAAATTGTCCCTCGTTGTTGCCACTTATACCCGGCACCCCCTTAATACTACAAAAAATATCTAAAAATCTAAGATTAATCGCCACTCTTGGCCAAATACCTTCCGTTCAGGCGATATTAGTCTCGATAACAATAATCGTGAGGCCTTAAATAGGTGGCTAATTGCCCCCAACCCCCGTTTCTCGTGACTCCTGATGCCAAATAAAGTACGATCATTAAGAGGTGGTTATTTAAAGCCTCCCAATTTCGTTGCCATTTCGTAAAAGCGGGATTCATGTTGTACTCGCAATTATAACCTGTTTACGTAGAATTGGTATCTTTGAGTGAATGCTAGATTTCGTAGTTATATTGGGTTTGGATGACATTTATAGCACATATGAACTTTGTCGCATCGTACCAAAATAAAAAGTAGTTAAAATAATTGTGTGCCCCTTTTCAAAGCAAATTGTCGGGTTTAGAGGCAGGTAACTATTTTAATATTACCTTTTTCTATGTTCGAAATCTGTTATTATAAGTTCAAGTCAAGACAAAGATAAATAAAGTCTTGTCGTTTCTCCCCATACAAATCCTCACAAATCGACGACAAATCTTTTCTGCCACAATATAAATGACCCAAAGCCTGCCATATTTCAAATACACAGTCATATAACTATCACACAAACCAAATATTCCCCGACGTCACCAGATAATGCACATTATATAGTTATATATTGTAAAAAACAAATTAGAACGTACCCTCTTTGTAATTGCCCTGAAGTGCTTCGGTTGAGCCAAGATTAAAGTATAATTGGGCGGCAGTATCCTTCTTTTTATCTCGATTAGCAATCGTCAGTGCTCGACTATAATTACTTTTATACAGGACAAGTAAGCATAATCACTATTTTTATATTAACTATGTTATCCACAACATAATTTAATCCATGGTCATGAGTTAAAATGAAATGTTTTTAAATTTTAAACTTTTTTCAAAAAAAAATATCACAACTGTCATAATTTTATACCAAACAATCAAAATTAAGACAATATAAGCTAAAAGAAACAAAGACCGTATTTTACAATAAAACGCAAAAGTAAAAAAAATTTAATGTAAAACTAATAAATATAAAAAACAAAACGACATTACCCATAATAGACAACTGCTTCTTGATATTCGCCAATTTGTGCGCAAGTGTTACCCAAATTTGTATATGTACGAAGTTGTGCTGCTCTGTCGCCAACACTTTTGGCTGTTTCTAGTCTCTGAAATCATATTTTTATTCAAACATGTTTTTAAATACATGTTTACTATAAATTACAATCAAGAATTAAGTTATTGCACAGTGCAAACCAAAAAAAGTTAAAAAACTGCACAGTGCAAACATTAAAACAGTTTTTTTTGCATTGCATCGTTTAAACAATAAAAAAGCTGAAAAACAATAATTTTCATAAAATTCTATCCAAATTAAAAAAAAACACACCATTTCATAATAACGTTTCGCTCTGTCAAATTGCCCGAGGTAATAGTAGCTAATACCTAAATTCCCTAAAGTCAAACTTCGCACCACTGAACAACTTGGCAAAATACGACCATTTTCATCCACACTCTTTTCTAGGCACTTTCTGAAACAACAAAGCTTTAAAGGTTTTATTACCCTTAATAAACAGTAAATTTAAGCAAAAAATTTTAAAACCAGTTTTAAAATTTAAAAGTACCCTTACGTGTAAGCTTCAATAGCATCATGAATTGTATTAACAACATCAGCATTATTCAACCCGAGCTCTGCTGAATTTCGAAGAAACTTTTGAAAGTATGAACATCCTAACGCGTAATATCCTCGGCATTCGTACATTGACTAAAACATAAATCTAAATTCAAAAACCAATAGAAAATAAACATACCATTTCAACAACATCAACAGCAGCTAAAATGACTTCTCTAGCATTATTAATCGCCTCATCAACGTTTCCGTTCATTGCGAGCGAATGAGCGATATTACACATGGCTTTGATCTCCATTAGCGGATCACTTTGTACGCTAAAACAACGAAAACGGTAGTTTAAATTGTCCCAATACTTATCATTTCAAACAAAAGTCTCTTAAGCAACTTTCTACCAATTTTTGTGTTGTAAAAGCCTAAAACTATGAAAATATAGCTAAAAACTTACTGAGAAAGCAACAAATCATTGCCATGATATTTACAAGCCGCTGCAAAGTCTCTAAACGCGTAATATCCGTTTCCCAACTGTGAATATATAGCTGACAACAACTGAGGGTCCTGAGTTCCTTGTTCTAACGCCTGTTGAAGCAGTTTAATACCTAAAAACAGCAAAACTTATGTTAACAATCAAAATAAAAGCATACCACCATAATCCTCCTCTAAAATCAAAAACTACACCAAAAAATGACTTACCATCCTGAGTATTGCCTCTCTTTATTTCTTCTTCACCCTCCTGGGCCAGTCTTCGGCACTCATCCATGCCAAATCGATTCTTCAGGCGCTTGTATGTTCCCTATAGTACACCTGAAAACAAAATAAAAAATATCAGAAGTTAATATCACGTTTAATCGATATGAAGCGAAATCAGAAACCATATAAAAGTATGTATAAAGCCATGTGAGAGAAGATATCCATTTTTCCGACAAAATTTCTTTTTTTCGAAGAAAAAAGCGCGAATAATTTGAGCGCAGCCCGCGACCGTTAGTTCGCAAGCTGCACTACTGTTTTTCATGTTTAATTGCGTTTCTTAAAGTACATAGTAGTAGTTTAGTACGTTTATATATAAAAACAAATAATATTACTCTTTATTATGTATTTTCAAAAGTGTTTGAAAACTTCGAAAATTGAAAAGTTGACTTTTTTTGAAAAGGCTAAAAAAATTGATGAATATGCAAATTTTGATGATTCCAACGTTCCAAAAAATGCATTTCCAACAAGTTTTTCAACTCAAACGGCTGAAAATGGACGATATCCTTAAAAAGCTGTTTTATTTTGAAAGTTACAGGGTTTTATGTTTTTGTTGTTCAGAATGTAAGTTTTTTTTTAGTTTTTATCTTCAACTATCCAAAAATCAATTAAAAAATCTTTTTTTTATTTCTATTCAAACTTTATACACTTGTGCTCATTTTCAGATGGGAACTGCCCGGATCACCAAGAACGACAACGTTATGTTGACGATGTTATCCATAACACCTTGGCTCGGCCTTCTCAAACGGAAAATCGAACATTGTTCCAACTGAAGTCGGACCCCAGCTACAATGTGACAACGCGTAAAGAGGACAATGTTAAGACTTATGAAGAGCTTCAGAAGGTGCCAAAAGATGTCAAGAAAGAAGCTGGCGTTAAGGAGTCAAGGAAGACAGCAGTGATTGAAGATGATGACGATTTTAATTATGAAGAAGTTATCAAAGTAAGTTCATTTTTTGCGCACTTATTTTAGTATAGACTGTTTAGCACCGTACAAAGCTTTAGTGGTTAATTTTGATTGTGTTTCATTTTAGAGCGTAGTGGTGCCCAAGAAGGTGCCAGTTTTTCAAGTCAAACCAGTCGATATTGCTAATCGAAAGAAGAATCAGCGGTTTCGCACCAAGAAGTATATTTGTGAGTACATTTTGGCTAAAAAGTTTTTTTTATAAAAGTGATCACAATACATAGAAAAAAAAATTTTATTTTTTTCGACCCTAAGGGTCTTTATTTTTTAAAAACTTCTTTAAATAATAAATTATAGGTGACGTATGTGACCATGCCTTTACATTGAAGCAAAATGTACAATCCCATATTAATGCTTATCACATGAGTAACAAAAAAAGACGTGGATTTTTAAGGTTTGAATGTCTGGATTGTCATGAGGTAGGCTTTACTAATATTGAAAATTTTTTTTAAGGCAAGATAAAGATTTTTATTAAGTTTTTCAAATAGTTATGTGCCCCCTTTTAAAGCAAATATTTGGGTTAGGGGCATAAAATTATTTGAACAACCTAATAGTCTCAATGGTGAATTTCTAAAAATTTCTAGTTTTAAAAAATTTTTCTTAAATTTATTTTTTTTTATTTTGATGACATTTAAGCTGTTCAACAAGTTTTTGAATGCCAAAAAGCACTACCTCATTGTACATCGTCAAAAAGTGAAGCAAAAGAAGCTGAATGAGTGTTCGGAATGTGGCAAGATCTACCCTTCTGGTACCTTATTGAGAGAGCATATTGTCACCAAGCATTTGTAAGTTCACGTTTTGCCGTTATTTGTCATACCCGTCCCTAGGCTCCTGCTACTATAAATTTTTCAAAAAATACTAGTTAAAGTAAGCTATTGAAAGTGTAATACATACAGTCTTTTTCAAATATATAACAGTACAGTACTTTCGTTTTTATTTCCAGTACAATTTTAATGTTTAAAGCCTAAAAGCATAGCTAAAACTACATTGTAGATGCCAAAAACCGTACGAATGTCAACATTGTGGTACAAGTTTCGGCCGGAAAGGCGGTCTACGAAGACATATTCAAATGGTACACGAAAACCACACTTATCATTGTCCATACGAAGACTGTGATCATCCTGGATACAAGTGCAGTAAAGCGCTGGCGGCTCATATACGATCTGTTCATACCAAGGAGTCACCGTATGTTTTTTATGTTTTTGTGGTCCGAAAGTTTATAGAACATTAAAATTTAATTTCGGTAGACTATCGTTCTACGACTTTAAAATTCTTTAAAAAATTTTATTTTTTGATATTTTTTTTATTTAAAAATTGCCATAATTTAAAATTTTTTTTTCATTTTTTGAATGTTTAGATAATCTGATATAAACCCCATACTTTTATTTCCATTTTAGGTACGTCTGCAACCTCTGTGGCAAAGCCTTCGTCCGCCACAACGACCTGAAAGCGCACGAAGCGACGCACGGTGTTGGTGGATTCGGCTGTGACTACTGTGAGAAACGATTCAGTAGACGAAAAGAAGTAGAACGTCATGCACAACGCATTCACGGGTATTAATACCTACTTTTCTTGCATTTCTTATCATAATATTTTTATATATAAATATTTTTAATACCTATCAATAAACTTTTTATAAATTTTTGGGTTATCTAGAGTTTTTTTTTATTTTTGAAAAATAGGTAATAAATACTTTGAGTGAGTTTTAGCTGTGTAAGAAATGGGAAGAGTGATAGTGTATAGATTTTGATAATGTGAACTCTTCCCCCTTTTCCACGGTTAAAACCTAATTTGAATAAGATAACCCTACATTAGTATATCAAAAACAAGAAAAAAGTACAAAATTTAGTAAAACAATGCCATTTTTTATAAAATAAAGCCAAATCTAACAACATATGTCCACGCAACATCAAAATATACCTGTTTCCAACACCAATCCTCAATCACTATCACCAAACTTCAGTAAACAATCAATTTATTTTCGAAAAAACAAAAAAACCCAGAGTTTGTATCAGTTTCAGTAGTAATTACACATTCCCTTCTTCACAATCGTTACATTACAATAGTAATGTTGAAATGTAAAGAACATAGAACATAATTAAGGACCTAATCAGCCGAAGGCATGACCTTCAGGCGTTCGAACGCCGCCTTCTCCAGGCTTTCCCGGTTGTCAGGATGAGCGATTTTGATCAGTTCGTAGGCACGTTGGCGCATGTTTTTGCCCCATAATTGAGCGATTCCGTACTCGGTAACGACGTAATGTACGTGAGATCGAGAGGTTACTACACCGGCGCCCTGAAAATAAAAATTTTTGAAAAAACGTTCAAAATTTTTTCGAAATTTCAAAATATTTTTAAAAAGTCCACAGGGTTGACCTTTTTGCAAAACTTTGACAAAAAGCAAAAAATAAAGAATATCTAAAAAGAAATATCAGGTCACAAGCAGAAACTGTTGAACCATACCTCATTAATGGTCGGTACAATCTTCGACTGTCCCTTCTTGGCAGCTGATGGCAAAGCGATGATTGGTCGACCTTCTCCATCATCTCCCAGAGCAGCTCCTCGGATAAAATCGACTTGGCCACCGAATCCAGATAAGAATCTCTTGCCTACAGAGTCGGCTACTACCTGAAAACCAACAAGGTTTAAAATTGAATGAGAAAAAATCAAAAATACCTAAAGTAAAAAAATCTCTTTTAAATCCACCAAAATTAACTTTATGCCTAAAAACAATCCAAAAAAAACCCTTACCTGACCGGTCAAATCCACTTCAACAGCCGAATTGATGGCACAAACTTTGGGGTTTTGTCTGACAATCGATGGGTCATTTACCCATTGAACATCACCAAAGAATACGGAAGTGTTGTCGTCCAAAAAGTCGTACAATTTTTGAGTACCATAGGCAAAACTAGTCACTGTGCGTCCAGCGTGATGATGTTTCTTACCATTTGTGATGGCATTACATTCGATTAGAGGTAGAATACCGTCAGAGAACATTTCTGTGTGAATTCCGAGATCTTTGTGGTCTGTAAGGGCGGCCAGTGCAGCGTCTGGGATGGCACCAATACCTAAACACATTTTTTGTTAAAGTAACTTTAATATAAGATTATGTAGTGTTAGGGGTGTCTAACATATTTTGCCGTCATTTTAAATTCAAAAAACATTCAAACTTACCCATCTGCAACGTAGCTCCATCATCAACCAAGTTATCAGCAATGATTTTTCCAATTTTCTGATCAATCTCTCCAGATTCTACAATATGACGTTGATGCAGCGGAGTATCGTGCTCAACAAGCACATCGAAATGTGAAGAATGAATCACAGCATCTCCAAACGTCCTTGGAACAAATTTGTTTTGTACCGCAATGATAACATCAGCGTGGCAACAAGCAGCACGAGCAGCGTCAACACTCGTTCCCAACGAGCAAAATCCTTTGGCATCTGGTGGAGACACTTGAACTAAAGCTGCGGCCAACTTGACTTGACCGCGACGGAAGAGCAATGGGATTTCGTGGAGGAAAATGGAGTTGAAGTCTGTTGTTCCATCATTGATGGCGGTACGAAGATTGTGACCGGTAAAGAGTGAGTTTGAACGGATTCTGTCTGAAATTATAAAGTTATTAATCAATAATAACCTTTAAAAAAACTTGTTTTAACCAAAGATTACGTAAGTTACTTATCGTTTCTTTAACATAATCTCCTCAAAATTAAAGATCCCATTTACAGCAATATATTGGTTCAAAAAGACAATTTAAAGACTCAAAAGTGTTCTCTTTTTTAACTTTTTAGCTAAAACTATCTTGTACAAACTTCAAAACAAGAATAAACAAACAAAAAAGACAGTTTTTTAGTTGTTTTACATCTACTGCAACATAATTCGCATAAAAACAAATAAACATTTTATAATCATAATTTCCCTCTTTTTACTTCCAATTCTTCTTGAAAGACCTAAAAACAAAAAGAAACAAATAAAAAACATACTTTTCACGTCGGGAGCGGTCCACGGAGTTGGACCTTCAAGATGAAGATGGTGCAAAGTGATCTTCTTCAAGTCTCTTTGCTTCGCAGCTTCACTAAGTCCTTCCAAAAGGTAAGTTGGAGTTACAGCAATACCATGGACAAAAATATGATCTCCTGACTTGATTCTATCAAAAGCTTGATCCAAACTCTTGACTTGAGGCTTTGGATTGGCCAAAGGATACCCGATTTCGCGCGAGCCTAAACCAACAAGAGATCGTCGTGGAAGAGCCGAGGCTCGGCGAGCTTGCTGAAGACGTCCAACTTGTTGCACTCGAACAGCACGCATCCTGTTGGGCCTGATCCAACACTGAAAACAGAGGATTTAAATAGTTTTCCGTTATTTCTCAATGTTATACTTGGTCAAAGTACAGAAAATTGAAAAAAGTTGTATAAAACAACCACAAGTTTGTCAAAATTTTGATAAAACGCACGCAATAGAAAAAAAATCTGATAAAATGATCTGATTCACATTGTTCTTAACCTTTTTAGTTTCAAAAAAAGGGAACGAACGTCAAAGAACGGCAAAACCTTTTCACAAAAATCCAGAAAAGATAATGCGCAGGTTGCGACCGAATATTGCGCAGGTTGTAAAGCTAATATTATCGCAAGATACCAAAATAAACTTTAAAAAGTCCTTAAAACGGTATTCCTGAACTTCTATATTAAAATCTTTAATCTCCTTCTCATAATAAGTAATATAAACCTTGTTTTACCCAATACAACGTCAATTTCCCACGATTCTGAAGCAAAATCCAATAGAGAATAACGGATGCACGAAAGCGAATGTACTGAAAGCAAGAAAAAACTGTTCTGGACTTCTTTTATTCCAAAATTCTATGTGGCCACGGGATTTTGGGAAAATAGGGGAGAAAGAAAGAGTAAAAAAGGAATGTCCAAAAAGCTAAAATTCAAAAAAAAACCGAACGTTTTTTGTTGAATAAGGTGGTTATCGGATGATTTTTCGAGCAATTCCACAGTTTTAGAGACTAAACTGAAACATTGTTTGTTTGTAAAGTCATATTGAAGAAAATTTAACAAAAGGGGTCAAAAGTTGATAAAAATATTGTCATTCATCTATAATAGTATAAAATGATGTTTTGATGTAGCATAAGTTTAATAGATCATAACTTGGAGCTAAACGGTTGAATTTTTTTGAAATTTTGAATAAAGATAGCTGAATCTCCGCTAAATAAATGTGCAGATTACCAAAATTTTATTATAGCTAAAAAGGTCACAAAAAATTTTTCAATTGTTACATCATCAATTTCAAATTCAATGTAAGTACTGACGAGAGAAACGCTGTATACGTTTAAAATACGCAAAAATAAGTTTATTTATGCTCAGAACTTCAAAAAACCATCCAATCACGTATAATAATATTACGCACGAGACCAAATCTTATTATTATAATATAAAGCTTCAAAACAGCTGTAAAATATTTTCAACTGGCTGTCAAGCAGGCCCTAATTACATTTGATGACATTTTACATCAATAAACCCTATTTTTAAATCGTCATTGTATAAGCATCTATACAACCATGAATTTAAAGCTAATGACAAACAGAATAATATTGTTGTAATCTTCGCTTCAGTACAACAAGATTAGTATAATATTACAGTGCTTTTTTAATGGTATTGCTCGCGTTTGTTATGAAAAAGGGCTGTAAATAGCTTTGTTACGGGTCTGTTGAAAATATAAATTAAAATCAAAAAAGTAATTGCAAAATATTGTTCGTACAATGCTATGACTTTTAATTTCGATTGCATCGTGCAAACTGAATTATTTTTGATTGCACCGTGCAAGAACTTTAAAGCTTCAATTTCAAACGTCTCCCTTTCAAACTAAATTAACACTCAACCCCATTCCATGCCTAATTAAGCCCGTTAAGCCACAAAACTTTTAAAATCGAGAAAAATAGACTTTTATAGCAGCCGCACGCTCAACGGCTGTGCTCTGGGTTAAAACTAAACTCATCGCTATTCACATTTCCTTTGCGTGATCGTTCTTTGAAGTCGGAACGATTTTTCTCGTGGTTCTTTAGTTTGTAAAGGTCAATGGCGAACAGTTGGGGAGTGTCTCGTCACGTTTTTGCGTCAAGTTGGAATAGCAACATAAAGCATATTTTAGGTATTAATGTTGAAAAAATGGTTTTACACATTTTTGAAATGAAATCCTGAGCTCATTTTACCTCCTAACTTTTATCAGTTCTGGAAATTAAAAAATTTTTGAAAATTTCGGGGTGTTATCGATATAAAATGGCATTTTCCAAGTTTTGTTTAGCAAAAGTGACCTTTACCGGACGTTTGAAAGCTAAAATACGCTTCTCTAAACTAATCTACCTGTTGGCTATAAAAGCTGTGTCTTTAAACAAAAATTTACTTCCAAAAAACATTCTCTTGACGTTAGACGTTATAAAATGGCACTTTGAAACAGTACATCTAGGTTTTTTTCCAAAAAATTTTAGTTTCCGTCATCTGTGATGATCACAGAACGTTCAGATTATCATGTTTGAAGGACAAAACGCTTAAAAACGTTTGTAATTGATCGTCCACGTTCGTTGGAGATGTGAACACGCGGAACGACACATGCTAGCATCGAAATTCGGCCGGCTGTTTGGATGGCGCCTAATATTATAAAAAAGTTGAAAAAAATAAATAATATATTACATAATAGTAGTCCATTTAAAATTTCTTTTGCTATTTTTAAATTTGACAAATTTCAAAAATTTTGAAAACCGTAATTTTTGAATTTCGCGGCAACTTAAAAATCCTTGGCATTCTGTCTCAACTTTTTTTAATAGCTCATGTTTATCAAAATGAATTTTAGCTTTATCTCATCTTTATAAAATGCAAATCGGTTTTAAAATTATGTAAATTGTCTATACTACACCCGTCATCACAGTATTATGTGTATTTTTCCTTTGTGAGCACATCTCTTCCCAGTATCATGCGCATGACTTCGTTAGTACCTTCAATAATTTGATGCACTCTACAGTCTCGTAAATGCTTCTCAATTGGGTAATCCTTCAGCACTCCGTAGCCACCAAACATTTGCAGCGCTTGGTTCACTACCTACAACAATATTGTTTTTTGCATTAAAGTAATGTTATCTTACATTAAAGCATTCATCAGTGCCATGAAGCTTTGCCATAGCACAAAGTGAAGCAGCATGTGGAGTCTTCCTTGTCAAATGATCAGCAGCATTCCTAATCAACAGTCTTGAAGAGACCAATTTGGTAGCCATTTCAGCCAGCTTGAATTGTGTCCATTGAAAATCACCAATCGGCTTGTTGAACTGCTTTCTGATCTAAAAAAGTATGTTGTACACAAAAATCAATAATAGACAGGTGATATTTGTGCTTGCTCTACCTTCTATTATACCTTAACTTAGATTACTCTACATAATCCTACACTACGTTACCTTAATGGACCCTAACGAACCATACCCTACCCTACTTCACCCTATCTTACCCTACACACCACATCTCTGTCCAACTGTACCCTAATCGACAATATCCCACCCTACATTGCCCAACTCCACTCTATCACACCCCAACAGGGACGTCGCTACTCTCACTGTTTCTCCTATTTATCAACTATAATTACCAACCTGAACATGGTCAATAGCGGCATCAAAACTGCTTTGAGCAGCTCCCAGTGAACAAGAAGCAATGTTGACCCTGCCTCCATTTAAGCCAGCCATAGCAATATTGAAACCTTCGTTTTCACCTCCGATTCGATTTGAAATTGGCACTCTACAATCTTCAAAAGTGATGATCCTGGTCGGTTGGTTATTCCATCCAAGTTTATTTTCTTTTTTGCCAATACTAAAGCCAGGAGTACCATCTTCAACCAACAAACAAAAAATGCCTTTAGGGCCTGATTGACCATGATGCCTCATCATGACGAGGTAAACTTTGGAATCCCCAGAACCACTGATAAAAGCTTTGGAGCCGTTGATAACATAGTGATCTCCATCGATTTTGGCATTGGTTTTTAAGGCTGCGGCGTCGGAGCCTTAAGAAAAGAGCATGAAGGAAATGTAAATTAAAATTTTCGAAAAATTGAAGTTATTTTAATCCAAGTTTAGATTTTTTAAAACTTTAAACCCACCAGAATCCGGTTCGGTCAAACAATAACTTCCCAACCAGTCAAAAGCTGCCATTTTTGGCAAGTATTTACCCTTAATCTCATCACTACCGTAAGTGTCAATCATGCCTACAACCATATTGTGGATACTGATGTAAGCGGCCGTACTCGCATCGGACATAGAAAGTTGCTCGAAGATTAAAGAAGCGTCGAAGCGAGACAATCCTGTACCACCGTGATCTTCTGAACAATATATGGCTCCGAAGCCAAGCTCACCAGCTTTTTTCAGCTTTTCTAGAGGTAGTTGCTGCTGAAATTTTTTTAATTTGAGATTTCTAAATCTGACAATGCTAAAAAACAAAAAAATTTTTTTTTCAATTTTAAACCTAAAATACAAACCCCATAGATGTAATACCTACCCCTATCCCTTACCTTTAAATCGCACTCCTCGGCCACTGGAAGCAGTTCATTTTTAGCAAAGTCTTTGGCCAGTTTCTGAACTTCAAGTTGATCTGACGTTAAGCCTAGGGTAGCTGAAAGCAACAAAGTTAGAAAATTTTTAAGTCCTCCGTTTACTTTTAAAAACTAAAAAATATTTTTTAAAATATTTTTGGTACAAAAACCTTTATAAATAGTCGTCTAAAGTGTCAAAAATATTGTCAAAAAACTAATATAAATAATAATTCTACAGCACATTAAACTTTACAATTAAAATTAAAACAAAACTTACGATCAGCAACATACGACAAGCTTCTACTGCCATTCTTGAACGAATGTGCAGCATTTTTAGTCAAAAACAAACAAAAACTTTTTAGAAACATAGCTAATATTATAAGAAAATTCGAAAATATGCTACTTCAAACTGAATTTAGTTAAAGTTTTAGTTAAACTGATACTGGTTTTAATTAAAATAGTCCAATTTTTAGGTAAATAGTACTAGTTTTAGTAAAATTAATACTTTTAAAGGTCAGAAATGATAAAAATAAGACCAAGTTTTATTCTTTTCCACCTTTTTACAATGAAAAATTTCATTTTGAGTGTTTTCTGATCAATCTCGTAGCAATTACGCAAAGTTCTTGTTGGGAAAGTGTCTTTATATTATTGGCTTTATCTGTTTATAGTCGTTTTTTATATAATTAAATCACAATCAACCTATTTTACAAAATATACAAAAACTATATACAATAATGCAAATTCAATTTCTTGCCAAAACATTCAATTTCAAACCAAAATTTCATGCCAATAACCGCATTTCAACCAGAAATTTCATGGCTAAACAGCCGTAACAATCTCTGTTCCCGCAGCGGCGGTATGGGTAATCCTTCACAGAATTTTGAATCCAAAATACTCATGTCGACACCAGTGTCATAAAAGTAAATCTCTGGATTCGGATCGTATCGTGACGTGCCGTCACAACTTAATGGCATTTCTGTTTGAGCGGATATCTGTTGATACGAATATAACATAACATAAGCTAGAGATGCCAGCTTTTTGGAACAATGGGTCATTAGAAAACATGTACCTGAGTACACATAACGGAGATTGTCTCTAAAATACAATTTTTTTAAATTTTTAAATTTCGAAAAAAATTGTTTTTGAAATTTCATTACATAAAATCGACTTCTGTCAAAATGAATATTTTAACGGTATAAGAAGTTCGAAAAAACAGCAGAATGTCATAAATACCTGCAAACATCAGTAATGTCCAAACACTCCTTCCAATACGTTTTCTCATTAAACTTGTCATATTTACGTAGTATTTGATCGTAGGCATGTGGCAGTTGTTTCTTGATAATTTTAGAGCACCCTTCAGCACTAGCAATGTCTTTTGAAGCTGTAAACATTTCTATATTGTCATGAAGTAAAAGCCTGTATAGTACAATAAGACTGTGAGTGCGGTCCAACTTATCGAGTGGATAAGTTTTGCACGGCAGAAGCAGCGTGGGAGTGTTTTTTTATACCATAAAAATTTTTAAAGATAAACTTACTCAAATTCCAAAGCCTTCTAAACGCTTTCTCCAACAATATTTCAGGTTGAGTTAGGGGTCGACATGGTGGTTCACTAAAAACACCTAAATGTAAAATTGCATAACGTAGTATTATGGAACATCGCTATGCATTTCGACCCTCATCTACAGCAATATCATACTTAATTTAAAGTTTTTAAAAATGATAAAATCCAACAAAATTTAAAAAACTTACAACTTGGTCTTTAAGCAGTAATCCAGTCTTTTCATTCTAAAATATATACACATAGCCAGGTAATACCCAAAACGCAAAACAACAATATAACTTACACTTTGTCCTTGCTAAAATCCCCTTGCAGCATTTGGCACTTTTCAGCCCTACAAAAATGTAAAACCAGGTAAATAAACAGTAATAACAATACGTAGCGCATTATTGTCTACTTCACATGTCACATTACTTTATTGTTTTCTACTTGACATATTATGTTTTATTTGGGTTGACCTTTTGTAACAAAAAAGTTTATTACCTCTTGAACTCTTCAAATTATAGGTTTTGGAATAAAAGGAACAACAACATTGTTTATAAAGGACAAGTTTCTAAAATCGACCAAAGGATAGGGCAAACATTAAACTTAAAGTGATATATTAAATTCAGAAGCAAGAAGAGACCTTATAAGGTACCTTATTCTTGTTTTAAGATGCATTTATTAGGCTTATTCTTTCAAAATCAAGTAAAAATTGAATATAAGATGGAAAACCTCTGTAAAAAAGAAGTTTTCCTTTTTGTAGGGAAGACCCGAGTTATGTAGCAAAAACGACCGTTCGGTACTGGAAAAGAAGCGAAACTGACCAAAGAAAGGTCTGATTTCAACTTTTAAAACGTGACTTTTTTAAAATATTCAAAAAAGTTTATGTGAAATAAAAAAGTTTCATTTTTTAAATTTTTTCTTAATTTGCATAAAATTCTACGCTTATCAACCCCTATTTTTAATAGTTTATACACATTTTCACTTCAATTTTTACATTTTATAGTTAAACACCATTTACCCTAACATAATCCATTAATTTCACCCTAAAGGCCTATATTTAGACCATTAAAAGTTCAAAAAGAGCATAATCTGTTAATTTGTTTACACATTGTTTCTCTACTTCCCTATTACATTACAAAAGTTAGTAAAATTCACGTTTTTGAATATTTTTCGCGAAATTTCCAAAATAAGCGCGAAGAAAAGTGAGAGACTACGCGCAATACAGAGACAAAAGAAGAAAGGCCAGACAAATCGCGAAAAACCCAAAAGAGGTCGAGAGAAACGCGCAATGGAGAGACAAAAGGGAAAAGTCTAAAGACCGCTAGAAATTTCCAGAGAGAGCGCGAAAAGACGTTGTTCCTGAAGAGAGTGTTTCTTTTTCGGCTAGAGAATGCTAGAAATTTCTTGAAAAAGCGGGAAGCCGAAAAGGGCGGAGTCAGCGCGAGAACTTCTCTATGCGAAAGAAGTTTCCCGCGTTTTCGCGATGACTTTGCGAGCAGTATAAAAGGCGAACATTGCGAAAGTCAAACCAAGTTCAAATCGAACTGAATTCAGCTTTAAAGACTAATCTTCTTCTACATTTGACAACTCTACTTCTACGATATCCAAAGATGTCACTCCTGTTGTTCGACCCATTCCGCTCCAACGCCGGTTACCACCTCAGCCCCTTCCAAGGACTGTTAGGCGAACTTCAGCGCATGGAACGCGAACTTGGCCAATGGGACTACACCGACGGCTTTGCCTACACCTGCAACGTTCAAGGATTCCGCCCCGAAGAGATCGAAGTCCACCATGAAGGCGACTCCGTTACCATCTCCGCTCATCACAAGCAATCCGGACGTCACGAGCACTACGAGAAAAGTCTGAAGCGCACCATCAGAATCCCCGAAGGCTTCAACAAGGACCACGTTCAGTGTGACATCAACGAGAAGGGCGAGCTTATCGTCAAGGTCCCGAAGCTGGCCGAAGCCAACAAGCCCGAGAAGCGCTCCATCCCCATCAACTTCAAGCAGAGCAAGCCTGTCGAGAACAAGTGAATCCAAAGCCATACGATTCGATCTCTAATTGTTTACGTGTAATAATCTTATTGTAATTTTGTTTTTTTAAATTTTTATTGTAGTTTTTTCGACCTTTTCATTGTAAAGTTGTTAATCTATCAATAAACTTTATATTGTAAAATATTTTGGACTTATTTAATTTATTTTAACCAGAGTTAATCTTTTTGATATCTTGTATAGTTTATAGTAAGGTATTTGATAAGACTTGCTTTAGTAGGTTTATCACTTTTAGTTTTTGACATATTTTTGGTCGTAAGCTAGTTTTAAATGACTACAACAATGTTCATATACCGAAAATTCCAGTTATTAACCAAATTTAAAAAACTAGGCACAAGTATAGATACACTAAATGGCATACAGTCAAAACTATTACATTTAGTACGACACTCAACAAGTCCAAGTCAGTCCTTATAACCAGGGTGTCATACTACCCAGAAACGTTTTTGATATGGGTACCGCCAAAAATTTTTTATAAGGAAGTTGTCACACTATTGAGAGCCATGCTAAAGAGGTTCCAGTCTACGAAAATACTCGCGCAACGTACCCAAATATCCAATAGTATTCAACCTGTATGCACAAACGTCACAAATTATAAAAAAAGATTTATTAAAACAAAACAAAATAACCAACAAAATACAAAGAACAACATAAAGAGACAGAAAGACAACTTAAAGCTGCAATAAATAAACAAAAAATAAAATAAAGAGAACTTTAAAAGTCACAACCTGAAGTTTAGTTTACTCGTAGGAACAATATTTAAACAAAAAAAGAAGAGATTGATGCCAAAAGCAACAAAATAATAATTACTTTTAACTAACAATTGATATCAAATGCTTTTGAAGCTTTAAGACAAAATAGAAAATCTAAAACAATATAATAACGATAAAAAATAGTTTACAATCGTAGATTGTTAAACAACCATGGTAATGACTTGTTAAACAAAGCAAAAGAACCGACTACCATTACCTCAAAAACGACATAGCTTAGTTACAAGACCACAAAATGAAAATAAATATTAAGCTTGAGACTCCTGAAGATCAAGTTCATTTACTTGCTCCACATCCTTTAGCATGCCAGTCATCCCTGGAGCCTGCTTCATTGATATAGGAGAATCCACTTCCTCCACTCCAGAATCATCCTTGCTGCTCTCCCCATTCAGAAGTTGACGTTTCACCAATTGACGGTACATTCCCTCGACTTCCATCAAGCTTTGATGATTGCCTTCTTGAATGACCTGTCCTTTTTTGATGACAAAGATTCGGTCCGCTTTTTCTACCGTACTCAATCTGTGAGCAATCACAATTACAGTACGTCCAACTGAACACTGATTCAGGGCTTTTTGAATAATGTATTCAGATTCCGCGTCTAAGGCTGATGTGGCTTCGTCTAGGATTAGGACAGCTGGTTTGCGTACCAGTGCTCGAGCGATAGCTATACGTTGCTTTTGGCCGCCTGAAAAAAAATAATTTGAAATAAAAAATTAAAACTACAGTCAAAAATAGACCCGAGTCTAAAAAAATTTTAAAATTGAAAAACCTTACCGCTCATCTGAACTCCCTTCTCGCCACACTTTGTGTCATAACCTTCGTCCAATTCCGAGATGAAGTCATGAGCATTAGCCAGTTTGGCAGCTTCAATCATGTCCGTATCAGTAGCCCATTCCTCGCAGCCGTAGAGGATATTGTAGCGAATTGATCCTGAATACAAAGTTGGTTCCTGGCTGACCAATGACACTTGTTGATGATAGTATTTGTGAGCGTAATCTCGAATATTGACTCCATCTAAAGTGATCTTCCCACCTCCAATCTCATAAAAGTATTCTAGAAGAGCGATTATTGAGGATTTGCCGGCTCCAGATGGTCCTACTAGGGCTACGGTTTCTCCTGGATTGATGGACAAGTTCAGACCCTGGAAATTTATGTTATAGTCAAAAGCCTGACTCATCGAAAGTAACCAAAAATTAAATTTCAAAGCGGTGAACAATGAAGTCTTACGATAGCTATAGCTATATGAATGATAAAGTTAAAACAAACCTTCAAAACTTCAGAGTTCGGCCTGGTAGGATAGGCAAAGTTGACATTTTCAAATTTAATCTGGCCTTCGACTGGTTTTTCCACAGTTCCATCATATGGGATTTCTGGATCCTTGTGCATGTATTCAAATACCTTCCTTGAAGCTCCCACGCTTTCCATTAGACCAGAAAATACGTAGTTCAAACTCTAAAACAGCAAGGTTAATAACAGAGTGTAAGTTTAGTTCCTAGTACCAAAGCAAGTATGATTCATGACCAAAGTTCAATCAATTCGTATATCGCCCTGCCTGTTAGGTTAATAACAACTTACATAAAACGTTTCTCCAAGTTGCAGTTGATATAGCAAGAATGAAGTAATTTGTTCGATGGTCAAAAGTCCATTCATTGCCAAGTGTCCAGCATAGACAAGAACAGCTATCAGTACAACGTTCTCGGACAGCTCGTTCAACCAGGCATATCCCATGTAAGCTACGGTCTTCTTCTGAAAAAAGAAAAAACTTATATTTGATCAATTTTGTAAAAATGAAATTATATTAACATAACATTAATTTAACAAAAAAATTAATGTTTTCATCGTATTTTCACATCCTTTTTTAGAGAAAAATTATACAATAGGTCAAAGTTATGTTACAAAACCCATAATATTACCTTCATGATGGCCAAAGTTTCAACCAATTTGTCTTCAAATCGGTTCGATTCCTTATGTTCACAGGCAAATGCTCGTACTGTCCTGATCGTTCCAAGACATTCTTCAGCTGTTCGGTTAGCTTCGGCCAATGTTGTTTGGACCCCTTCACTCAATTTCTGAAAAAGGCAAATAAGTGATAAAACGCCTGAAGACTACTGGGTTTATTTTACGTGTACAGAAAAAAATTGATAATCAAATATTTAAAATTTTTTTTCGACTTTACAAAATTTTAAGGCCGTATCTTTCTCAAAACTCACATCGTAATACTGTCCATAAAGTTTAGTGAACACACCAACTGGAGGAATGACAATGAACGTAACCACAGTCAATCTCCATGACAAACTCAACATAAACACCAAAGACCCAATCAGCATTACAGTGTTCCTCATGAAAACGTTGATGTTCAACTCCAGAATCGAGGTGACTGTTTGACAATCAGTTGTGAGACGAGAAAGAATGGCACCAGTTTGAAGTTTATCGAAAAAGGCGATTTCTTGACGAATCAAGGAGTTGAACAGGTCTCTTCTCATTGTTCTATTGACCAATGCTCCACCCCAGCAGAAGGAGGCTCCTCGGAATCCGGCACAGATCGTACTGGAATTTTATGTTTTTAAAAAGGTATTGTAATATAAAAATGAAAAAAGAAGCTTAACAATCAAGAAACAAAATGTAAAAAGCTAAAAAAACTTACGAAACAACCATAAATCCAGTCATAGTCAAGACCAGCGAATAGAAATGCTTCTTCGATGCCTCATCCTGATAAACAATGCTGGCAATTACCTTCCCAGTGTAGAACGGAATAAAGATTCTAGCTAAAAATCAAGATATTGAACCTATAACTTTACAATTCAAACCTAAAATTCAAGTGATAACATACCAGTAGAGTAGATGACCAAAAACACACAAGCCACAGTGAACCACTTCCAGTACAATAATGCATATCTGAGCAAAAACTTGACGTGAGACATAACTGATTTCCTGGTGACCTTTTCAGGCTTTTCTTGCGCATTACTTGTTCCTGGTTCACCATCATCCGATGCTTGCTCTTCTTCCTCTTCCATTCGTTCGTAATTTGGCTTAAACATGCGTTTCTTGATAAGGAAATGAAAGGCGGCAGCTGAAAAGATTGACCCAAGGATGTTCCAGAAAATACTTATCCACATTCCAATAAAATACAGCTGATCCGGCCATTCTGAGAAGCATAGCAGCTGAAAGCAAGATAAGATAATACAAGAGGAATTAGTCAAGACAGTTTTAACCCTAAATTTTTCTAAAAAAGAAAGAAACGTTCAGAACTTTGCACAACAATAGCTCATTGCCATTGTCAACTATCCTCAAAGATCCTACTAAAATCAATAACTTCAAAGAAGTTATAGTCCTTAAACTCAATTTGACCTACGTTCAATCTAAAACAATAAAAATAACTTACTTTGACCAAAGAAAACGAGATCGAGCAAACTCCATAGCTTGTAAATACCAAGAAGAACAAATCTGTAGGTAGTTTCGAAGCAACCAATATCAATCCAGTAAAAATAAAGGTATACCTCAATATCATACACACAAAGAAGTCGAAGCCACTTGTGAGCATGTTAAATTCCATAGGATTTAAATGATGAAAAAGAACTGTTGAGTTAAACTCAAAGCCTGTGACATACCAGCCAAAGGGTAATATTGTCCATAGTGAGTCGAATATCAGGTAAGAGATCAACAATATTGTGGCCCAAGCGTTGACCATCGTGAAGTCAAGCTGAAAATTGCCAATTTTTAGAAAAAAACCTACGTAAATTTAGAAATACAAGCTTAAAAACGATAAACTATATAAAATATAACAAAAATACAGAATTTCGTCAGAAATACTGATATTATACTGCCGGAAACGCATGAAATCCTCGTGAACATGATAAAACCCGTTTCCGAAACCCTGTAGAACTGATAAAACTTAAGGAAAAAATTGATAAAATGCCCTTTTACCCTAAAAACACAAAGTTTTATTAAAATATCAAAAGGAAAACCCAAAAATAAGGAAAAAAATGGAGAAAAAGCAAAAATTGCTTCAGGCAAAACTCTAGAAAATAAATCATTTCGCGGATTTTCAAAGGCAAGGAAAGGCAAAAATAGACGAAAATGACCTTTTTTAATTAAAATTTATGCTCTTATCAGTCTAAACAGCTGATAGCAAGTTCAACGTATGTTATACTTGATATTAGGACCAGAGAACCTCCCAAATTTCGTATTTTGATGAAAATTGTTGCTTGCAAAGTAAAAATAACATGGCAAAGTCAAATTTCTGATTTATTTTAAGTTTAAAATACAGTAACATGCCGTATTAAGCCCGTGCCGGTAAAAACTTTGTGAAGAATAATATTGCACGCGTAGTTCAGTGGCTAACGCGTTAGGCTTTTGCGATGAAGTTGCGGGTTCGAACCCGGTGCGAGGAAACTGGTGTAAAATGTTAAAAATGATTTTTAATTAAGATTTTTTGGAAAAAATAGTATGTGAAGAATAATTTTGCATTTATTCCATGCTGAGTTTATTTCTCTCTGATTTTGCAAACGCTTAAAAACCATGTTTTAAGAAGTATGGGACTGCTGTTCTTTGATTTTGTGAAAATTTTTTACAATTATATCAGTGTTTCACACTTGTATCCGTTATTAGGTTTATTAAAAATAAATAAGCGAACAAAAAGGTTTACAAAGACAACTTTATTAGCTTGTTTAACAAAAGTGGTTAGAGTTATATTTTAGATCAAGACTGTCATCCATGCATTTTGGAAATCAAAAAGAGAAATTTTTAAAAAGGAGACATAACGGGTTACAACCATAATTTTAAATAAGTATCAACCTTAAAAGATTTGAGAATAATAACCTTGAAGGTTTTTGGATAACAACCGTGAAGCATGATATTATACTCGTAGAGAAATTTCAAGTACTATAAAGCAAAGTAAAATATTCTGTAAAAGTAAAGTTATAATCTTCAAAAGAGCTTTAAAAGTCATAAGAAGAGAATTAAATAGGTTTTAGATCAATTTCAGATCAAATAATTTCAGTTTTAAATCATTTTGATTACTCTTTCTTCTCACCAGCCTTATTTTCACTACTCAAATCTTCGTTTTGAAGATCAGCAGTAGTAGAAGCCGGTGTGACATCCGCATCTTCACCTGACCCGTCTTTACCATCTTCTTTTTCTTTATTCAATAACTGCCGCCTGACCAGTTGTTTATATACACCATCAACAGCCATCAAGCTTTGATGGTTGCCTTCTTGAATGACCTGTCCTTTTTTGATGACAAAGATTCGGTCCGCCTTTTCTACCGTACTCAATCTGTGAGCAATCACGATCACAGTACGTCCAACTGAGCATTGATTCAGTGCTTTTTGAATAATGTATTCGGATTCCGCGTCTAATGCTGATGTGGCTTCGTCTAGGATCAGGACAGCTGGTTTTCTGATCAGGGCACGGGCAATTGCTATACGTTGCTTTTGGCCGCCTGTAAAAGGAAAGTTAATACCAAAAATTTTATAAAATCTTATTTCAAATATTTTAAAAACTTTAATTTATTAAACAATAATAAATTTAAAATTAGATTGGCTAAAAAGCGATCGCAATATCTAAAATTTGAAATTTGAAAACTTTAAAATATCATCTTGTCCCTACTATAGCAAAAATTTATTAAATAACTACAATTAAATAAAAAGCTATATTTTTAATCCACAACAACCCAGTTTGTCCTTAATATAACCTTCTTTCCCTTCAAAAACATTTTTCCCCAAACACCCCTCCCTCTTCCCTTATTTCAATCAAAAAAGACAAGTGTTTGCGTAGCTCAGTGGCTAGCGCGCTTTCTTCTTGCTCAAAAGCGTGCGGGATCGAGTCCGCCGGGTTAATCAAAGGCGTTACTCGCTTCAACGGTAACGGTTTCAAGTCCCGGCCATATTACTATAGCGGTTCTTTGATGGCAACGTTGTTTGTATTAGTGGACACGGTGTTGTAGTAACTATGCTACACTTTTTCGGGTTTTTTACAATTTTATTTCTATGTCATCATAAGTTAGCATAAAATCCTGATAAAAAATCTAAAAAAATATCCATAATTCATCACAAAGCACCCAAAAGCCATTTTGAAATTGAAAAAACTTACCGCTCATCTGAACACCCTTCTCGCCACATTTTGTATCGTAACCTTCGTCCAATTCCGAGATGAAATCATGAGCATTAGCCAGTTTGGCAGCTTCAATCATGTCCGTATCAGTAGCCCATTCCTCGCAGCCATAGAGAATATTGTAGCGAATTGATCCTGAATACAAAGTTGGTTCCTGGCTGACCAATGACACTTGTTGATGATAGAAGCGATGAGCATAGTCTTTGATATCAACACCATCAAGGGTTATGCGGCCTTTTCCGATTTCATAAAAATATTCTAGTAGGGCGATGATTGAGGATTTGCCGGCTCCAGATGGTCCTACTAACGCGCAGGTTTCTCCTGGGTTTATTGTCATGTTTAGGGACTGAAATTGGAAAAATTAGTTTTTGTTTGCTTTGCCCTGCCTTACTCTACCCTACTTTATCTTAATCTACCCTACTTTACCGTAAACTACGCTACCCTATCTTACCATACCCTGCCCAACCATACCCTATTCTACCCTACCCTGCCCTCACCTTACCCTCCTTTTTTCCACTGAATCAAGGAATAAAAAAATAATAAATTCATGTCAAAACCCACCTTCAAAACTTCAGAATTTGGCCTAGTAGGATAAGAAAAGCTGACATCTTCGAACTTGATACTGCCTTCGACTGGCTTCTGAATGGTACCATTGTATGCTATTTCAGGCTCTTTGTGCATGTATTCAAACACCTTTCTCGAGGCTCCTACACTTTCCATCAGGCCAGAAAACACGTAGTTTAGGTTCTGAAAAACCCAATTTTGCAAAGTTCAAAATCAAAAAGTCAAAAATTTTTTTAATCCACCCCTAATTTACCCCGCCCAAATGTTTTAAGAAAACACGCAGTGAAGGTTCTGAAATATTCAATTTTAATCGTTATAAAAATTTTTACAAACCAAAATTTTTTTTTATCCACCCTAATTTACCCCGCCCAATTTTTTAACTTTAAATATATGTTACACTTACATAAAAAGTCTCTCCAAGTTGTAGTTGATAAAGCAGGAATGAAGTGATTTGTTCGATGCTCAAAAGCCCATTCATGGCCAAGTGTCCAGCATAGACAAGTACGGAAATCAAGACAATGTTCTCGGAGAGCTCGTTCAACCAGGCGTAACCCATGAAGGCTAAGGTTTTCTTCTGGAAATGACCAAAAGATTTTAAAATTTGAATTTTTTTGTCAAAATCCAGTTTGTTATCCCTATGTTAACATATATTATTTTATAATTCATACTGCCTACATTAACATATATCATGCGTTACCTTCATAATGCCCAGAGTTTCGACCAATTTGTCATCAAATCTGGTCGCTTCTTCACGTTCACAAGCGAATGCTCGAACTGTTCTCATCGTCCCAAGGCATTCTTCAGCTGTTCTGTTTGCTTCAGCCAATGTGGTTTGGAAAGATTCTGTCAGTTTCTGAAAAGCATCAATAACGTTATAACTATAATGGTAAATAAACTGGCACACTCTCCTACCTATGTTAATATACATCCTAATACAGTCTTAAAAACCGCATCGCATATAAACTATACCCCTCCCACTTACATCATAGTATTGTCCATAAAGTTTGGTGAAAACTCCAATTGGCGGTATCACAATGAACGTCACGACAGTCAATCTCCATGACAAATTCATCATAAAAACCAAACTTCCCACCAACATTACGGTATTCCTCATGAACAAGTTGATATTCAACTCCAGGATTGAAGTCACAGTTTGGCAATCCGTTGTGAGCCGAGAAAGAACAGCACCAGTTTGAAGTTTGTCAAAAAAGGCTATTTCTTGCTTTACCAGGGAATTGAAGAGGTCTTTGCGCATTGTACGATTAACAAGTGCTCCACCCCATGAGAATGAGGCTCCACGAAGACCGGCACATATTGTACTAAAATTGATAAAGTTTTTATGGCCTAACTTTCAGGCCCGGCCCGTTGCTCATGTCTAGGTAAAGCCAAAAGTAAAGACAAAGGTAAGGCCAAGACCAAAAGTAGAGCCAAGACTGAGTGAAGGGCCAATGCTCAGCATAAGGTCAAAGCTAAGGGTAGAACCAAGGGTATAGGTAGAACTAATGCCAAGATTAGTGAGAAAGCTAAGGTTGAGGCCAAGGCTAAGAGTAAGGCCCAGATTCAAGACATGAGTAAGGCTAAAAGTAGAGCCCAGAATCAGGGTAGAGCCAAGGCTAAACTTAAAGTCAAGGCTCGAAGTAGGAGTAGAACCAAGGCTAAGAATAGAGCCAATACTAAGGTAAGAGCAAAAACAAGATTAAGGGTAGAGGTCGAGCCAAGGTTAGAGGTAGAAACAAGGCTAATGGTAAAGCCAAGAGTGAAGCCAAAGCCCAGAATAAGACCAATATTAAAGATAAAGGTAGGGCCAAAGCTAAACATAGGGATGTGGTCAAGGCTATGTGTTCAGGGAGCGGGAGTTTTCGGGGAATGCAGTTTCGGGGAATGCATTTTCGGGGAAGACTTTTCGGGGAAAGACTTTTCGGGGAATGGACCTTTCGGGGGATGGACTCTTCGGGGAATGCATTTTCGGAGAATGTACCCTTCGGGGAATGAACTTTTCGAGAAATAATTTTTTTTAATTTTAAATTTAAAAATATGTTATAAAGTTAGTAAAAATAGATTTAAATTTAATTATAAAAGTTTCTAGATTAAAATTTTAAAACTATAAATTACGAAAAATTAAAAATTCCAAGCATATTAATCAATATATTATTTTATCAATTGTAAAGTAAATGTGATTTAAAAGTTTGTAAGATGTAAAAGGGTAAAAAAAATAATTTTTTAAAAAAGAAGCCCTAGAGTAAAATTTAATTTTTTTTTCTAAATTTTTAATTTTATCAATCTTTTTAAATAATGTAAAAATTTCAATATGACCGAATCACATTACACTCCCTGACTGAATCACATGTGCCTTTATTAAGCATCGTTAACGTTGACATCGTACCATGAACGTTCCTATGACACTTTTTGAATACTTTTTACACTGTAGGATGTAAATGTAAGGCCGCATGCTAGGTAGAGTACTGTGAAAATCGTACCGTGCCGTGAACGTTCAAATGTTACTATTTTTGAAGTACGATTATAATTTACTATCAGATTTTTTTGCGAACCAAAAAAAAGCTGTAACATTAGAATGTTCACGGCACGGTACAATAACTTTCACAGTACTCTACCTAGCATGCGACCTAACATTAAAAGCATACAAAAAAGTGTCAAAGGAACGCTCACGGTACGATGACAACGTTAACGATACTTAATAAAGGCACATGTGATTCAGTCAGGGAGTGTAATGTGATTCGGTCATATTAAAATTTTAATCTAGAAACTTTTATAATTAAATTTAAATCTATTTTTACAAACTTTATAACATATTTTTAAATTTAAAATTTAAAAAAATTATTCCCCGAAAAGTTCATTCCCCGAAGGGTACATTCCCCGAAAATGCATTCCCCGAAGAGTCCATCCCCCGAAAAGTCTTTCCCCGAAAAGTCTTCCCCGAAAATGCATTCCCCGAAAAGTCACTAACCCATGTGTTGAAGTAGAGCAAAACTAGGAGGAGAAATAAACCAAATATAAAATAAGACTCCTTACGATATGACCATAAGTATGCACATCTTGAAGACCAAAGAATAAAAGACCTTTCTCGTTTCTTCATCTGGGTGTACAATAGTAGCAATGACTTGTCCAGTGTAGTACGGAATGAAGATTCGCGCTAAAATATTTTAAAACATTTTTTAATTTTGTAAAATACGGCTTCTGCTATCCAGTTCGCATAAATTATCCTTAAAAACTGTTATATATCCTCAATGATTCTATAAAAAAATACGTCTATTAATAAAATATCTGTCCTCCACCCCCCTCTCTGTTATATTAACATCCATCTTACTCCTACAATAACATACCAGAAGAATAGATGACCAGAAAAACGCAAGCCACACTGAACCACCTCCAAAATTGTGCAGCATACTTGAGTAAGAACTTGACGTGTGCCATGACAGACTTCCTGGTAACTGGTTCTGGCTTATCAGTTCCATCATTCGATTCATCACTTTGATCTTCTTGATTCGTGTTTTCTTCGTCCATTCGTTCGTAGTCCACTTGAAACATTCGTTTTTTAATCAAAAAGTGATAAGCAGCCACTGATAGGACCGAGCCAAAAACATTCCATATTATGCTCAACCAGACGCCAACAAAATACAGCTGATTCGGCCATTCGGAGAAGCAGAGTAACTGAAAGTATACAGTATTATGAAAAGTTACGGTCGATTAGGCAACAAATAAAGTTAAGTGATGGTATAGTAAGGAAGAAAAAAGTATAGCAATGTAGAGTAGGTTAAGTAAAATAGTTTGGAGTAAAGTAGGATAGGGTTTTACTTAACATTGCCTTTTCTATTAAATCCTATCATATCCTACCCAAGACTGACTCTTCTCCTCTTCCATCCCTCAACCATACCAAACTAGGCCCGTAAAAGAGCCGGGCCCAATTTTCCAGTCCGGTCTAGGCCTATTTGGCCTCTTTCAAGTCTATACCAAACAAAAAAAATTTTCTAATCAAATGTTTTACTTTTTACCCCTCCATCCAAATCTTCAAATTTTACTCCTCCATCCATGTCTTCAAAAAATTTTAGAAAAAATTCATCATCCTCCCCTCCCTCCTTTTCCCACCCCAAAACTACCCGCCCGGCATATCCTACACTCGCCCACCCCAAAAATACACAAAAACAAAAAAAATTAACTTACCTTGATCAATGAAAACGAAATGGAGCAAACTCCATAACTCGTAAAGAGAAGAAAGAAGAGATCAGTTGACACCTTCGATGCCACCAATACCAATCCAGTGAATATAAAGATGTACCTTATGATCATACAAACAAAAAAGTCGAATCCACTGGTCAAAATGTTATAATCAACTGGGTTTAACTTGGTTAATAGTACTGTGGAATTGAACTGAAAGCCTGGTGCATACAGACCAAAGGGTAATACCGTCCATAGTAAATCGACAGCAACGTAGACTATTAAAAACAATGTCACCCAAGGATTGACCATTGAATTGGGCTGAAAATTCAAAAATATAATATTATTTATTTATAAAACGCACTTTTAGATTAAAAATAAAATTTCATATAAAACACGAAAATAAAATTTTAAAATTAAAAAGAAATTAAAAATTCAATTTTAAAATGTCACAATGACTCATTTGACAGACAAAAACAATTTTTAAATTTTAAGAACACCAATAAATCTAGACCCTTTAACAATATAAATAACGTTTTTTTGTTTAGAAACCATTAGATAGTTTTTCATCAATTTGAACTGAAAACAAAAGATAAAATTCTAAACAAGAACAGTCTAAACATATCACTGAAACTTTCTCTTCGAAATTTCAAAGATACACAGTTAAAAGAAGTTAATTTTAGTCCAATACCAAAAGAAGAAAATCTAATTTTTTTACAGTGAAAACCTGTATAACAAACTCTACCGGTACTGTATATCAAAAAATATTTGCCTCTTCAACGGGAGAAGAACACGTTACAAAACACCAAGCTGTATTGAATAACAATAGAATACCTACCTCTAAAACTTGATTATATACAAAATCTGCTGCGCTGTTAAAAATTTAAAAATTCAATTTTAGAAGCCAATGAAACCTTTAAAAACACCCTGTTCAAATTCAAAACATGTTGTTTTCTTTCCCTAATGAATCAGCGTTTTTCCCATCACTATCAACTTTGAACTCTTTTCGAAACTTTATGTCTGGCCAAGAAAAATTGCAATTCTAAAACAATATTAAAAAAACTTTGAAAAGTTTTAAAATGATCACTTTTTAAAATTTTTAGGTATGCTGGCCCGTTGAAGCACTGGCTTTGAACCATCATTATCCCTTCCCAAAACCCCATTCTTCCAAAAAAATCAAAAAGCCTAGTCAATTTAAACTTCGAAAGAGTTGATAGTTAAACAAACAAATTGTGAAAGAATTGCGAAACGGTCATTTTTGACGCATGTTACACTTTACTGAGGTAAGCTACAAAAGCCCTACCGATTTGTGTCTGACCTTATGGTTGTGATTCATTGTCAGTTCAGATGCAATATATAGATAGGAAGGTAATAGCTATATTATAATAGCAATACGAGTAGTTTGGGTGGTAGTACACAAAGTATAAACAAACAAGTATAGATAGCGTAAATTAACCGATTTCGACAAATTTCGAACCAAATTTGAGTCATTTAGGAAAACCAGATTTATTTCACAAGAATTTCATTGAATTAGGCCCTGCGGCGTTGTTTTCGGGTTAGGAGTGCACGGCCAGCACGCGACTTGTTGTCTCGGTTCATCTTCTGGCAAATCCATTCGCCGGTCTCGATGAGTTTGTCCAAATCAACTCCCTGAAGATAACATATCAATTTTTTGTTAAAAATAACAAGGACTTTCTTTACAATATCAAAAATTTCAAAAACTTTCTTTACAAAGTATAAAATGACAAAAACTTCCTTTACAGGATCTAAAATAGCAAAAACTTTCTTTACGAAGTAAAAGACAACAAAAACTTTCTTTACACAGTCTGAAAACAAAACCTAAATAAATAATATGCTATTACAATTTACTTTTTCACGAATTTTACCAGTGATAAATCGTTTTCTTACCGTTTCAAACCCCAGGTCATTCAACATGTACAACAAGTCTTCTGTAGCCACATTTCCTGTAGCCCCTTTGGCATATGGACATCCTCCAAGGCCAGACACACTGGCATCAGCTACTCGAATCCCCTTCTCAATAGCAATCAAAACATTAGCCAGGGCTTGGCCATATGTGTCATGACAATGAACTGCAAACTTTGAAGCTGGAGCCACCTTTAACACTTCGTCCAGCATTCTGCCAGTACTCTTTGCACTACCCACTCCAATCGTGTCACCCAGTGATACTGAAAATAACATTTTTAAAAGTATAATAAGATGAAATGAATAATTTAAGCGTTAAAGTCAAAATTTAAAAAATCAGTTTTAAAACCTCTCGCCAAATTGGCATTCCATAGCAAGTACTGTTAACAAAATTAGACATGAGAAACGGGCCGGGCCGGCCTTGAGCAAAATTTCGATCGAACCGGGCCTCATTCAAGCCCGGCAAGCGGGCCGGGCCTGAAAAATGAGCCGGGCCCGGCCCGTTTCTCATGTCTAAACAAAATTAATCTTTTTCCAAGTTACCTTCATAACATCCAAAAGAAAACAATTTCTCAGAAATATTCGCCACAACCTTTGGATCAATAGCTCCTTCATCTGGATCTCCAACAACCATTGAGACGTATCCTCTGACTGTAAGATTGTTCTTAATACCTTCTTCTGTCACTTGTTTTAGTCGATTCAGACTTTCTTCCATTGAACAATTCGTATTCTTCCTAAAAATATCCATAAAAACCTTAAAATTCACCAAAATACTTCAAATTTTGATAGAGTTTGACATTAACATAGATAATATATAACCCACCGTGTGAAGGACTCCGAAGCCGCTCCAAACACAGCAATCTCTTTGACATTAGGATTACCTAAAGCAGCCTTCAGACCAGCCATATTCGGCACAAGAACAGGATAACTAACACCAGGCTTCTGATTTATGGCATTTAAGACTTCATTGTTATCTGCCATCTGTGGAACCCATTTTGGAGAGACAAAACTTGTAACTTCAACTGTTTTCAATCCACAAGAGCTCAAACGATCTATCAACTCCACTTTCGTGAATGCTGGCACAAGGGTCTACAATCAAACAGATTTTATAAACAAAATTCAATTAAAACCTCTTTGATGTCTATAACAACATCCAAAAACTTGGCTAAAACTAGAAAAACAATATAATGTTAAAAAAAATACCTTTTCATTCTGTAAACCATCTCGTGGACCAACTTCAACAATCTTAAATCCTTCCTGAAATACGAAATGAACATTAAAAATGCTTGCTAAGATAGTTCCTTACCTTTTTCGTGCTTAAAAACCGCTTAAAACCATTGGAATTCAAAGTTTTTAGTAACATTTTAGAGAAAGGATAAATCGACTGGTATATTTATAGCAAAAGGGTAGTAATAAATTGATTTGTTACGCATTTTAGCAACCAAAGAACATTCAAAACAAAATAACAACAAAATTTTGTTTTGAGCCAAGTTTTTCTCTAATCTCTTGTTTTCAGGTCAAGTGTTGCTAAATATACGTTTACAATTTGCTAACAATAAGCCTATTTTACACCGCAATTAGGCCAATAATTAATAACAAGCCATTACAAAGTACAATATAATAGAAAAATTTTATTTTTGATACAAAATACGTAATATAATATCTACACAGTTTTTTTCTCATCATTTCCTCCGGCCGAAACTTCCTCGAACTGCGACTTTTTGGCCGATTTCGTTGACTTGTTGGCTTCCTTGGTGGATTTGGTCTCTTTGGTCGATTTGCCTCCGGTCGGTTTTTCCTTGTTACTTTTGGCCGATTTGGTTTTACTCTTCTTGCCATCTTTGGGCTTATCTTCGGCGTCTTTTTGAACCTGAAATGGCAAGAACTTTGTTTACAAAACGTAAAGTAGTAATAATTTTCTTTACAGAACAAAAAATGACAAGAACTTTCCTTACATAATTTAAAATGGCAGAAACTTTGTTTACAAAACAAAAATGGCAAGAACTTTGTTTTCGTAACTTAAAATGGCAAAAACTTTGTTTACAATGTATAAAACTTCAAAAAATATTACCTTTTTTCTCTTCCGGAAGTAGAACTTCCGGGCCGGTTGTAGCTCTTCGGCGTTGATGTAGAATGGTCGTATGATCAAGATGGCGATCAGCCACAATCCACCCAGAAACCAGCAAAACGCACAAATTGGACCGAAATAGTCCTGAATACCCAGTTTGAAGACTGGTAAAGCCATCACCGTCTACCGTAACGTACAAAAAGAATACTGTAGTCATTGGCTTTTTGGGTTGATCAAGTGTCGAAACGGATTTCAAAAATTGTGGGAAAAAAACAATTTTATGAAATTTCATTTTGAAATTTATTGAAATTCGAGATTTTATTTTTGGAATTTGATGAAATAATTAAAATTTTTTGAAATTTGATAAATAATTTTTAAAAAATTTTTCGAAACTCAAAATATAATTTTGAAATTTTAATAAAATTTCGTTAAAAAATTTTCTCACATTTTAATTTTTTTAAAATTTTGGCAAGGACTAATTACAAAACGAAATAAATGATAATGATCGTATAACTTGTCACCCGCAGGCTGCGGTACAAGAAATACTAACTCTTCGATTTATGTAGGCAATAACTTTCTTTACAAAACATTAAATAGCAAGAACTTTCTTTACAAAACAAAAAATGGCAATAACTTTCTTTACAAAACAAAAAATGGAAACAACTTTCTTTACAAAACAAAAAATGGCAAGAACTTTCTTTACAAAACAAAAATTGGCAAGAACTTTCTTTACAAAGCACACAATTTTAAATTTTAAAAAAATTCCAAGTTCCAAAATAAAAACTTTCTTAAATTTCATTTCCTATCCTTACTGACCGGTCGTTCATCCCAAAAATGGAAACACAGTCCAGTCAAACAGTCGCAGCGACTCGTCCGGGTGAAGATGCGCCAGTTCAATTGAATTTGTTGAATCTTCGACTGTTTTCGTATGGTGTTTATGCTAATGTGTATATCGGGGAGCTGGTCGAAAATGGCAAAACTGTCACTGTGGCGGTGAAAAAGTGCTGGAGTAAGTTGGAAAGAAAGTTATTGCAGTGTCTTGTTTTGTAAAAAAGTTCTTGCCGTTTTATGACCTGTAAATAAAGTTCTTGCCTTTTTTGTTTTGTAAAGAAAGTTATTGCCATTTTGTGTTTTGTAAAAAAACTTTTTTGCCATTTTTAGATTTGTAAAGAAAGTTGTTGCCTTTTTTGTTTTGTAAAGGAAGTTCTTGCGGTTTTTTGTTTTGTAGAGAAAGTTCTTGCCATTTTTCAGTTGGTAAAGAAAGTTCTTGCCATTTTTCAGTTTGTAAAGAAAGTTCTTGCCATTTTCATTTTCTTATGATTTTTTTGTTTTTGCAGCCTGCGGGTGACAAGTTATACGAAAAATAAAATTTCTTTCTATCTAAACAAAGTTCCTGCCATTTTATGCCATAGTCTTTTAAAAAATATTGTTGTAGGGTACTATAACGAGCCAGACATACTAAAACCGACAAGTTTTTGTCGAAAGGTCTATCAATTTTTGCTTTGGTGGAGATCTTTTGACGAAACAGGTCAGTTTCGACCAAAAATATTTAAAAAATTTTATTTTCAGCAAGTTCACTTGATTGCAAAGAAGTCAAGATCCTGCAACGACTGAACCAAACAAAACCCAAAAACATTGTCAACCTGCTGTACTTGTTCCACAACAAATATCAGGACAAGGTGGGTTACTGTGATTTTGCAAGAGAGACAGTTGATTCTGTAAAGAAAGTTCTTGTCATTTTATGTTTTCTAAAGAAAGTTTTTGCCATTTTATCCTTTGTAAAAAAAGTTCTTGCAATTTTTTAATTTCGAAAGAAAGTTATTGCAAATTTACGTTTTGCAAAGAAAGTTCTTGCTATTTTCTAAATTGTAAAGAGAGTTTTTGCAATTTTAAAACAAAACGTTAAAGTTTATGAAATTGCAGCCTGCGGGTGACAAGTTATACGATGCCTACCGGTTTCTTGTCCTTTTACCTTTTATAAAGAAAGTTCTTGCCGTTTTCAAAAGCGCTAAGTCATATAAGTCCTATAAACTTCAAAAATGGCACAGCTAAACCCAATTCTATTCTATTCTATCTACTTTCAGACCTGTTTCTCGCTAGTGATGAACTTTATGCCAATGTCGTTAAGCACATACTGTAAACGTATCAAGCCATCCCCTCTACCGCCCATTGATACCAAACTGTTTACATGGCAAATCTTCCGCGCACTACAGTACCTACGCAAGTACCAGATCATTCATCGTGACCTGAAGCCACAGAACATTCTACTGGAGCCGGATATAGGGTTGATACAAGTGGCAGATTACGGTAGCTCGGCGGTAAGTACTTTGGTAGGGAAAAGGTAACATTGGTTGTACCAGTGGTACCAATTTTATATCTAAGTTACCAATATCACTCTACTGTCACTCATACCAACCCTATTTCCAGATCGTCGGCGAACAGTACAGTATGTCATCGTACCATGTAACCCGCTACTATCGACCACCCGAACTACTGCTCGGCGCTCACAGTTATGGGCCCGAAATTGACATTTGGTCAGCCGGCTGTGTGTTCGGCGAAATGTTGAGAGGACGAACTCTAATACCAGGAAGCTCGACCGAAGATCAATTGGCTGTAAGTTTGACGGAATGTCACGAAAGACGGATATTGATGTTTGTAACGAAATGTCAAAAATTATATTGATTTTTTGAAATAAAATATCAAAAAATAAATTTTTAGAAACAAATGTAAAAAACAGAAGATTGATTTTTATGACGAAATGTCACAATAGCTTAATATTGATTTTTTGCAACAAAATGCCAAAAGATATTTTATTGATTTTTATGCAGAAAGTAATCCTGGTATTCGGAATGCCAACAGATTTGGAAAAGAAGGAAATGAAAGCCAAGAAGTTCAAACAACTGACTCAAGAAGCGGTTCGAAAGGCCGAACAAGCCTATATTGCACGTGGTACTGATGGTCTCAAAGAGGTACGTTTTTGAAAAATACATAAATAAAAAATTTTTGTAAAAACTTTGCTTTCGAGCCATAAAAAATAACTTTTATATTTTCAGCTCTGCCCGACCGCACCACCCGAAGCCCTTAAGCTGCTGCGCGAAATCATGGTCTACACGCCATTCCAACGTCTACATGGGCCGAAATTGTTGGGCGACAAATACTTTGATGACATTTTCTCATCCACAACGCTCAGAAATGGCAAACCTATAACGGTGGTGACAAAAGAGGACTTACATCAAGCTACGGCTGGCGATAAATCCTTGGACGAATCAGCTTCATCCCACACTGGAGGCGCCTCCGGCTAGTTTTGGCCACATCGAATGGGACTTTTGAACATTTTTTGATACTGAATTTGAAATATTGAATAAAAACTGATGCTTTATTTATTTATTGCTTATTTTTATGGTTTTAAAATTTGAAAATACGTCATAATGACAGATTTTACAGAAAAAAATGCCTCCATAGTGCGGAGTTTTTGAGTAATATCTTCTGTATTTAAATAAAACCAAATTTCAAATTTGGTATACAAACGTTTTAAACTATAACAAAACAACTTTTCTAATTACAACAAATCTGTAGAATGACTGTAACATACCAAAATGGCACTTTGTTCACCCTAAGAGGCAACTATAGGTATTATTGCCATAAAATGAAGTTTTTTCTCAAAAATCGAAACTTTTAAAATTAAGTCGTTATCATTATTGAAATCAGCTTTAAATTTTACATAAAAAACCTTTTCCAAAAGGCTCAAAAGCGATAAAAGCTGCGTAGTCTAACTGGTTGCACCCGCGTCTTACGTTCAAAACCAGACAAGTTCGAATACGGTCAGTGACTAACAACAATTTTTTGACAAAAAATAAAAATAGCTTTAAAAATCATAGAAATTTAAACTTGTCAATTGTCACCGTTTCATTTTTCGAAATTTCAAAAATTTTACTTTGAAAAGACTGTGAATGAAGAACCGGTTGCCTTCTACAACTAACTTTCATCGACTAATGGCAGCCGGAGTGAGCAGACGTCGCGCTTCTTCGGCACCTCCACCATCACGCTTGGGTGTGAATCCGGCTCCGGTTAATGTTGTGCCACAACGTGAACTGCATACGGCGAGATCATCTACTAGTAGGGGAGCTCAACATGGTCCACAAAGCCCTAAAACCCCACCTGGAGCTATTACTGTAAGTTTTGTATAGTAAAGCAGAGTAAGTCTTATTAAAGTACCGTAAGACAAAATTTAAAAAGCTACGGTAAACCCCAAAAAAAATCCTTTTTCAAGCGAAACCTTATAGGTATACACCGACGGTTCATGCCACGGTAACTACGCATCGGGCGTGGGAATCTACTTTGGCGAAAACCACCCCCTAAACACGTCCCAGCCTCTGCACGGTAGTTATCATTCAAGTGGTTTAGCCGAAATCAAAGCAGCCCAAATGGCACTAGAGCAGCTACAACGATGGCCTGGCTACAAAGGAGAACATGTTGTGATACGAACTGATTACAAACCACTTATCGACATTCTGATATCGAGACGACCAGCTGCTTATGCCACAGAGATCGCCGAGGTTCGACGATTGGCTGAGAGTTTCCCGTTGGGTGTGAGTTTCCAACACATTTATGGCCATAATGGACATCCGGCCCAGGAAAAAGCTGATGAGTTGGCCAGAATATCGACGATGAATCATCGACGAGCCAGAAGTGCATCACCATTACCTGACAATACCGGTGTAAGAGGCAGTCAGTCCGATGCTTCTAGGTAAGGCTTTAGTGAAAAGCAAGAACTTTCTTTACAAAACATAAAATAGCAAGAACTTTCTTTACAAAATATAAAATTGCAAAAACTTTCTTTCCAGATCCCGTTCCCAGAACCGCAGTCGCTCAGGATCGCGTTCCAGAAACCGTAGCAGATCTCGTCAGCGGTCGGTTTCGCGCGAAGGTCGAAAAGGGGCTGGTGTTGAAGTGTACGTTCCTCACCGTAACCCAAATCAACCTCTGAATACGGCTACACACTTGAAAACAGAAACCTCAACTCCGACGCTTCCAAGCCCGCATGGAAGGCCAGCCAAAGGAATTAGTTCGGAAAGTTCGGTAGAAATGGATCAATGGCCGTTCCAATCGCACGCTGAGGAACGGCCAAGTCGAAGTCGAGAAGTTGTACATAGGAGGCCAGTACCGTGAGTTTATTATCTCATCCTAATAGAACTATACCTAATGCATCTTTAACTATCTTACCCTACCCTACCCTACCCTACCCTACCTTACCCTACCCTACCCTACCCCACCCTACCCTGCCTTCACTAACCTATTCCAATTTACCATTCCCTACCATTATACTACAGTAGCACTGCTTGAACTCCGTCCCACCCTGTCCAAGCCCTAAGGGTAAGAAACGAGCCGTGCCAGCCCAAGTTTTAAGCCCGGCCAGTCTCAACTTTAGCTCTTTCGTAGAACCGGACTGGGCAGGGCCTACACGGTCTCTCACCCCGTAGTGCATTCTACCTTACCTTCAGCTATTGCTATCCCAGGTTTACTGTTGTCTTAACATAATATTATTATACTCTACCCCACATAACCAACCTCCTTTTTTGCCCTACCCTACCCTACCTTAACCTCATTAACCTATAGTATTCTAGCCTAATTTGTAAGGCTTAATCAGAGTAACTTAAAAAATTTATTTAAAAAATTTTCAGACCATCCGTGTACCTTCGAACCAACCGACCCGCTAATCCATCTACAACGACAAGTGGATCTGACTTTTCAGAACGAAACATGATGACATTGAGGACAGAGACTAGTGATATAAGAACTGGCACTGATGTATCGACAGCTTTTTCTCAAAATTCACAGTAAATTTTGCTAATTTGAATATTTTCTAGACTGTAAAAAAATTTTTGCCATCTCCATCCTGAAAATACTTTTACAGCCAATCAACCTCACCCCGCCGGAACGTTCACTACATTGGTCCAAACCCACGAGACCATGGCTTCCTTTCGGATACGGGCTCCTTTGCTCAAAGCCGCAGTCGTTCCTTGTCGTCAGCGTCACGGAACGTCTCTAGCCCACCGACACCACGAGATGCGCGACGTCGACGAACAGTGTCAGGAGATGCTGGCTTTGAGCGACGCCAAAGAGGCCGAGCCAATCGAAGAGATCGTCGAATGGAACGAGTACGACAAATGATCCAGACGGCTAGACAAAGGAACAACAGCTCGAGGTCGCAAAGCTTGCCTGGAGATCAGAGGAACTTGAGTGGAGATCACGTTGGTCAGATAAGCTCAAGTCATGGTGTTCAGCAAGGTCAGGCTAATCAGATGGGCTCAAGCCATGGTGGTCATCCAGGTCCGGCTGGCCAGATGGGCTCAAATCATGGTGGTCACCCAGGTCAAGCTGGTCAGATGAGCCAACACCAACCATGTCAGGTAGCTTCAGATCAAAACCAACAAGGAGATCAAGCTAGTCAACGCGGTCCAGCTAACGCTGGTCAGATGAACCCAGGTTCGGCCAGTCAACGAAGTCAAGCTCAAGCAGGCCAACTTCAAGTCGGCCCAATAGCTGCAGTTCAAGTACAACATCATCCAAGTCAAACGAATCAGCTAAATCCATATCTGCTTGGTCTAAGCAGACAGAATCAGCCCAGTCAAGTGCTTTTAAAACAAGCTAGACAAAGAAGTCAAAGCCAAACTAGCTCAGGTCAAGAAGGCCAAAGCCGCCGACCAAGCTCAGGACTACTTAGACCAGGAAGTCAGGGAAGTGGACAGCCGAGTCCATATCAAAGAAGCCAGGCCAGCTCAAGCCAATCTGCATCAAGCAACCGAAGTCAAAGCAGTCAATTGAGCTCAAGCCAAGCTAGCCAAGAAAGTCAAAGTGGTACCTTGAGTTCAGGTCTAACTAGCCATGGGACTCTTAGTAGTCAGTCAAGCCGCCGGCCAAGCTCAGGACTACTTAGACCAGGAAGTCAAGATCAAGATCGTCAGCCAAGTCCGTACCTAAGGTCAGGACAAAGAAGTCGAAGTTTGAGTACGGGAATTTGGACCAGTGGTCAGAGTGGTCAAGTAAGCCCATATCAAGCTAGTCAAGGTAGTCAACTGAGCTCAAGTCAAACTAGTCAGAGTAGTCAACTGAGCTCAAGTCAAGCTAGCCAACGCAACTCAAGTCAAGCTAGTCAACTGAGCTCAAGTCAAGCTAGAAGAAGAAGCCAAAGATCACGTTCAATGCATACGGCCATAGAACAAGTTCAAGATGGTCAACTGGGCTCACGTCAGGCTAGGCAAAGAAGCCAAAGTCAAGGAAGACATATGAGTCAAAATGGTCAGCCGACTTCTGGCCAAGTGGGTCAAAGAAGAGGTAGAAGGCGAAATCGATCAAGAGCTTCAGTCAATATGGCTGCGGCCCAGAGGAATTTGGCCAGACGTCCAAGGCAAGGAGGTCAGATGAGTTCAAGTCAAGTTAGACAGAGAAGTCAAAGTCAAGGTGGACAGATGAGCCAAAATGGTCAGCCTAGATTAGGTCAGGCTAGACAGAGAAGTCAAAGCAGTCAGATGAGCTCAAGTCAAGCCAGACAGAGGAGTCAAACTGGTCAAACGTACTCAAGTCAAGCTAAACAGAGAAGTCAAAGTAGTCAGAGGAACTCAAGCCAATCCAGACCGTCTAGTCAAAGTCGAAGCATTCAAGGTCATAGCAGCCATTCCGGTGCATCTCAAGGTGGTCATAGTCAAGGTGGTAATAGTGCATCTCAAGGTGGTCATGGAGCATCTCAGGGTGGTCATGGAGCATCTCGAGGTGGTCGTCGTTAACACAAGACATATGTCATGAATAAAACTGATTTTAAAATTTTTCGGCCGTTTTTTTCACTTTTAAAATGTCAAAATTTATTTGAAAAACAATATAAATGGTCGAAAAAGACCCATAAATTGAGAAAAACGTATTTTAAAGCCATTAAATATATATATGCAGGTACATATTTGTATGATATATGATGTTGTTTCCATTCGGTATATGTTGATATTGTATGACAGTGTTTTCATTCTGTATTTGAGTGTGTAATATAGGATATTGTAGTCATTCTGATTGCCCAAAATCAATCAAGTCCTAAAATTTTGGCAATGATTTTGTTTCTAATGGATATAAAATGTCATTTTGTTTGATTTTTCGGATTTTGCAAGAACTTTCTTTACAAGGTTTTGGCTGTAATTTGTTTGTTTTTACAAACTTTACAGTAATTTGTAAAGTAAGAGCAACTACTATAGCTATACTATAGGTATACACCCTAGAAAAAATCTGTAGCTTCATCTAGAGCGGGGAAGATTGAGCATCTTCCTTGTAAGCTGTAACTTTAGCTACACTATCGTAGTTTACTTTAAATTATTGTACTCTACCCTTTTCCAATTTATCGTGCTCTGTCTCATAATAGTTAGCCCGACTTTAATTTACCCTACTACAGTCTTCCAAACGTCAACTTACCTAAAACCTATTGAATTTCCCACTTGTTCAAATAGTTCTGTGCCTCTAACGCAAATTTTTGGAACTCGGAGGCGCAGAATTAAATGAACAACCTAATATTAGGTTGTTCACTTAATTCTGCGCCCTCTCTCAAAACAAATTTGTGGGATAAGAGGGCGCATAATTAAATGAACAACCTAATAGAAAAAATTTAATTTCAATTTTACTATATTATAAAAAAAGGCATTTTCGAATCCTCTGTGATATAAAAAATGTAATTTTCCAACCAACCATAACATACTTACCGCCTCATTCGCAGGTATCCCATCATTGTTTCGAATCGTTTCATCAGAAGGTCCGACTCGATTTGTAGGTAATGCCAAGCCCGACGATCCCACACGGTCCTCTTGTGCCAGCCGTCTGGCTAACTCCTCGTCCTCTTTGGCCTGATTCTCTCGGGCTAGCCTCTCTTCATTCTCCAGTTCTTCTTGTAATTGTAGTGCAAATTCGGCATCTTTTCGTTCGATCTCACTCAAACTGTTCAGGTACTCGTCCAGCACCTTCTTGTGCTCTTCTTGTGACATTTTGTGGTCCTGAGACGATAGTCGGCGAGAGTTGCGGTTGTTCTCGTAAAACTCTTTGTACTCGGCTTCCTGTAGCTGGTTGGCGAGGTTGAAGTCGCTGGCTTCTGTGAATCGTGCCTTTACTAAACAGTACTGTATTGGGGTTGAGGTGAACTTACAATTCGAGACGGATTCCTGCTTTTCGTCCGGTTTTCGCGGCATTTTTGGAAATTAAGACACTACAACTTTGATCAGAGTTATCTTCAATCTATTTAGTTATAAAGTGTGCTGTAATGGAAAAAAGTAGAATTTGAGCTACTGTAATTTTAATATCGAATGGAAAGGTTGTTTGGAAAGGGGGAAGGAGAAGAATGGGTAGAGAATATTAGCGTATTGCAGAAGGGAAGAGAATGCTTCCTGCCACTTTAAAAACAGTCAAGTCCCTGTTCGTTTTCAAAAAATCGAAAATCAACCCTTAACAAACTTTTTTTTTCAAAAATCCGCCCCAAATTTTTGTTTCAAAATCCGCCCTTAACAAAAAATTAAAAAAATCAAAATCCACCCCTAACAAAAAATAAAATAAAAACAACCCAAAAGCAAAATATTTCAAAATCCGCCCTTCTAAAAAAACAAAAATTTTTAAAAATTCAGCCCAGCCTCGCACTAAATTCTTTAGCCCAACCCTCACCATGCCATATGTATAATATTTTCATAAATATAATACTGTAAAAACAGATAACTCACAAAGATACCACACCAATATGGATATTAACGTTAAGAATATTTATTCGGCACTACCCATAACTTAATGAAATAATAATATTATGTGACAAAATCAAATCAACAAAGCACAAATAGCTGAGAATCTAACAGAAAAGCTTAACAATCAAATTAGACTTGAATTTAAATTTTAAAAAAGTAAATTCAGTTTTCATACTATTCAGTACCATCTTAATATCAAATCTTTATAAAAGTTTTTATTTACTCTAATATATTAGGTTGTTCAAATAATTATATGCCCACTTCAAAACAAATTTTTCGAAATTAGGAGCACAGAATTATTTGAACAACCTAACACTATATTAAACCCACTTATAAACCAAAAATTAACCCTGTGTTTTACCGTGTTTTTACTGTATTGTCATACAGTTTGAACCGTATAGTATTACCGTATTAACATAACCGAAATAGTTATCCTATTACTGTACCTTATGATCTCGAAAAAATTAAAATAGGTCACAACTATAATAAGAAATATGGTCGAAAATTGTAAAATTCATTGAAATACCCCAAAATACTTAATATTACCCACACTTGGTTACGTAATAGAAACGAGCACTACAGCTACAATTTGGTACTTTAATCAAGGCTATTACTCTAGCTACGATTTAGTACTATAAGGAGGACAAATACCTTAATTAAAATTCAATACTAATCAAGACGAGTACTATAATCACAATTTTAGTAATTCAAGTTGTACTTCAAATTTCCATAGCATACTTAAAAAGTTATAGACATCCATAGAAAGATACTTCTAGATTACCAAAAGTACAAACGGTACTACATTTACAATATTAAGCCATTATAAGATTATTAATAGTGTAATCTATCTCAATATGACCAACTAAGACCACTCTGTCAAACCATTCAAATATTAATAATAGTACAATCGGTATCATATTCACCTTCACCCAGTACTCATGTGTAAAGTCTTGACAGATCCCTAAGTTCATTACTGATGTCGCCCGTCCTCGTTGCCGCCATGAACTTCATTTTGAAGGTTTGAAGTTGTTCTGTAGTGGCAGTTAGGCCCGAGTCCTTGTCCAGATTGGAAATGGCAACGTCGACCCAGTGGTCGACTTCCGGCCGACAAATTTGTAGAAGAAGCTTTAGAACGGCGGCAACCTCGTATTGAATGTGAGCCGATAGGTGGTATATTGAGCCGTGAATACAGTGCCATACAATCTTGTTACCGTACTTTATGATCAGACTTTTGGCGATTTGTGCTCCTGCTTGGTACTGGAGTGGTACTCGGTCCGAGGTAGCAAAGTTGATGACCTCGGTGATGAAAAACAGCACCGATTTGTTGGCGTCTTGATGTGGGGTTTCAATGAGGTAGGTGCCGACTTCGATCAGTTGTTCTGCCACTTGTTCTTGAAAGAACGGTACTGGCAAGCGGAGACAGTATCGTACCGAAAGACGGTATAGATCGTCGATGGTTTCTGGATGTTGCTGCGGGCCTTCGCCCGAGTTCAGGACGGCAAACGCTTTTTGGGATAGGTACTGGAATTAGGTAGAATTAAAAATGTCACAATTTATTTTAAATTTTAAAATATTAAAACTGTGTATAAAAAATAGCCAATAAAACATTAAAAATAAAAACCTTATGAAACCGTTAAAAAGCCTACCTTCAGCAAATTAATTAGTCCTTCATGTAACTCTGGATTGTTGCCATTTTCATCTACTATTACACTTGCCAAGTATAAGATACAAGAATGTGAGTATTCGTTGTAGATTTCCACCAACTGTAAAACAAAAAATGCATTTTCATTCAAAATCAAAAAAAAATTTTTTTAATCCCCCCGAAAATTTTTATTATTTACCCCGCCCATTAAATAATAACTTATGAACTTAAATATCAACCTTGCTTAACCCACACCAAAAAAAAATTTTAATCCTCCCCCAAAACAATTTTTACCCCGCCCATTAAATATAAGTCCTAAAGTTAATCTTTTTTTCTCAAAAGCAAACCCAACCCAACTCCGTCCCCACTATCCCCTTAAATAAAAAACAGTTTTTAAATTCCCAGCCCATACCCCCTCCCTTTCCCCCAAAAACCCCTACCTGATGCGCCAAATCCGGTATAAAGTTGATCGACTGCCAACCCATCGATCTGACCACAAATCGCACGGCACGACACGAATGTTCCATGATTCTGTAGTCGTCTTTGAAAGTCTTGAAAACTTCGGAGATCTGTCTGGCTACTGTAACACTGTGTTCGTACCATGCTACGGGTATCTGCTGATGTCGTTCTAGTTGTACTCTATTCTTAAAGTCTTGTTGTTCACTCCAGGGCTTGAGGACTCGGTATACGCAGGTGATGCGGTCGAGCCATGCCAGCGGGTCGAGAAAGAGTTGTTCTCGAGTTCTGACATGTTTTTCTTGAACTCGTAGTTGTGGGTTTTGGCATATCTAAAGAAATTTTGTTAATTTTCATATTAAAAATGACAAAATTATTAAATATAAAATTACTACTGTATATTCAAGATAGATAGTGCTAAGAAAACAAAGAAGAAAAAGTGTAGAAAAAGAAGAGACAAAAGACACGGTAGATCATAGTAGAGCGAAGCTAACAAACGGTAGGATAGGATAAAAAGAAAAATGTAGAGTAAGGAAAGGTAAGACAGAGTAAGGTAGGGTAAGATAGGGTTGGGTAGAGTTTATCGACAAAAACTTTAAATAAAAATCCGCTTCAAAGTCGAATAAAGTCGTAATGGTCAAGGAAAATCGCGGTTAATCGTCGCATTTACAGCGCTTTGAACAAACACAATAAAAACGAAAAACTGCTCAAGTGATTCGAAAATAAACAAACTGTTACAAGACTACATAAACAGTTTTTGAATAAGCATTTTTATGTCCACTGAACTTCATATCCAATAAGCAAACTCCACATACAACAAGCCTTGAAATCCAACACCCTTTCAAAAAATCAATAAACATCCACTACAAATAGCCGTGCCATAACAGAGCATAAAAAAACCAAATCCTCAATGCTCTGTAACTACCTGTGCCTTTTTAACCACAAAAAAATTTTTCGAAGATCAACAAGAAAAAACCCGTTTAAGAACTTACGAAAAAATTTTAATACCCCCCCCCCTCTTTTTCAAAATGCCAAGTCCTAGCCGTGCCTCCTATTTTTTCAAATGCCAATAGCACCACATAAAACATCAAAAAAAAACTTGTCGCTTTTATACAAACCTTTTTCCATTAAAAAGCGACAAGACTTTTTAGACATGTCACTATATTTTCCACATTTCACTAGACTTTTTGACCGACACCTTTCCCGAGACTTCTTGACCGCCATCTTGCCCTAAACTCTTGATCTCCCCTATCCAAACCCTTTTTCACCGCCACTTTTTCCCTGATATGCGTAACCGTCCCCTCTTCCCTAGACTTCTTATCATACCAACTGCAAAACACCAAAAATCTCATCAAAAATCAGTTAGAAACTCACATTTTGTAAATGGTGAAGGGGATGAGTGAGAAGAGTGGCCAGTCCTTGAGCGATTTCCGAGCTAGGCCGATTGTTCAGGAGGTTCGTGGCCGCTGAAAACGAACAGCTGATATCAAATTTCGATTCGAAAAAAAAACGATTATAATATCACCTTGTGATTGTTTTAGTGCCAGCCGGGTTTTTCCAGATTTCAAATGTAATTTCTTAGTGCCAACCGGTTTTTAAAAATTCCAAAAAAATTTTAAAAAATTTAGAACTTTTAAAAAAGTTAAAAAATCTTGTCGCTTTTAGCCGTAAAAGACAATGAAAATAATTGACAAGACTTTTGTACCCCATTTTTTAATTTAAAATCCTCAAAAATCCAAATTAATACCTAAAAAAATACCTTTAGTAATCTCTTGAGCAGCCTCATCAATATCCTTGACATTTCCCTCCCAAGTTTGAATCAACTCCAAGGCTGTGTACATTTTTTCGAAAAAGGTTGATAAGTGAGTGAATCCGTCGGAAGTGACGGCTTGTAGAGCTCCTGACCACGTCTTCAGAAGGCGTTTTATCATGTGTTCTTCTAGTTTCAGCAGCCATTCCGTGCATTCAACTAAAAATATGAATTATAATGGCTTTGTCAAAAACTTTTTTTTGTGAAAGGCAGGCCTTTAAAAGAGCCGGGCCCAATTTTTGTATCCGCACAATCCGCCCCATCCATTTCTAAACTTAAAATTTAAAAACGCCAAACCCTACCAATTTCCACGTGCCGATCTGCCAACCATTCGCTCAGCTCTCCAATAAGTTCGATGGTCGTTTTTAGTACCATTATGTGGGCATTGTGAGGTATCCGAAGGATGAGCTGTACAACTCTTGGCGTTATCGTCTCATCACCTCTGAAATTTCATAAATTAGCAAGTTTTATCAAAGTTTGTTAGCAAAACCATAGCTTTATCAGCCCATTCAAGCTAACAAACAAACAAAAATTTAAGCAATCACAAAGCCAATCAACACAAAAAAATTTTTATCGTCCCTTTCCTCCCCTCTACCACACCAAAACATCCAGCCCTGAAGTAACCAAAGTAGTAAAACACAGTATTAAGGGTTTCACACAGAGCAAAGCATTGGCAATTTTCCATGCCCTCCTCCGTGTCCTGGCCCGTACATAGCACTTCAGTTCCGTGCCTTACTCCGTTGCCACACCGTGACCAACCTTTTTAAAATTTCGCCAAAATCAAGCTTTGAAACAAATTTAATACCTTTTTCAATAAAGTTGAACTTACTTTACAATAGAACTGGCAGCCGCTTTGATTATGAACAAGCCGGCTTCCATTTCGTCCCATTTGGCATTTCGTTCAATACTGGCTTGAATGCCTTCCATAACCTAAAAACCTTTTTTTTAAACTACGATAAGTCGTACTTTACCATAAACTTTTTAAGACCTAAATCTATATCATTTTAGACCTAAAGCAATATCATTTTTTACCTAAATCAATATCAAAACACACAAAAAATTGAAAAACCAAACGAGTAGATCCACCCCCATTCACCCACCCCACTTATCTCCCGCAGCCGCCAATAATTTAAGCAAGCCTAAAAGTCAATAAATACATTTTTAAATAAAAAAACTCCTATAAAATCGACTGAAAATCAACTTTCTTCCTTAAAAAATTACCCTATACCAATACAAACCACCGTAAACACCACTTACACTTTCAACCAAGTCCAATGTGCCCATTATGAAGACAATGTCCTTTATGCTATCCTGAGCTTGGTACCGAAAGTCGACAAAATCGTCCGTTTCCGATGGAATATCATCCAAATTCGGGTCGAATCGACAAGTTTTAGTTAGGTTTTTGACGTATCTGAAATGGTTTGACAATTCTTTATCACTATATTATGGCAAAAATTGCTTTCTCTGTACTTTTTGACCTTTTAGAAACAATATTTTAGCCAAAACTCAAATAGTACACTACAGTAAAGTCAGTTTTAGTGCTTTTATCAACCTACTTTTCCACAAACGGCCTGAAAAAGACCCTTTTTTCCTGGAAATCTTCATCATTTAGGTAATATAAGGCTTCTGATAGGCGGTACCACACGTCAAACGTAGTTTGAACCAGAGAATGATCACAATATTCCGTCACAATGTTCACTAGTTCCAATGACTTCAGGTTTCCAAAGTCGTGGCCGGGTGTGTTTACTATTGGCTCTAGTAGCATGTTACAGAGTTCGGCGTACAAACGGCCGTAGGATGTTAACCTAAAATCAAAGTTTGTTTTAATTTTAAATTTCAGAAATTCAAAGTCTTTTGAAATATGCAAATATAAAAAAAAATTTAAAAACCATTACAAAGACCTACTTATCAGTATCGTCTTCTTTGCCTGCGGCATCGAAAGCAGCTTCGGTTTGGAAGGTCTTTTCCATTATGAGTTTGGCCAAGGCTTCGTTTCGAGCTAGGTCTTCACAGAATGTCATTGCTTGACATATCGTAGAGATCGCCGCCACATGAACGTCCTCTGGACACTTTGGATTTGCCTACAACAATATTTTTTTAATTTCAAATTTTTTTTTAATTCAAAAACTGCACAGTGCAAAAATTAAAATTTTATAAAAAATTTTAAAAAACCTTCAAAATTCAAAACTGAACTTACAATAACATCCAATATCGAATGGAAAAAATAACTTCGACAAACGACATCAGATGGGCATCGCTTGTTTGTTAACCATGACCCCAATGTTGTTATGGCTTTAGTTTGGAGGTCTGAGGTGGATGCTTTACATATTAGTTCCTAAAAGAAAAAGTATACTACTTCATTAACATTACTGTAAAACAATTTTTACGTTAAATATTTACTGTACTATAATAAAGTATAGCACTAAATGTATCTCCCCCCCCCGTCCGCACCCATGCCAACGCAAAAAAAATAAAACCAATGAATAACCCACCAAACAATAGACGACAGCTTCTGTTTGACTAGCCAATTCGTCTTGTACAGCGTATCTTCTGTTGTCGCCAATCTTCAAACTCTGATTCTGAAGTTCTTCTGGAAAAACTTTGAACAATTCTAGTAGAATATGAGCAAACTTGATGTCATGTTGGGCTTTTCTGAAATCAAAAATTATTTTAAAATAAAAACAAAAATTCCTTAAAACTATTAAACATACGCTGAAAAATGGCTAAGAATATTTGCACCGTGCAACTTCTTTAAAATTAAGACATCAAAAGATAACTTATTATAATAATAAAAAAATAAAAAAACTAAAAGTTTGTTTCAGACCCCTTGGAGCATACTATAATATTATAAACCTTTTCCATAATTTAATTTCGTCAGATTTTCAAATTTTAAAAGTGCACCGTGCACTTTTTCATTCTGCACAGTGCAAAATTAATAAATTTAAAAAAGTAAGATATTAAGCAAATAAATTTTAAGAAATAAAATAACAAAAAGTCAGTTTAAGACACCTATAAGCATACTATAACATTATAAACCTTTTACTTAATTTAGTTTTGTCCCAATTTAAAAATCAAAAAGTGCACAGTGCAAGCTTCTTTAATTCAGCACAGTGCGTTTATCTCAAGTTTTAATCAAATAGCTAATCATTATCTGTCATTCATTTCAAAAACATTCAAAAAACTTCAAATAATATCAAAAATAAACTTACTCGGCAAACTGGTTCAAAAGTTGTGCGATGAAACTGTTCCATGTAGGTACTTGAAGGTATAGGTCGGCCAAAGCTACGCAAAGCTGTGTGGAAACTGGCCTATATGCTTCGCCTAGCTTTGTTTCTAATACTCTGAAATTAGACGGTAATATTTTTTTAAATTGTAGTCGAAAAGTGGATGAAAACCTTGATTTTTGACCAAAAATAACAAAATTTGTCATATTTTTTCTTAGATTATGTTTTATAAAAAAATTTCTTGCTCTTTCCTGTTTTGTAAAGAAAGTTCTTGGCATTTTTAGTTTTGTAAAAAAAAAGTTTTTTGTCGATTTATGTCTTTTAAAGAAAGTTTTTGCCATTAATCATCAAAATTTCGCCTTAAAATTCATTTTTTCAAAATTTCAAAAAGAAACTCACGTTAAATGACCAACAATAGAACTTCTCAAAGATTCGTGGGTATTCTCGGGTAGTTGTTTGAAATCTCTTATCATTTTGCGCCTTAATGTTTGGGCGGCGAAGATACAAGCGGCCGGATCCTTGGCCTCGCCGAGGACCCTGTCCACCACGCTCCAGGCTTCGACAGAGCTTTGGAAGCTGGCTAAATACTTGCTGGCGTTTTCGCATTCGTCCTTGGCAATGGCGTTCAGATGCCGCACCGCCGTGTAAAAGTCATCAAGCTGGGCCATGCTGAAAGAACAATCATTTTCACCTTTTTCAACGTGAAATTCGAAGTTTTAAGCGTTTTGTCATCTTAATATCAATAAAATATGTATGCTTTTCAGCTTTTTAAATGTATAACAACCCTAATCTTTTACTACCAAAAATAAAGTCACACTAATCAAATCTACTCAATTATCATCAAGTAGAACATAATAATAAGCAAAAAATCAAAAATACATAGTCGGCTATCAAAGCTATACCTCTAAAATATAGTCGGCTATAAAAACCTATACCTCCGCAAATCAAAATACAATTAAAATAAAGTTCAAATTTATTCACAATATCATAAAATCTGCCAAAACATTATCAATAAACTACTAAAACAAAAATTTAAGTCCTAAAACACATGTTTGAGGTGTATAACACAAGATTCAAACCTAAAATACGACCTAACCCTCTTCATCATCAAAGAAAGCTTTCAAAGACAACATCTACAAAGTAAAATCAAACAATAAGAACATCAACAAAACGGCTCAAAAATACCTTAAAACTTAAAAAATCAATGTGAATATAAGTTTTACATCAAATAAATGCAATAAGAGCCTAAAATAATCAATTTCACATCCTATGATTCAATAAAATCAATTTCAAAACGAAGGTTCAGAAGATCCTGCTCATAACAGATTCACAAGCTCCAATCAGCAATAAGACACATCCTATCCAACCAAATTGAAATCCCATCGCAGTTCGAACAAAGCGCGAGCACAAGCCAATTCGGATCTGAATCCTCCGGCCAAAGAGGCATCGTTAGGTCTTCGGACATTCTGAAGGTAGCCAATTGTGGCCATATCCTCCAACAATGGCACTGCTGGACCATTGATCGGAAGTTGAGGTAGCTCGTGAACATAAGCAGCTCCTGCCACTCTGATTACTCCGAATGAAGCTGTGTCTGTTACGCGACGACGACCTAAAAATGAATGTGTTTGAAGTCAATGTAAGTTGAAGTAGAGTATTTTCATAATTTAGACAAAAATTTCATGTTAATATTAACATAAACCCCAGAAACAAGAAGATAGATCTAACAAGCACACAGATTACTCTTCTATTAATATTAACATAGCAAAACAAACTTAAAACAACAATAAAAAGCTGTAGAAATAATTAAAAAAGTAATGCTTACTTGACTTTTCCTTCTTCTTCCTTTCTCGTTCCTCCTTTTCGGCCAGTTCCGCTTCTATTTGAACCTTTCTTTCCCTATCCAGTATCATTTCAGCTGGCAAATCGGAATCTCGGAGCTCACTGATAATAGATCTTGGTTTGCTGTTGATTTCTTCCAAAATTGAGTTCAACTAAAAGTAAACATTAGTTTTTTCAAGATTTTCTCAGCATAAACAGAAAATTAGCTACTACAACATCTGATTTTACAAAATATTCAAAAAAATTGCAGTTGCAGCCAGAATATCTTCCTATAGACTAACCTTCCTTCTGCTAACCAAGTATTCAGCACCCCCTAAACATCAAAAACAATAAAAATAAACTCACATCATTAGCTGGATCAGTTTGCTTCAGAGCTGCGGCTTTCGCTTCTTCATCCAAAACTTCTTTGATCCATTGATCATCAGGATTCAAGCGTCGTTTATTCCGTTCAATTTGATCTATGTTCTTGTCCTTAAACTCAGCAATCTCATCTTCTACAGCTTGAACATCTTCACCATGAACAAGTTTCCAAACCAGCTCTTCTACGTGCTCTAAGTAGTCGTTGTACTCTTGTAAAGTGTCGAAATTGTCTTCCATAAAGTTGTACACCTAGAAATAAGTGTTATTTACCGTTTCTGATAAGAATTAGACATAAGAGTTTTAAAAACCAATTTTTAATCAAGCGTAACATCCCTCACCTTCGTAACCTTCTTCCTGATAAAGTTTTCCTTTTCAATCCTCGGATCATCAAACACTTGAACCCAAAAACTGTTCTTCTTCAACACCCTCTCACACCCATCGTAAGGACATCTATTGGCAGTTCTGGCGAAGATATTATCTACACAGTTCTGACACAAAGGATGACCGCATTCATTGATCATCATAACAAGAGCTCGGTTCGTATATTGGTTAGACTTGCACTTTGGACAAGCCTTCATTATTCCAAAAGTAATATAAGTTATTTGAGTAAAATATTAGATAGATTGATAAAGATTATTTTAAAAAAATATGTTGTGGTAGATGTTGTTGATGTAGATTAGTCTAAAGAGAGGCTGGTTTTGGCTGTTCAATAACAAGAGGCCGATAAGGATACTGTTTAGATACCACAACTTGTCTTTTCAGCTTCTCAAGACTTTCAACTGCTTCCTGAAACAGAATTTTCAAAAATAACTTGAGCAAACCATAAACAATCCAAAGCACCTTTTAAAATACCTAAAAATCAACAAAATAAATAAAATATTACCTTGTACAAAGCCTTTTGTTGATCCTGGTTAGTGACACTTTTGTTTGCCTCAAAATAATCCCTAATTCGACGACCAGCAAACTCGCGATAATTGTATTGAGGGAACTGAAAAATATCTAAATTAAAGTCCTCATAACTTACTTGATTTGCCGTTCTTCGCAATTCTTTGTAAAGACTTATCCAGGTGCTTCTATTAGCCATCAGTTTTACACATCCACAAGGAAATTACTGTACTTTTAGACGATTAACAAAGTTTTTCCTTCGAATAGCGCTAAATTTCAAAACAAAAATTCTTGCATCCGGATGGCGACTCGCGTCCGAATGTCTGCAGGTCGTGAAAAATTATTTATCCGAATTTTTATTTTCTGATAAATAATATTTTTTACAAGTTTTTGTTCGTTTTTATGTAAAACAGATATGAATCCAGTGAATTCTCACGTTTATATTGTTGATGGATGTGTTTACCGCCGAAACATTCCAGTTGAACGTATTTATGATCATGAGCAGAAGCAAGGAAATGTGAAAGACTTTGACTCGGATGGAAGTGATGTAGATGAAGGAAATGTCAATGTTGGTGAGCTTTAAAACACTTTATTAATGATTTTTTTGTGTTTAGATGCCTATGAATATGAAGAACGCCAGGAAGACCATGAGGTTGATGAAAGTGGCAGGATCTCTTATGATTCGGACAAGAAGTCATGGATGGGAAAGTAAGTGTAATATTTAAAGTTTCATTTTGAAATTTAGGGCTTATGTTCCAGATTTATTGATGGGAAGGTTTATTGGGACTAAGGCTATGAATAAGAAGAAGATGGAAGAGTCTACGAGATGTAATATTCAAATACCTCAAAAAGGATCAAGTTCGCCTGTTGGTAAGATGGTGAACATGCTGTTTTAATCGTTTTTAAGCTCCGATACATTTTTTAAAATCTTAATTTACTTTATTTTGTGATATTCACTCTTTCAAAGGGTTTTTATTAAAATTTCAAAGAATAAAAGCGCAAAACTCAGAGCTATATTATGTTATACACCTTTGTTTTTCAGTAATTTACTCGACGGTCGGCAAGAGCTGTGTGGAAAGTTGTTTGGATCAAATTGAGTTGTTTTTGTGTACACAAAGAGAACGATCAGGCCCTTCTCACTTTGTATCTTTACCTCTGAATGTTGAGCCTATTATGAGTAATTATGAAAAGTTTAAAGAGGAGGTATCAACGGTGGCTATTGTAAGTCATTTGTTTTCGATTTAAAAATTCTTTAGATTGATCCAAATATCTGGGTATTGAGGGGCAAATTACACTTGACACTATCAATTATGACATTGTTTGATGACAATGAAGTTGAAAAAATTGGGAAGAGGATTGATGAACTGGTTGAGACTAAAATAAGGTAATTCTTTGTGAATTTTTCAACAATTTTGTTTGAAAAGTTGTTATTTATATTTAAAAGTCTTATTTCTAGGGCGCTACTCAAAAACAAGCCGATGAAAGTGAGTATCAAAGGTCTAGGACACTTTGGAGATGAGGATGGTACAGAAACCAGAGTTTTATTTGCAAAACCAAGTGGGGATAAGTTGAATGAGGTTAGGAAGTTGGTTTACGATGCGTTACGGGAAATGGATTTGGGTAAAAAGATCAAAAATGATGGAACGGTATTACACATGACTTTGGCAAAAGTCTGGAGTAAGGAGGTAGGTGTTATATTATGTGATAGTACGGAGGATTTTGTATTTTATTGTAAAAGTAAAGTTAATTAGTTTTTATAACAGGGTAGATTTCATTTTTGCTAGATTTATAACGTAGGTGCTAATTAATTTTGTGGTAGCCGTACTGTGATGGTAGTACTGTAGTCTTACGTTACCTTGCAGTAACCCTTACTTTTGATTTGGTTCTATTTCAATTTATCGTACCCTGACTTATTTTATATTATCTTGCTCTACACTGCTTTACTGTACTTTACCTACTTCCCTGTACCTTACTTTAACCTACCCATCCTACTCTACTGTATCGTACTCTATCCTATTCTTTTCTACTCTAACCTTTCTTTTCTACTCTATCCTACCTTACCCCACTTTGCTGAACATACATGCTTTACAGAAATTATTCTATCTTACATTACCCTAACCTTTGTTACAGTAATCTTCAATACCGTTATTACGGTATTTTGTCTGTTTTAGTCTTACCTTACTCTGTACTCTTTAACTACACAATAATAAGGTGAAAATTGAAATAAAATTTTAAATTCTTACGTAACCCTGCTACTCCTTCTTCTACGGCGTTCGTATAATCGTATACGACGGAAAAAAGGCAAGTTAAAAGAAAAGCCGAACCATTAGCTGGTCACATTCTTTTGTCATGATTCACATTATTCCCCTTTCCGTCTGTAATTACCACGTTTTTCAGCAAGTGTTCGATACCTCCGAGGTCTTGGCGAAGTTTGCAAACTTTGACTTTGGCTGCGTCGACGTGGCTGAACTCCGCATTTGCTTAATGCACCAGCTCGATTCCAATAGTGGAACTTATCAAATTAGTTACGTTTCCTTGCTTTCTTGATAATATGACGAATAAAGGTTTAATTTGGATTTTTAGGCTTCTGATTTAGTATCTTTTTTGTTGGGGGGGGTGGGTTTTTCATTTTTAGTATAGGCTTATTAAATTTAGTTTGGCGATATGGTTTAGAAAAAATGGAAGGGGTTATTGTGGTTGGCTTGACAAGTTATTTTTAAGTATGGAGGAGTAGGAAGATCATTGTATTAGGCTTATTGGTTTAGTTTTAGTATTGAGTGCACGGGTTAAGAAATAGATGAAGGATGATTGCTTTAGGATAGGCGAGTTAGATTTACTATGAAGACTATGGATTAGGACAAAAGGGTGAATTTATTGCTGCAGGGGTAAGTTTAGGTTATAAGGCATGGGTTTGGATGAAAGAAAGGGTTGCTTTTCTTAGGCTTGACGGGAAGGTTTAGTTTTAAAAGCCATGGGCTAGGACAAACAGGTGGGGGTTATTGCCGTAGGCTAGTTGTCTTGAATTTACTTTTGAGGGCATGGGTTATGGCAAAAGAAAGGGACTATTCGCTTAGGCTTGATGGGTTGGATTTAGTTTTCTGCGGGGTAGAGGAGGCCATCGACTTTGGGTTTTATTAATAAATATCGGGGAAGGGAGGGAGGGTGAGAATTCAGGGAAAAAATTTTGATGAGCGTGTGTGTGATTTTTTATTTTCGCAGGAAGAGTGTGAATTGCAAAAAAAATTTTTTTTTGTTTTTTAAAAAAATATTCCTCTCCCCCCCCACTTTTTTGCTCCCTCTCGTTCCTCACTCCTCCCCTCTTTTCCCCAATTTCTTCCTACCACCTTCTTCCTTAACAAGCCTACAAGCTTTAATGGCTTGAAGTATGTTGGAAACAAAACGAAACAAGAAAAGCGACAGATTTCATTAGTCTTACTGTTGTAACCTTGAGAATGTCAACTGTTTTCTTATTGTATTCGATAGTTTACACACAAAATTCGAACAAATAAAGGGAGAAACCAGTTTGGGTATTAATTTAAGAAACGGTTCAATTAATTTCATTGGCCTTTTTCGCATTACAACACCGTTACTCTGTTGCTTTACAGAGTAAATGCGATTGGTAATATTGAGGAAGAGAAGGCTTTGTTTGAACTTGGGCATGGTTGTTAATGTGGGTCACATTGTTTGTATTTGAGGTGGGTAGGGTGAGATGTGGTAAGGTAAAAGGGGAAGCTTTTGGCAAAAAACAGGGAGGAAGGGGGGGGGGGGGAAATTTTAGTGGAGAAACAAAGTTGGGCATAGTTGTTAATGTGGGTGACATTGTTTATAATTGAGGTAGGTAGAATGAAATATGGTAAGATAAAAAAATAATTTTTTTGGCGAAGAAAATTTTGGGCAGGGGGAAATTTTGGTCGAGAGGCGAAATTGAGCAGGTTCAACTTATGGCTAAAGGACAATGTTGGGCAGGGTAAAATATTAAGCAAAAGACAATTTTGGGCGGTGTAAAATTTTCAAAGCCAAAAGAAATTTGAATTTGTTAAAATATAGGGGAGGGGGCAAAAATGTGGGCAGGGTAAGTTCTTTAAAGCGAAAGAATTTTTGAGCATGGCAAAATAGCGGGTGTGAAGAAATTTTTAGCAGCGTAAAACTTCAGAACAGATGATAGGGTAGGGAAAGGTGCAATCTGATAAGCTATAGTATTATAGAGCAAGACAGGGTAGAGCAGGGTAGGATAGGATAAGATAGGTTGCGGAAGTTTAGGGTAAGTCAGGTAAAGTCGGTAGGGAAGGAAAGGTAACGCAGGGCAGGGAAAAGAAAAGAGGGTAGGGTAGGGTAGGGTAGGTAGGGTAGGGTAGGGTAGGGTAGGGTAGGGTAGGGTAGGGTAGGGTAGGGTAGGGTAGGGTAGGTAGGATAGAGTAGGGTAGGGTAGGGTAGGGTAGGGTAGTATAATATACTATCTTGACGTTAAAAGAAAGGGAAGCTGTTTAGGGAGTAAACAACTCCCTGATCTTTTGGTTTAGTGATCAGCTGTGTAAAGGGCGAGAGTAATGGTGGGGTTGATAATTGTTATAAAGCAAAAACTGGGAAGTGATAAGTTGTAAAGTAAGAAAATCAACAATTACTCATAATGTAAAGAGATGGAGTTTAAAGGGTGTGGGGCAGTAAATTGTTGTAATTATGAAGGTTATCAGGCAGTGAAAACTGTTTTTTCTTTAAAATTTGTGAAACGGACCTACATATTTTCTTAACGTCAACACTTTTTCATTACAAAAAATTTATAAGTAGATTGTTCAAATAATTCTGTGCCCTATAATCTCTTTAACAAATTTTAAGGTGGGGCACTGAATTATTTGAACAACTTATTATAACTCATTATTACATAACTTTATATAACAAATTTGTGTAATAAAGAATTAAGTAGTAACGTGGCTATGTGTGGTATGTTGTCTTAATCGCAACACGTCTTTTGACGTTTCTTTCTGTCGCTTAATATGACAAATATCTTGTTTAGTCAGCTCGGATATAAAAAAAGTATTGCGCTGTAATCAATGAAGCATTAATCAAAAAACGAGCTGTTCAGTTCGAAACAATATATCTTGGATTGAGCTACTTTTATGTCTAGAAGAAATTAAAATGAGTTTAGTAAGATTATTATAGCCTTAGCCTAGAGCCCTAGCCCAGAGCCTTAGCCCAGAGCCCTAGCCCAGAGCCCTAGCCCAAAGCCCTAGCCCAGAGCCCTAGCTCAGAGCCCTAGCCCAGAGCCCTAGCCCAGAGCCCTAGCCCAGAGCCCTAGCTCATAGCCCTAGCCCAGAGCCCTGGCTCAGAGCCCTAACCAAAGCCCTAGCCCAGAGGAGACCTAGCCCAGAGCCCTAGCCCAGAGCCTTAGACGTAGTTTTAGTCTTATCTCAAGTGTTAGTTCTTGACCTCTTTCGGCTTAACTTTTGTCTTGGCTTTGACTTTAGTCTCTGTCTTGTCCTTATCATTGACTTCCTATAACTAAAATCTTGTTTTTATTTTAGCTTGGTCAACTATATAATGATTATACTTTAATCTAACCTTCTTCTTTATTAAATTCAGCTGTTCAAGCTGTACTTAAAATTTATCAAAACAAGAGTTCACAATATGTTTACAATTGCTGTTTTGATAGTTGTTTGCTATGACATTATGCTTTAATTTATACTTTTTTAAATATGACACTTTCTCAATCCTTGTTCACCTCGTTTTACCTCAACCTATACGCATAGTTGAATGTAGGTGAGGAGGTTTAATTAAAACGGAATGTTAATTAAGGGAACGTCGGGTGGTGGTTTAGTTGCAAATTCCATTAGCAGCGTTGTTGATGAATCGAAACCTTCCAATCAACGCGCAATCATCGCCAAGACTGGTTTCTTTTCTCTTTTTTTGTCCTCCCCACAACTCCATCAAAGGCAATTCAGTCGCGGCCTTGTTAACAGCTAACACAACACTTTTGTCCGACCGCGGTTTCGACGGTGATAATGAGGTGAGGGGTTCAGTGGAATATCGGGGGGAGAGGGTTCAGTAGAATATTGGGGGTGGAGGGGAATAATGGGAGTTCGATTTGTCAATAGGTCACAAATTAAGCGCAGGTTTTTATACTGGTTTTAATGGGTAAATTGAACGTTCAGAGGTTTAAGGGTGATAGGATTAGAATAAGTCTAACGTCTATCAGTAGAAGACAGATAAAACAAGTTAGAACATTGACATGACTAACTTTTTGTAACGCTTATTATAAGGGGGTTTACATAGTTTTTAAAATTTTTTTAAAGTTTGTAGTAGCTTTTTTGATTATTTTTACTTTGCAGGAACTGTATTAATGTAAAAAGTGCTCCATTTACTATAGGTTACTGTTATGAGGTATGGTAAAAAGAGGGCACAGTTTTATATATAATAGTATCTTGGTGGTCTAGGATTAGGAATAAAGGTAAAAAAGAGGGAACAGTATGAGTTGGAGATTAAGGCAAAGATAAGTCTTAGATTTTATGAAGGTAGGGCTAGGGTAGGGGTAAGGTAGAACTAGGGTAGGGATCAGGCAGGGCTAGGATAGGGCAAATATAAATGTTAGATTATATGAAAGTAGGCTTAAGATAGGGGCAAGGTATGTAGGAATAATGTAAGGCTAGAGTAGGGTTAAGATAAGGCTAGGGCAGGATTATAGTAAGGTAGAGATAGGAAATGCGTGAAGTTAAAAAATGGCAAAAAAAGGGTTAGAGTAGGTTTAAGGTACGGCTAAAGAATGGCGAAAGTTTAAATTTTTACCAAAGTCTATAGATGAACTTGTCTGTATTGATGCTGCTTATAGATGTGTAGTGCAAGACCCTGTTTACATGCTTTTATTCGATAATGATTTTGCTAATGACTTCTTCCTTTGAGCGTACAAGGCCGTTTAGCTTTTGGTTTTGCGGCTTTCTTAATTTGAATACGATTTTTGGTGGGTTATTACCTTGCTTTCTTTGATCTATGATAAGAGCTTTGAAGTAGAATTTTAAATACGTTAAAATCTTTTTTTATTGGAGAAGAAGGGTGGGAAAGAGTGAGAAGATTTCAGAATACTAATGATGACACATGGTTGATTTTGTTGTACCGAAACAAAAAGAATGTTGATTTAATATCATATAATTGAATTAGACAAGACGGAAACCAAATGTTTCACAGTGTAACTAAATAGCAAACAAAGAAATTACTGTTTATATTCTTGCACAGTATAAAGTAGCAGCTTCTGCGCCATAGATTATCTTACTAGTTATAAACATAGATCTTGTTTAGGTAGGGTAATGCTGAGGTAGAGTTTAGACTAAGACTACGGCTGAGGCTAAGCTATTCTGAATTCATCTGGGCTAGTCTAAGCTAAGCTAGGATGGGTTGGGTAGTCTTCTAAGGTTAAGGCTAAAGCTAGTAGTATTGTACTAAAGATACGAATAAGACCGAGACAAAAAATTATCTTTAAATTTTTTAAAATTTAAAAAATTTTATTTTTATTGTCGCTTCAAGTTTTAGCAACTACTGACCGACTGTTATCATGTCGCAAGGTTGTGATCGAAAAAGTAGCCGTCTTAATTAGAGTGATATCCGGGGCTGCATCCGTTGCGCAATCATTTCCTGTTTTAGTGTCGTCTTATTATGTCATAAAGTTTGCGAATGTCATATATTGGTTTTGGTGAGATGGATGACTACCTTTTGCGAGAAATACATCTTTTGTTACTGTTTTTGAATATTATCGATCTTTGAACTCATTTATTAGACTTTACTAGTACTTTTGGTACTTTTTTAATGTCCGAGTCAGAAATGTTTGGCATTATCCTTTTTATCTTTGAAGGAAAGGTAAATTTCATGGGGGAGGGTAGATGGAAGGGCAATACTTCAGTAGATTGAGTAGATTTTAAAGCGATATGATTGATATTCAATCATAAATTTAAAATAAATAAGTAATATATAAGAAGTTTAAAATAAACCTAAAGTAGTGAGGGTTAGGGTTAACTCTAGAATTTGAACTAAGAACTCAGGCTAGGGCAGAAAACGGGGTAGGGCTGTTGGCTAGGGCTGTGGGCTAGGGCCCTGGGCTAGGGCTCTGGACTAGAGCCCTGGGCTAGGGCTCTGGACTAGGGCTCTGGACTAGGGCTCTGGGCTAGGGCTCTGGACTAGGGCTTTGTGGTAGGGCTGTTGGCTAGGGCTCTGGGTTATGGTTCTAGGTTAGGACCCTGGCCTAGGGCTTTGGGCTAGGACTCTAGGCTAAGGCTCTGATCTATGTCTCTGGTCTAAAGCTCCGGACTTGGACGAGGCTTTGGGTTAGGGTAGGTTTGGAGAATGCTTTGTTAGGCTTTTTACGTTTATTCTTTACTAAACTGTATATAATTTCTTTACATTTTCATTATTACAGTTATGTTTTTCTGCGTTTCTACCAAGTAACTTTACGTTTTGACACTATTACTTTTCTTTTTAATTAACAAATTCCTCGTTGGAGACAGTACAAACAAATTGCGCGTTATATTACACATTACTTTGGTTTCATTTCACTTTTTAAACCGTTTAAATTAGATTTGGAATGAATTTTATTTACAAGTTTTATCGATTTTTGGTCAAAAATTTGTTGATTTATATTGTTTTATGGTCGAAAAGTCTATAGAATTACTTTTTATGGTCGAAAAGTTTATATAATTGCTGTTTTAAGGAATTGAAGAAATTAAACCTTATTTTACATAATTTTTAAAAAAATTTGCGTTTTCAGAGCCATGCGAGAGCTTGGTGTGATATTGTTGTTAACAGTGGGCCTAGCTGTCGCTCACCAACAATACCAAGTTCCTGCTGCTGATGAGAGAACATACGAGACCCCACCACCCCCACAACAACCACCACAATCTTATCAAGCACAGTCCTCACCACCAAAAGAGCCTTCGTATCAACGTGAGTTTGTAAAGAAAGTTCTTGCAGTTTTGGGTTTTGTAAAAAAATTCTTGCAGCTTTTTGGTTTTTAAAGAAAGTTCTTGGCATATTGTTGTTTGTAAAGAAGGTTTTTGTCATTTTATGGTTTGTAAAGAAGGTTTTCGTCATTTTATGGTTTGTAAAGAAATTTATTGCTATTTGTGTTTTGGAAATAAAGTTCTTGTCATATTTTGTTTTTTAAAGAAAGTTCTTGCAAAAAAAGTTTTTGTTTTATTAAAAATGACATTCTTAGTGCTGAAAAACGCCTTTTTTGATGTATTTTAATAATTTTTGGATCCCACCACGAAAACTTTGAAATTGGAAAAATCACTAAAAATAGCATTAAATCTTAAAAATCATTAAAAGCAAAATAAAAAAGATTAAAGTAAAAAAAATTTAATTAAAAAATATTTTATTTTGCGTTTTTTTGGGTCCCACCGCGAAAACTTTGAAGATTAGAGATATGTGTCAAAATAAGAAAAAATATTTAAAAATTTTTATTTATAGTAAAATACGGAATCTAAATGACTAATTTGAAATTTTGAAATTTATTATTTTTAGAGCACTCTCAAGGGTACTATGAAACCCCACCAGCACCATGTCCAAACGGTGGTAGACGTCATCCTGGAAGCGGTGAATGTTGTAAGTCAATTTTACTTTGGTAAATCACTCTATTTAAATTTTTTAATTATTTTTCGTTGTTTCTAAAACAAGGAAGGGTTTTTTAGTTATAAAATAGAGAAAGTTTATTTTATTTTTGTGTTTTCGTTGTAGGACCAAAATATTTTTTTGGCATTTTTCTGATTTTTTCCTGAGGCTATATTGCAGTTATACCTTTACTTATTGAACCTATATTTTAGTGCTGAACGAATGTGAGACAAACCAACATGACTGTCACGAAAAGGCTCGTTGTATCGACACTCCAGCCTCGTATACCTGTGCTTGTCAGTCCGGTTACATCGACCAGTCATCTGACCGTCCCGGACGTCAATGTGAACTTCCATTGAACAACTGTGCCTCAGGACGTCACGGTTGTTCTCCAGATGCCACATGCACCGACACTTACAATGGAGTTCAGTGTAAATGTAAGGGTGGATATGTGGACATCTCTCCCGACCAACAACGTAAACCTGGCAGAGTTTGTCGCAAAGATATCAATGAATGTCTGAGTCCAGTGCTGAACACTTGCTCCAGAGATGCTACTTGTACTGACACTTTTGAGAGCTACACTTGTGAATGTAACGCTGGTTTTAAGGATGTGAACCCAAGCAATCCTGGAAGAGATTGTGAGGCTATTCCACGTAAGTAGGACCATCCATTTGGGCAAGGTAGGGTAGGGTAGGGTAGTGTTAAAAATTTTAAAAAGTTACTATTTTTCAAAAATCTACTATAACTTAAATAACAATGTCATTATGCTCGTTTCATTGTCTTTTTGTTATCAGAAACAAGCTTATCAATCATAACTTTTAGAAGATACACAGAGCTACCAAACCCCACCACCACCAACATACCAGACTCCACCCCCACCCACCTACCCAACTCCACCACCACAAGACGCTGGATATGAAAGTAGGTGACACAAAAAAAATTTAAATAAAAAAATGGCAAGGCATTGGTTTAAGCAGTATAATATACACAGAAAAAAAAATAAAACGGTTAAAAATAATAAATTTAAAAAAATATTGTTGTAGAGCCATCTTGTGCCAAAGAAGGTAAAATTGAATGCGATCCAAACGCCATATGTATTGACTTGGCCAATGGTGGATTTACTTGCAAATGCCCACCAGACCTCATTGACAAATCGCCAGAACCATCAAAACCTGGACGAAAATGCATTGAAGGTAAGGGTTTTAATGTAAAATACGATGAAAAAATTAGGTATCTTTTAAAAAGTTGTATTTGAATAATGTAAAGCTCCGATTTCATGACAAGAATTGTCTTAAAAAATGGTGTGGTAGAGTATGATCACAAAGATTTGAATATAAGGCCACATTAACTGAATATTTTTTAAAATTTAAAAGAGTTCTGGCTTTCTGGTCACCTAAAACAATATCGGGAAGCCGTGAGCTGTATCTCAAGAACTGTTTTTTAGTTTTCTTTGATCTTGGTATCAAATTAAACCTTATTTGAAGCTTGAAAAGGATTTTTAAAAATGAATTGGTTATTTGGTACTACTTGGAAAGTTATGACCTGTTTTAGATAGACACCTCATTTTAGCTTTTTTTGGTTTTACTGACTTTTCAAACAGATATTACTCAATAAATTAGTTGAAATTGACTATGATATATGTTGCAGATCAAAATTTATGTATTAACTAATATTTTTCATTCAATTTTATTACTATAAAAGCTCAATAACATATAGATAAGGAAGTGATAAAGGGGACAAGTTTTACGTTTTCCCTTTTGCCGCTGTATAGAGCCCTGCCCTTGGACCCACGTGCACGTGTGCAGGATCGGCTACTTCCAAATTGTTTTGGCGCAGACTTTGCCCGGCCAGGCTTAGTGGGCCCTTTTTAGGTCTAGTGACAAAATTGGTTTTTTAAAATTCATCTTGATCTAGAGACCCTTTTTAATTATTTTTTGAAAAATCAACATTTATCACTATTTTCAACCTCTTTTCTTCAAAAACTTTCTTTACAGAACCAGCCGCCTCCATTGACGAGCCACCACAAGAAGCCCCCAAGACTGTACCAACCACAACCACCACCACTCCCATTCCCGGCTTCACGGTTCAAATCCCAATCCCAGTCGAGAAGATTGGCTCCAATGGTATCGTGTGGAGCTCTCAGTACAATCCAGGAGCTCAGTTGTTCGAGGAACTGGTCGATTTGTTCAAGGAGGGAGTCAACGAAACCATTGGCAAAACTGAGTTCGGCCCAACTCATTTGAGAACCGAGATCTTCAGTGTGAGCAGTGCTAGGAGGAACAACAGGTAAGGAGTGACATTGGTTTGTTTGTATTGGGTTTTCGTTGTGGGACCAAAGGTGATAAGGTGTGTTCGTTGTGTAATCAAGTATAGATGGATTTTTTCGTTCTGGGACCAATTATAAATAAGGATTTTCGTTGTAAGATCGTTTAAAAAGACGTTTTTTCGTTGTAGAACCAAATTGAAAAAAATGAATTTTTTTGCTTGGCGTTACAAATTTCAAAAATTTAATTTTTAGGTATATCGTGGCTTTTGAAACTAAAAAGATTAATTTTTAGGTATTTACCGAACCTAAAATTTTAAAATTCCAATTTTCTCACTATTCTTAATTTAAAAACTGTAATTTTCAGTGAATTTGAACAAGGAGCCCTGATCGTCTTCAACGGTACCTTCAGTGAGCCAGTCGACCGTTGTAAGGTGTTCGATGCCATTATCGAAAAGGTACAGGAAGATAAGAACCATCTGGGATCGACCGCCTTGAAGGTTCACGAAAAAGTACAGTATGTCAACCCATGCCCACATGACTTGTGTGGTGGCAAGATCTGCGACACCAAGAAGGGTGAGGTCTGCATCAACGGTACCACTTGTGGCATCGACTTCTGTAGCGACTTCACTTGTTATCCACACTCGAAGCCGGTCAATCTTATCGACCGATGCGAGTGCTACTGTGACAAGGGCTACACCGACCTACGGCCACTTGAAACCAACAAGCTACACCTGGAAGACAAGGACGTGTGTGTGCTTCATCCAAACTGGTGCACTTTGGGTCTGCACAACTGCTCCAAAGTGGCGGACTGTATTATGCTGGAGGAGGACTATACCTGCAAGTGCTGGGATGGTTACAATGACACGAATCCAGAAGTTCCAGGCCGATTCTGCGCTGCCGCCTTCTGTGGTGAATGTGGGGAGCACGGTGCTTGCGTAACCAGCCCAGAATCCCAGAATGTGACTTGCGTCTGTACTGAAGGCTACACTGGAGATCATTGTGAGATTGCACCATCTGCTCTGCCACTTTGGTTGATGTTGTTGTTGGCGCTGTTGTTCTTGTTATTGACTTTGTGGTAGGTGGCTTGATGGTTACAATAGTTTGATTTACCTTAGCTTACTCTACCTTACCTTACCTTTACTTACCTTATCTTATCTTAACTTACCTTACCTTTTCAGTTGCTGCCTCTACGCCTGCTCCCGTCTGCGCTGGTTCAAACGTCAACCAGCCCTGCTAGACCAAACCGGCTCATCAGCCAGCGACCTTTGGGCGATACCACGGCCAAAACTGGTTGGAGCCGACAACGAATCCATGGGATCCGGCTCATCTGAATTCACCATCCGCGAAGAGATCGAACGTCGTGTTGTGACGGACGTCACGCGTACTGAAGTCCGTACCGAAGCCACCGAACACGAGGAGGACGAGCACGAGCATTTCACTCACACTCAAGCCGTCCAAGAAGAACGCATCATCAACTGATAACCGATCTCTCATACCCACACGTTTGCGCATTTCTCTCTAAACTTCTATTTAAAACTGCCGGTGCTTTTGTAAATTTCTACCAATAAACTTTTATAGAAAGAGGGGGTGGTTGGATTGTTTTACTATGTTATAACTTTTTATTGAATGAGAGGCGGGAGGGGGGGGGGTGGTTGGACTGTGTCGTGATAGGTATCATTGGGATATTCAAATCATTCTATGCCTCAAAGCAAATTTTTGGGGTTAGGGCACAGAATTATTTGAATAACTTTTAAGTTATTAAAATATAAATAATATAAGCGTGGTCGGGCAAATATGGTTTGAGGGGTTAGAGGGTAGAGAAAAGCAGAGAAAGGAGTATTTAAAGTAGAGTAAAGTAGCTCAACCTACATCTTGGTAAAATAGCGTAGGATAGGCTACAAAAAAATTCATTTTTTAAAAAATGTTAGATAAAAAATTCATATCACTTTTAAAATTTTAAATAATTGATATTTTTCATTTATTTTTCAAAAAAATAAAAATAATATTATAGTTTGCACCATTAAATACACTAAAACCACTGTATAACGAGTTGTTTACGAATTTTAAGTTCGCTCGCTATAAAGAAGTTTTGTTATAGAGGAGTGTGTTATACGAGTTCCATTGTTAAACATAATATCATAAATACGATAATTTTTACCCGAACACAAGACAATAATATGTTTAAAAATAATTAGTAAATTTAAGAAATGTTATAAATATTAGACGCCGACATAAAAAACCCACCATACTTTTCCTGTAATTTTGTGTAAAGAATGGCGGGTTCTTTACGTCGACAGCTAACAAAATATGTTTTTGTATATTGATAAGAAAAGACATTTGTAACTTTTCATGAACAGTAAAAATTTAAATATTATAATATCCTAGTTATTACTAAGGTAAGTTTTGTAACAGAACTTTTGTCGCACCCTGTATATAAAATAATTTCTTTCAAAAGAGTCGTTTCATGAACCCTAATGTTGTCTATACTATTATATCATTTACAAAGGACAATGTTATAAATCCTAAGAACTGCTATTAACTTTAGAACACTTCGTCTGTGACTTTAGCCGCTTCAATTTATCAACTCTCAAAGGTTCATCATCAGGTCCAAATGATTCAAAAACAACTTTTTCATCTTCAGTTACAGTCATATCCAAGTGCTTTGTATGACAAGGTAATGGCAGTAGGCAAGAGGAAGGTTGAAAGTTGTAGTCGCATATTTCTGAAGTTTTAGTAATTGGTTAAGCGGTGTAAAAGGCAAGGCAAGGCAGATCTTACCACTATTGTCCAAAACGTATTTCCTCCACTTTTTAGTCAAAAACGGTTCACTTCGGCAGATGATATAGTCTCTGTCATACAACCTCTCAGCTTCCGTCTTCTTGATCCTTATCATATCACCTTGAAGTCGTCCCAATGGTTCAGTAAACTTCTTATTCAAATAATTCCTAAAATTCCACATCCATACTCCATATGGCTCTTCTATTATTATTCTCGGCGCTGATCTGGCAACAAAATCAGAAGCCATTAATGGATCTTGATTATGCATGGCTATGAGGTAGCCGATTACCATTATTTGGCAGAGGTTATAGCCGTCTGGGCCGTATATTAATACCTAAAATTTCAAGTTTAAATTAATTATTACCTAAAATTATTAAGAAATATAAATTTAAAAAATTTGGAAAAACTTTAAAAAGTGTGATGAAATGTCACATATTTTATTGGAAAAATATAAATCTGTGACAAAACTTTTATAAAATTGGGATCACCTCTAAGGTTATAAATAGAATTAAAAGAAAAAATATTTTTTTTGAACTCACTAAACATTGCAGACTTGTTTTTGAATGTTAAACGAAATGTCAAAAAATTATTGGAAATTTTGACGAAGTGTCACATATTTTATTGGAAAAATATAAATTCATGACAAAAGTAATATCATAGAATAAAAAAGTATTTTCCTTGAACATACAAAACATTGGAGAATATTTTTAAAATCTTTGATGAAATGTCAAAAAAATATTGGAAATGTTGACGAAGTGTCATAACGTTATCGAAAAATGTTTAATTTAACTCAGAAAGAAAATAATTTAAAAACTTGAATGTAAAATACGTTATCTAGTTTCTGAAATGTATTTTTTAAAACAAATGCAAAACAAATACACTTACCTGAGTACCATCCTTTGTATCTCGTCGAGCTTTGTTGATGATTTTGCAAAACTCAACAATGATTTTGAACAATGTAGAAGCGGTAATTTGACTTCGTTTTGGTATTGGCAGACAGTAATCTAATATGTTGGGTTTAGAAGGAGGCCATTTATACCTGAGCAGTTTTGAACATTCTGGTCGGAAATCGACGTACTGAAATGGTTGTTAAAGAAAAACTGTAATTATGCTTTGTAAAAAAAGTTTCTGTCATTTTTTGTTTTAGAAAGAAAGTTCTTGCCATTTTTCGCGCTGTAAAGAAAGTCCTTGCGTTTTTTGTGTTGTAAAAAAGGTTCTTGCCATTTTTTGTTTTGTAAAGAAAATTCTTGCCATTTATGACCTGTAAAGAAAGTTCTTGCCATTTTTTGTTTTAGAAAGAAAGTTCTTGCCATTTTATACTTACCACTCTCCTCCGTATCTTCCTGAGCTCATATTCCCCACCTCCATCACTCAGTAGATCCTCATTGACAGCCGCCTGCATATTGCCAATCCAAACATAAGGCAGCACCTTATAAGCATAGAATGGTGGTCTCATCGCCGGAAAGGCTGTAATATTAGCCTCTCTTAAACCTAACTGAGCTATAAGATCATCCAATCGACCGGTCGATACTGACCTTCGTAATTTTATCTTCTCTACCGCGTGCTTCATCTGCTTCGAGGCTGATTTGGCACGTTTCCATGCTGATGACAATGAATCTCGACGTTTTGTAGATTCACACAAAGAGTTTTGGCTCGAACTGGCTGTGGAGAAGGGATAGGCTTCTGGCGGGCGGAGAAGATCGTTGAAGATGGAACCGCTTATGGAACGACGGAATGGTGAGGTCATAAACGATTGGCAGAATTCGAGTGGTACCTAAAAGATAAAAAGTTTTTGAAGAAAAGTATTATCTAAGAAAGACTAGAAAAAAAGGTATGGCTAGACTGAAAAATTTATGACTAGACTAAAAAAGCTAAAATTAGTGGATTAAGCTAAAAATGATAAAGCTAGGCTAAAAAGTCCAAGGTTAAGCTAAAAAAAGCTAAAGTTAGGCTAAAAGAGCTAGAGCCAGGCTAAAAATGTTAAGGCTCTAGACTAATGCTCTAGACTAGGGCTCCGAACTAGGGCTCTGGGCTAGGGCGCTGGACTAATGCTCTGAACTAAGACTCTGGACTAAGGCTCTGAGCTAGGGCTCTGGGTTAGAGTTCTAGGCTAGGGCCCTAGGCTACGACTCTACGCTAAGCTAGGACTACATATCAAAATTTTTTCGTAATGTAAAGCAATTAAATTTCTAAATTTTCAAAATTAGACTTTGTTCTTTCCTATAATTATATGTTTTTCATAGTAATTATATTTTTAATCCCATAATTGTTTCTAGTAACTATTAAAATTTTTCTTGTTATTTTACAAAGCTATTACTTCGTTTGATAATAAGATACATATTATGTTATAAAATGTAGAGATTAAACAGAATAAACCCAGCTTAACTTGAAGTAATGGTGGGCCGAATTTACTTTTTCAGCAATATAAAGTTAAAAAACAAGGTACTATGGTTATACGTAGAACAGTACTGTCTTTGTACTACTTACAGTAATATAGCTATACTACAAACAGTACTATCTTTATACATGTTTCAGTACTACATAGTAAAAGCAAATTTAGTACAACATAGCGAAACTAAATTTAGTACTACATATTAAAATCATATTTGGTACGACATAGTACAAAATAATTCAGTACTACGTAATACATTAAAATGCTGTACTACATAGTACAATAAATTAGTTTTTTAATTTGAAAAAATCTTTTTAAATCTCATAAATTTCAAAGGAACAATAAACTTACCAACCGGTTGGCACTATCAGATCCGCCAGAAGACTTTCGCTTCAACAAACTGTTAAAATCTTTTTTATTTTCTGTCAAATTAACCATCGAATTCTTCTTTTTCGAGATCAAGACCGCTGTACTACTCGCTGTAGAGGTTAACGATGAATTTGAACTGTGATGAGGCTTGTTTTCATTAATGGCGTACCGTGACCACGGTCCTCGATTCACCAGTTGTGGCCCAGTCTGAGATCGTGAGAACCGTCTCGCTGACGGTGGAATAACCTTACTACAGCTAGTTGAATTGGCTGAAGAAACTGGCAACGATGTAATTGAAGCTGTCAGAGAGCCGTCTGAAGATGCTGATGCCTTCTTCGCAAAATCGCTTAATGGGCACGAGAGTAGGAGGTCGTCTTCTGGAATAGTGATAGCTGATCCACTCGAGTGTTGTGATCCCATCGACGTGTAGTTTCTTAACGACGGCCGCTGCTTCGCCCGTTCATTTTCCATATGCGTCACGCTACGGGATTGGTGGCGTAGGCGTGGGCGGACTTCTGAAAATTGAAATTTTAAAGTTTTAGATTAAAAAATTGCTAAACTAGGCTAGAAATGAACTAGAGCTGGAATTTTTAAAATTTTTTTGAAAATTTATGTCACTATAATTTTTTAAAACTTATTTAAGCTAAGTTATGGCCACAATTAAAAAATTTTAAAATAATGTTGTAATAAACTAGATAAAAGTACAGTAGAACGTAAGAACTGTTAAAGAAAGACTAAGTTGAAGCTAGGGAAGGGCTAAAATACATCTAGAACAAAAGTAAAATATAACTATAATAGGAAGAAAACATGGCTAAATCTGGAATAAAATTGACAAAAGAGTACTATAAGACTTGAACAGTGATAAAAAATAGCTACCGTATCAGTTGAATAATTGTACGATAACCTATTTTTTTTAGCCTTGCACAACGAAGTAAGTGCAAGGCTAAACAATAACAAAGTTAGAGTAAAGCAAAAGCTAGAAAAGATCTATGGCTAAGCTAAGAAGGCTAGGTATAGACTAAAAAGGCTAAGATTAGAATAAAAAGCCAAAGTCAAGCTAAAAAAGCTAAAGCTAGATTAAAAACGCCACAGCTTGTCTTAGCTTGTTCTAGTTGTGGAAAGAAAAGTTATGGTTAAAAAACCAAAATTATTATATTTAACTTGAATACTGTACCAAAATTATTTGGTCGCACCGTATTTTACAAAAAAAAATTGTAGCGAAGCATTGTTAGCACTAAAAAACAAGCGGTCAAAAGCCATCTTTAAAATAAAAATGGCAAAACAGACAAATTTATCTTACTTTTTCATAAAAAATTATAATGTTTTGATTTCATAAGAGGAAATGACAGTGTTACAAGACAGTCTATAGTACTATAAATTTTTATTTTTTTAAAATTGTTAATATAAAATGTCTGTAGACATTGTAATTAATTCTATCCTACGCCAAGCTACCCAACCTTACCTTCTTCTACTATAATCTACCCAGCTCCATTCAACCTCACTGTATTTTACCTCAATCTACTTTACATCTGGATACTACCGGTAGATACTCTAACCCACCTTCCTCAACTATAAATAGCACCAAACGTGTTTACTTTTGCATAAACTCAAACATTAGCAAAAATATAGCAATTTGAAATAGCAGTAATTAAACTCTAGTTAAACAAGTTTATTGCTACTTTTGAAATTTTAAACACTACATTCAAAGAAGGTAATTTGTATCCTCCTTCACGTGTACTTTGATTTCGCAATTTGAACTTAAAAAAACTAAAGTGGGGGTGGATTTTTGTTTTTTTTGGCATTTTAAAATGTCTTTTGAAGTTTTTATAGTTACTTTTAGCTATATAAGAAGAGAATGTTATAAAATAAAAGTATGTCTAGAGTATGGCTAAAGTCACTAAAGTGTAGGGCTAAATTAAAGCAAAAATAGAAGCGAAAGTAAGGATAGAACAAGATTATAGCAAGAGCTAAGATAGCGCCAAAGTAGAGTAGAGGCAAAAAAAGGGCAAAGGTAAGACTCAAACAAGTCTAAGATAACTTGAGTTGAACCATGATAATGTTTATAAGAAAACTAGAGCAACGTCAGAGTTAGAGTAAAAGCTACAATGAGGACTAAGATAAGACAAAGGAAGGGCTTGAGAGGAGCTACAGATAAGGCTGAAGTGAGAGATGCCCAAATTTCTAGCTCAGAGCCCTAGCCCAGAGCTCAGAGCCCTAGTTCAGAACCTTAGCCCATTTCTCTCTCCCAGAGCTCAGAGTCTAGGACCCGGAACCCTAGCCCAGAGCCTTAGCCTAGAACCCTAGCCCAGAGCTTTAGCCCAGAGCCCTAGCCCAAAGCCCTAACCCAGAGCCTTAGCCCAAGCTTGGGCAACGCAGGGACTAGTACTAAGCTACAGTAGGAGCAATGATAAGCGTTAAAGTAATAGGCTAGGGTAGAGTTAGGGAAGAGCTGCCTTTAGTGCTAAGTTAAGAGCTGAAGAATGGCGAGTAGAGGCGAGGATAAAGCTACAGTAAAAATTAAAATAAGAGCTAGAACTAAAGAAAGCTAGCTTAAGGCTAAAATAGCTGTAAAAAGCTCACGTTAGCAGTAAGCTCTATCTTATTGGCATACATTATGTATAAAGTTAAAAAACTTTATAAAAACTTGTACAATAGCTTAAAAACAAGAAATTACTACTACTGACATGTTTTAAATCCCCTATAACACAATTATAACATAATAGACCAATGAAATTCCTTGCAACCCACCCAAAATCATATGAAATAAACCCCCGAGGTTACAATTACAACTAGAATAGAATCGGAGTGTAATTAACAGTTTTCTTACCCATTGAAGAAGAGAGCCGCATGCTGAGTAGAATATATCTTTACTCAGGTGTCTTCTCTTTCTCTTCGTGACAGCCGGCTGGCCGTGGCCAGATTATCACTGGCCATGCGATTACACTTGTAGTTGTACATAACACACAAAAAACATAATTAAATGCAACGGCCGTTTTTAAACAGCAACGCCTCCAATTGTGCCCAGCTAATTGGTAACCTCGGCTTTAAATGATCTTGATACAAATGGAAGATAGTAGTGGCAAATGGCGGTTTTGTACAGCTAAAAAAAGGTATTAGATGTGAACATAAAACAGCAAGAGTAAATAATAAAAAAAGATAAAAAATAACCTAGCATATAGCTCCATCTTCAATCCAAGCCCCAGCTTCAGTCTAAGCCTCAGCCTCAGCCCTAGCCTGAGCTTCAGATTCAGCCTCAGATTCAGCCTCAGCCTCAGCATCAGCATCAGCCTCAGCCCTAGCCTGAGCCTTACAAAATTAACTCAGATCACTAGCCCAGATTCTTAGCCTAGAGCCCTAGCTCTAGCTCTAGCCCAAAGCCCCAGCCCAGAGCCTTAGCCCAGAGCCCTAGCTCAGAGCCCTAGCCCAGACCCCTAGCCCTAAACTAAACTACCCTACCATATTTTATCCTGATCTTTCCTACCCTAACTTACGTCACCTTACCAATTACATGAAAAAATTTTTGCAGACAATTTACTTCAAAAAACTTAAAATTTTACTTTTAAGTTTTAAAAATTCAAAATTTCATTTATTTTATTCAAAATCCTGTTCAAAAGTTAGTCGTTTTCGAATGGCGTCAGCGCAGAATGAAATCAACAGATGTACGGTGCGAATCACTCTTCGGCTACGAGACCAGAACGACCGCAATCCAGTAGAACCAGAGCAACAATCGACCGGTAGTGTTCAGAAGAACCCTGATGGTCCACATGATTCGTCTGGTTCTTCTGGAGGTACTTTTTAGTATTAAACGTGTTGTTTTCTGTTGATTTGAGTTTAAAGTGACTAGGAATTATTAAAAAGTTGAGAATTTTCTTAATTTTCAAAAAAATTTTTTTTAATTTTCAAACAAAATTGAAAATTTTTTGTTAAGTTAATTATTACAGAAGCCTTCATCATACCAGGTATAACTGACTTGGAAGCCATCTTCATGGCTCGCAAGACCTTACAGCACTACTCAGACAAGTTCAATCTCAAACTGAACACTTTTAATGCTTCAAAATCAAAGTAAGCCTTTTTTAATTTAAATTTTTTATAATTAATTCCAAGTCTAAAATTATAAGTAAACTTTTTTTTTATTTTAATTTTTTTGTATTTTAAAAAAAATTTTTACATGCTGATTTTCTTCGGTTTGGCACCAGAAAAAGAAGACGATTCGTACTCGTCGAATTTGGGCACCACTGTCAGTACAATGTCTCTTTCACCCAAACGTAAACGGCGTCACGGCAAGAAAAGTAAGTTTGTTTAAGTCCTTAGAGACATCGAGTTTGAGCCTGAGCCTTAGCTTTAGCCTTAGCCTTAGCCTTAGCTTTAGCTTTAGCTTTAGCTTTAGCTTTAGCTTTAGCTTTAGCCTTAGCCTTAGCCTTAGCCTTAGCCTTAGCCTTAGCCTTAGCCTTAGCCTTAGCTTTAGCCTTAGCTTTAGCCTTAGCCTTAGCCTTAGCCTTAGCTTTAGCTTTAGCCTTAGCCTTAGCTCAGCTAAAGATGTTTAAAATAATTCTTGTGATTTTAATTTTTATCATTTCAGAACCAGCCAAGAAGAAGTAGTAAACAAGCCCGGACTAGCCATCTATGAAGCAAACAAGAATTGATGTTTTGCAATCTCACTTCTCGACTTTTATTTGTAAATAAAGTTTTCGATGAAACAATCGGAGAAGTTTTCTTTTCACGTGGCCCTTTCTTTCTTTAGCCCTTTTTCATTTGTAATCGAAAATTGATGTTTTTATCGTTTTTGTTACTTATTTTAGTGCTTTATTTCAATTTGTGTAAGAAGGTTGTTTTAATAACCGTTATATGACTGTTGGGTAGGGTTTTCTCAAAATGACTTGCACTACTACCATAGCCAATCCAAACTACTACCTTAGCTCTACTATAGCTCTAGGATTAAGAGTGAGAAACGGGCCGTGTAGGCCGGGCTTTGAGCTAAATTTAGGTCGGGTCGGGACGGTCTGAGATAAAAATGAAAACAGACCACAAGCTTGGGGCCTCTTTCTCACCCCTACCTAGGTTAGTTCTACTCTAGTCTCACTCTAAGCTGCTATAGCCTTACCTTGGCACTACTTTAGCCCTACTCTAGATTTACTATAGCCCTAATCTATCTTTACTCTAGCCCTACTCTGGCTCTACACTATTCTTACTTTAACCCTGCGTTCGCTCTTCTCTAGCTATACTCTAGGCCTATCCCATCCCTACGCTAATCTTGCCCATTTTGTACTCTAGTTCTACTTCAGCCTTATCCTAGCCCTACCATAAGTTTGCTCTGGCCCTACCATAACCTTGCTATAGCCCTCCCCTAATCCTACGTCGACCCTACTCTATTCCAACTCTAGGCTTCTTATTTAAAGCAAAATAAAACTTTTTTCGAATATAAATCGACCGGTCATTAGAGTGGTTTTTGGTCGAAACGTGTTATTCATGCCGTTTCCCCTCTCTCACCGTTCCTTTTGCCTTCTTTTCTGTTCGCTTTTCTCGTTTTTTGGACACTCGAAAAAGCACGGAACGCTCTTCTTTTCTCTCTCAACGTAAACACATGCGGCCCCAAAAAAGTTTTATCAGTTTGATTGGGGTTTCTGATGTTGGTAAACAACAATGTAACTCTTTTTCGAAATGTAAATAAGCGAGAGGGCATTGGGATTAAGTGTAGATGTAAGTTTTTGAGAGTTTATGTAGATTTAGAGAATTAAGAGAGCAGGGCATGGGTTTTTTGGGTGTTTTTAAGAGTATGGCATTGTTTTTTGACGTTTTTTTATGAGGTAAGGGTTGTATTTTTCAATGTTTCTCTACGAATATGGCACGATTTTTGAAATATTTGTGTTTCAAACGGTAGGGCAGGAATTTCTGAGATTTTTAAAGGGTGAGGTATGGGTTTATAAAAATTTTTTTTGGTGTAGGGCATGGATTTTGTTTTTTTCAATCTTTTAAAATTTTAATTTGAAATTCAAAAATTTATTATTTTTGTACACAAACTAACAAAAACGTTCACTACTAACGTTACATTCCTTTTCTGAATCACTGTTCCCACCTCTCCTCCCAACCCATCGTATAAAATTGTCCCAGCGCGGGCTGCGGCCCCGTTCCTCGAAAACAACAAGAATCGGACCGCCTGGAGCGATAAGATAGCGAAAATATTGTTTGATGGTATTTTAACTGTTTGTTTAATTCTCTAATGGGTATATTATATTCGCTGCTAATACGTGCGCCACGAAAACAATTGACGACAGGGTGGGCACTTCCATGAGTAATATAAGTTTGTTTAGAGATTTGAAAATGTCTGCACCGCCCAAGCTGGAACCGCTACCTGAAGAGCCGCCGAGGTTTCAGGACTTGTTGAATCTGGATGGATACTTGACGAACTACAAGCCAGAGATTTTCAGAAGATTCAAAGAGTTTCGCAGCAGTTTGGACTTCATCGAACAGGTATGTGGAGGTTTGTGGTGATGTTTCTGGATTTTATTGGGTGATTCCTTGCTTGATTTTAGGTGATAAACATGAAGGAATAGCTAGAGATTGTTTTGGTTTTTATTTTATTCAAAAAGGTTGGGAAGGTGTCGAAATATATCAGTTTATATTGTTTTAGGTATATCTGCTAGTATACCTATATAAAGTTGATCTTTCGTGGTGTTAAGGATTGGTTTTTGATCTTAAACCTTTTTTGAATTTTAGAATAGAGTTTGGCAAGTATTTTTCTTGTTTATGTTTTATAAAAAGTAGCAATTCAACGAGATATGTTTTTTTATATTATTTTAGGTATAATTTTTGGTATGATTTGCAAAAATTTTGTTTTTGTGTTTAAATTAATATCTTTTGAGATCTATATTGTATACATCTGATGTATAACTGTCTTATCAAGGCTTTTTAATTTGAATTTTGAAAAAATATTCGTTATTTAGAGAGATATAGGCTTGCATATTGTGATAGACACACATTTTATTAAATTTTGCTGAAATATTATTTTTTGAGTTCGAAAACTTTACTTTTCGATTAAAATTAGTTTGAACTATCACTAACATACTTATTTTTATTATTTTAGTGTGATGGAAGTTTGGAAAAGTTCACGAGAAGCTACGAAGAGTATGGTTTACATGTTTTGGACGATGGAACAATAAAGGGTTTCGAATGGTGTCCGGGAGCTGATACTATTAGCCTTGTTGGAGACTTTAGTAAGATTTATATGTTTTGAGTTTTTTAGTGTTGAAACTTTTCGAAAAATTTGTCTTTAAAAAATTGTCAAAGTCATAGTCAATGATAACATAGTTTTAAAGTTTGATGAGGTCGCTGCGGATATTGATCCATTACATTTTTTAAATAAAGATATTGATATTTAAGACATTTTACGTTAACTTTTAGACGAATGGAACCCAGAATCTCATCATTACGATAAGCTTGACTTTGGGAAGTGGAGTTTGACGATTGAGCCAAAGTCGGATGGATCCCCAGCCATTCCTCACAATTCTATTATCAAAGTATGTTTTCAAATACTTTTCGAAATTTTAACATTTTTTTGTTATGTTCAAATAATTCTGAGCCTTAAAGAAAATCTTCGGGGTTAGGGGCACAGAACTATTTGAACAACATAATAAAAATAATTTAATTGTATTTATGAACCTATTTCTTTGATTTTAGGTAATTTTTTATTATTTTTTGTCAAAAATGAAATTTTAGATAGTAGTTCACAAGGACGGTCAAAGGCATTACAAGCTTTCACCATGGGCAACATACGTTACATGCGCTGAGAAGAGCACTGTTTTCCATCAGGTAAGATAGATTTCGTATTTTATATTGAAAATTTATATTTTTTGCGTTGGAATGAAAGTTTTTGCCATTTTTCATTCTTTAAAAAAAGTTATTGCTGTTTTTTGATTTTTTAAAGAAAATTATTGCCATTTTTGGTCTTGTAAAGAAAGTTACTGCTATTTTTCAATTTGGAAAGAAAGTTTTTGTAATTTTTTGCTTTGTAAACTAAGTTTTTGCTATTTTTTGTTTTGTAAAGAAACTTCCTGCTATTTTTTACTTTGTAAAGAAGGTTCTTTCTATTTTTGGTCTTGTAAACAAAGTTATTGCCATTTTAAGCCATAAAATGCAAAATTTCGTTTTTACTTTAATACTGTTACAGCAATTCTACAACCCACCCAAATCCGCTCAGTACCAGTTCAAGCATTCTCACCCAAAGAAACCGGTCGATTTGCGCATATACGAATCTCACGTCGGTATCTCGAGTCAAGACGGTTGTGTAAACTCGTACCGCAAGTTTGCCGACCAAATTGTACCTCGAATCAAGAAGCAAGGCTACAATGCCATTCAATTGATGGCGGTTATGGAACACGCGTACTACGCTTCGTTTGGCTACCAAGTGACTAGCTTCTTCGCCGCTTCTTCACGATGTGGCACTCCAGATGAGCTGAAGTATCTCGTGGACAAGGCTCACGAACATGGTAGGGGTTTTCAGGGTTTGTGTTGGTAAACGTGGAAAAATAGAGGATTGGAGGGGTAAAAAAATTTTTGAGGGTGTGGTTAAATAAAAAATGTTTTTGGCTAGGCGGGATAAAAATTTTTTTTGCGGTTGGGAGGGTGTGGTAAAAAAATTTTTGCCGGGGGGTGTTTTTCAAAAAAAAAAACTCAAAACTTATATTTTAGGCCTAACAATCCTGCTGGATGTTGTTCACTCTCACGCCTCGAAGAATGTCGAGGATGGCTTGAACAAGTGGGACTGTACCGATGGAGGGTACTTCCACGACAACAGCCGAGGATATCATTCGTTGTGGGACTCGAGATTATTCAATTATAGTCAAATTGAAACACAACGATTCTTGTTGTCTAACTTGAGATGGTGGGTGGAGGAATATCACTTTGATGGATTCAGATTTGATGGAGTTTCTTCCATGGTTTATCATTCTCATGGCATTAGTAAGTCGGTTTTGGGGGAGATTTGGCAATTTTGGGTTTGTAAAAAGTTACTGCGGTTTTGAGCTTTGTAAAGAAAGTTGTTGCGGTTTTTTGTTTTGTAAAGAAAGTTATTGCCATTTAAGTATTGTAAAATTATTTTTAAAACATTTTTTTTTAGATGACGTCTTCTCCGGCAACTACGATGACTACTTTGGCCTGAACGCGGACACAGACTCTCTAATCTACCTCATGCTGTCCAACTACATGCTCCACCAATTCTACCCCGACTTTATGATAACCATAGCCGAGGAGGTGAGTGGAATGCCAGCCATGTGCCGACCAATTGAAGAAGGCGGCCAAGGCTTTGACTACCGTCTAGCCATGGCCATCCCCGACCTTTGGATCAAGTACTTGAAGCACGTCCGCGACGAGGACTGGGACATTGGCAAGCTGGTGTTCCAACTGGAGAATCGACGGTACGGTGAGAAGCACGTTGCCTACGCCGAATCCCACGATCAGGCGCTGGTCGGTGACAAAACTATCGCATTTTGGCTGATGGACAAGGAAATGTACGACTTTATGTCCACTCTAACACCATTCACGGCCATCATCGACCGTGGTATTGGTTTGCACAAGATGATACGAATGATAACGTACGGATTGGGCGGAGAAGCCTGGCTCAATTTTATGGGTAACGAGTTTGGACACCCAGAGTGGCTCGACTTTCCTCGCATCGGCAACAACGAAAGCTACCATTACTGTAGAAGACAGTGGAATCTGGTCGACGATGACACTTTAAGATACAAGTTCCTGAACAACTGGGATAGGGAGATGAACAAACTGGAGGAGACTTACAAGTTCTTGTCAAATGGACCGGTAAGGGGATAATTGTCATTTTAAAATCTCAAAATTCTAGGCCTGGGTATCCTGGAAGCACGACGGAGACAAAGTGGTCGCATTTGAGAGAGCCGGCCTCGTGTTTGTCTTCAACTTCAACAACCATCAAAGCTTCCCGGACTACAAAGTGGGCGTAGAACAGCACGGTATGTACAAGATCGTTCTGGACAGTGATTCCGAAGATTTTGGCGGTCACAAGCGTCTGGATCATAGCCAAGAGTTCTTCACCTTCCCGGAAGGATATGCAGGAAGAAGAAATCACATTTGTGTCTATCTACCTACTCGTACTGCTATTGTCTTGGCCAAACAGAACTAGGTATAGGGGGTTTTGGCCAAACAGAATTAAATATAGAGGGTTTTGGGTAAGGTGGCTTGTGGATTCTTAGGTAAGAGTTAGTGTCTTGTAAACGTATCTACGGTATAAGAAGGTGTGCTAGTATAGTCAGTTAACTACATTAACTACAGTATGGAAACTTGAGGACTTTTTCAGGGTTTTAAGTCTTATTTTAGAATTTGTGGTACTATTATTTGAGATTCGGTACTATTTTTTAATGTTTGGTACTATTTTTCAGGGTTGGTACTATTTTTTTAGTGTTGGTACTATATTTTGAGATTTGGTATTTTATTTTGATTTTAGCTATCATTTTAGAATTTGCAGTACTATTTTCCGTTTTGTAGGACTACATTTGATACTGTTATCACTGAATGCTGTATATTTTTTGACTATAGCATAGTTTTTTATGTGAAGTAGATTTTACGATTTACAGTACCATTTTTAGGTATAAGCTACTATGATTTGACATATTGTACCGTTTTTAGGTACAGTGTACTAATAGAAATTTTGTGCCATTTTTAGACACGGAGTGCCAAAAGATATAGATTTTCAGAGGTTTTTATGTATTGCATTCATTATGTACTGTAGTCACAGTTTTTCAATTTTTTACTTTGTTATTTTCACAGCTTATTTTGTTGTCATTTTATAACTAATAGTCTTGTCAAAAATAAATTATATTCAAAAATTTGATTGCTACTATAATCTTATGTGTTACATGTTACACTTGATGATATCGCTCAATTTGTCGGTTGTCTTTGCTCAAACAATTCTTTTTGTATTACCGTCAAGATTACCTTATGGTTGTTTCATGGTCAGAAACTGCCTAGGAAGTTGTTTAATTTTACAATAAAGTATTTTTCTAAAATTCATAAAAATTTTATTTTAAAAAACGAAACAAAAAACAAGAATCAAAACCAGTATTGAGAATGGATTCACCCAATGATTCGCAGCGTTGCACAAGTCGTCTTCGCAGAAGCATATCGTGTTTTTGTCGGTGGCGATAAAGTTTTGCACCATTTCGTCGTTGAAACATTTTTGTGACATACGATGATGAAAGGGGCGTGGGTCATTCCACATACGTTCCCAACAGTCGCGGTACACGAAGCTTTCACCTGAATTTGAAAAAAAATTAATTTTTTAATTTTTATGGTAATTTTTTAAAAAGTTTTTAAAATTTTTTCGATATTTTTTTTTGAATTTTCGGATTTTTTTTAAAATTTAAACTTTAGTTTCTAAAAAATCTTACCATTGAACGTTCCTTTGAGTTTAACACAAGCTCCGGGCTCATTCACGCTATTTTCACAAACGTGAATGTGAGCACCGAAGAAGTTCAAGTTTCCTGAGGAAGAACGGTCAGCACATCGAGGGACTAGTGCTGGCACGGTCATGCCGGCCTAAAAGTAATGTCGGTACAATTTAAATTTGTCATAAGCATTTTTTTTAAATATGTGGTATGGTGAATATTAAAAAAAATTTGGCATTCTGTTGCAAGTTTATTAGAAATTTAAAATTTTTTAGTTACAGTAGTGTAAAATACATATTTAAGGTTTTAACAAAAATTTTTTAGTTGTGACTTACCTCTTTCATGATGCCCTTTAAAATTGTGACATTTTCATTTTCTTGAATTACATTGTCATCGTCCAATGGGTCGATAGAGCTGACTGAAAAGCATGAATAACATGCTATTTCACCTTTTGAGCGCGTTGATGGGGTAGTTTTTAGTGCTTCTGGAAAACAAAAGTATTTTTAAAAATTTATTTGACACTTTACCCTACCTTACCCTACCCTATCCTACCCTACCCTACCCTACCCTATCCTACTCTACCCTACCCTACCCTACCCTACCCTACCCTACCCTACCCTACCCTACCCAACCCTACCCTACCCTACCCATAACTTTGTCTCGTGCAATATATTTATCCTGCCCAAACCCCTTGATAACAAGTTACTCCACCCATAATTAGATACTTCGCTCATTCTGCCTTCCAAAATAACCTCCTTCACCTTCAAAGTTAAAAAACCTCTACCTCCCGGCGGACATAGCGCGAACTCAATCCAAACGCCCAGCCAGAACGCTAATCCTGGGCGGGTGTGCATCCATGAAAGAGGCGCCGACACTTGTTTCGGCTTCCTCACTTGACACGAAGATGACCACTTGAGCTAAACGGATTGCTCCTTAACAAAAGGGGTCAATGGCACGCCTGTCGCTTATTGTCCCCCGGCTTCCTGAACAATAAACGACAAATTGTCTTCGCCGTTTCTCAGGGCAAACAGTTCGTAAGCCGAAGTTAAAACAAAAGCACGGTGGCTAAAGAGAAAGGGGGGGGGGTGAGGTGAAGATTGGGGGTGGTGTAGGGCTTTACTAAAATTTTTTGATAAAATAATGCCTTTTGCCTTCTGATAACGATGTTACCACAAAAAAATTTTCAAATTTTAAAAACTTTTGTTTTCTCCACCCTTTTCCTTTCTTTTTAGGCCAAAATTACTTGCTGATGCACCTGAAAGAGGGCCCACTAACTAGTAAGCCCGTCCGGACTGAGCTGTGGCCAAAACAAATTTCGAAAAGACCTAGGTGTACATGGGAGCCTTCGGGCTAAATCTAAGCTCAACCTGTGGGCTGACTTTAAAAACAGGTCTGGAACCGGTTATTTTACTGGTCTACTTGCCAAGCATCCGATAGTAGTTAAAATATATAAAGTTTAACAATAAGAGCAGTAAATAAGATTGAACATGTGCAAAGCTAAGTGAGGGAGATTAATTGTGTTCAAAGTAGTTGCTATATTAAATTCACAAAAAATATCTTAAATTTAAAAATAAAAGTTTATTTTAATTTTAAAAATGCTAGATGATGCGAAAATTCAAACGGGGGTCTACTCTCTCCTATTTCTAGGTTTAAACCACCGCCCTCTGGATGACATGTTTCGGCCTGGCCCATTTCAGATTTGCTTTGGCCTGGCTCTTTTCATTTTTATTTTAGACTGGCCCGGCTTCTTATCTAAATTCATTTTGTGCCTAGTGCGCCTATCCTCAAGTCTACTGAAAACTTCTACTAAAATACAATTTTTGATCTATCAATAGTTGAAGTACTGTAAATTTTCATATGATTCTTTCATTTTATGTAACACAAACCACGATATAAACAAACAATGAAAAACGAGGCAAAGAAAACATGAGCGTGATCGTTTAACGAGCTATAAATTAAGGCGATTAACGATTGAGAAATCAGCAAATTGTCATAAATCAACTTTGACGCAAAATTTTAAATCTCAGGTTTTTTTTAAAATAAAAAAAAAAAATTTTTTATTGACTTGGGGCTAATGGTACTTACAGTTAGTACATAATTTATAAAAAAACCTAACCTATTTGTCATTTTTCAAGATTTTCAAATCTAACCTAATAGTAAACGCACTACTATTAGGCCTAAAATTAGCTTCCTAATATGTTTACGGCCATAAGTGTAAACCGGAAAGAAAAGTCTTTAAAACGCTCGCGAAACAATGTAATCCGAGTGCTTTTCAAACAAAAAAAATATTCAAAAATCATTTTTTTCCAAACTGAAAAGCAATTTGTAACCAGAGAACGTGCAAATGACATTGCGCATGCTCACAACAACATCTGGATGGATGTTCTTTGGGAAAACTTTTTTGAAATTTTGCAAAAAATTTTGAAAAAAAAACAGTTTTTTGGAAAATATTTTTTAATTTTTTTAAAATGAAAAAAAAACTGAAAAGTATACTGGGTGCGCCAAAAGTTCTGTTACAAAACAGCCAAAAGTTCTGTTATAAAACTTTACCGGTCGTTTTCTGTATGTTGCAATAATAATTTGCATAAAATGCATTTTGAAACAAAAATTCAATAAAACACAAATTTATATTGGATATTACGAGTATGGCAACAAATGACATTATCTACATTTTGGAGCGGGTCAGCCAGCTGAACTCTTGCTGTTTGCGGCCGGCATCTGGCTGGATATGAACATTGATCAAGCTTGGTGTTTCTCTCTCAGCTATCGCTTCTTTCAACGCTCGGCTGATCTCGGTTTTGGTCCTAGCCAGATAACCTTTTCCTCCTAAAGCCGGGCCCATCTTCTCGTAGGCACATTCGTATGACAATGCCATAACAGGCAATGCTAAGGTGGGGTCATTGCCTTTGCTGGCATCGAAGACGTCTTTGCCCATGCCTGAGGCTATGGCATTGTTGTTGATAATGACACAAATGACTGGTAGTTTGTAGCGTGCAATCGTTTCAAACTCCATTCCCGAGAAGCCAAAGGCACTGTCACCTTGAATACACAACACTTTGGTATCTGGGGCATAATCTCTACAGTAGAAGCCGGCTGCCAATGCAAAGCCCAAGCCAATTCCCATAGTACCAAAAGTACCAGCGTCCAGTCGAGTCTTGGTCTCTTGATTAGGTAACATAGAGCGGCCAATATCCATTGTATTGGCCCCTTCATTCACTATGATCACTTTGTTTTTTCGGACAAAATCACGAATTGGTTCGTAGGCGGCGTAGTAATTGAGGGGTACGGTATTGTCGGCGGCCATTTTGTTCACAACTTCAGTGTTGCTTCGGCTCTTCTCGACCAGGGTTTTGTACCATGAGGACTTGCGGTCGAATTTCCATCCTCCTAGGTTGTGCTTCAGCTAAAAATAAGGTTATTATTAGTTTTGATAAGGCAGTTTTAATACTTTTCCAATGCCACTTTATAGTAAGTATTAGCCCTAAATCTTCTAATTTTTTACGAAAGTTAAGCCTACCGCTTCGATTGTCTCTCCAATGTCGCCAAGTAGTGGAACTTCAGTTTTGACATTCTGATGAAATTCCTCGGCCGCGATATCAATGTAGATTATCCTGACATTCTTTTGGAATCGAGGTGGAGCTCCAAAGTGCAAAATCCAGTTTAATCGGGCACCGACTAGCAATACAACATCAGCTTCTTTTAGAGCACTGAAATAGAATTTTTTATTTTTTAAAAACTTTAAAAATTTCAAAAAAATTTTTTAAATATAATTTTTTTTATTTTTGCTTCAAAAAAATATTAAAAACCCACTATGATCTAGCAGCAGCGACACTTTGTTCATGTTCGTCAGGCAGTGCTCCTTTGCCTCCAGGCGTATTCAGATATGGTAGTTGAGTAGCATGGATGAATTGCCTCAATTGAGTACAGCCACGTTCACTCCATTGAGTGCCTTTTCCTACAATAACCAACGGCTTCTGAGCGGTTTTCAAAACATCCAAAGCGTGACTGATGGCCGAATCTGGAGGCCGAGATACTGGAGAATACAAGGGGCAGGATGAAGGTTCTCTGAAAAAATTTAAAAATGTTAAATAAAAGCTGAGACTAGGGCGAAGGCCAAGACTAAGACTAAAGTCAATGGTAAAGTAAAGCTAGGTTGAAGAAAGAGCTAAGGCTTGCTTTGGATTAAGGCTAGAGCTAGGTATAAGTCTAGAGCTAAAGCTAGGCTAGAACAAGGTGTGGGCAAGTCTAAAGCAAGGCCGAGGCAAGGCTAAAGCAAGGCCAAGGCAAGGCTAAGGCAAGGCTAAGACAAGGCTAAGGCTAACGCTGCGGCTAAGCCTAAGACAAGGCTAGAGGAAGGCTAGGGCAAAACTATGGCAAAACTAAGGCAAGAGTAAGTTCAAACCCCAACTTACACAATGCTATCCTCAGGAACATTCTCCAACACAATATTTCCAGGAATATCAATATAAACCGCCCCAGGCCGCCCATATATCGACGTTCTGACCGCCTTCTCCACATGTTGTGGAATGGCCTGAACTGTTGTAGGTCTAGACGCGTGTTTACAATATGGACGTGCTGCTTCTAGTTGTGGCCATTCTTGGAAAGCTCCTCGATTGTCTAACTCAATATCCGATGAACCACCGATTACAATAAGTGGCCAACAGTTGAGTTTGGCATTGGCCATACCGCCTAGAGCGTGAAGAACACCAGGGCCGGAGACTGTAAGGCAAACGGCTGGCTTTCCGGTTAGATAGCCCATGGCTTGGGCTGCATAGCAAGCCTAGAAATTTTTTTCATTAAAGGGCTGTTAGGGGTAATAATTTTTTTAAAATCTTTAGAAATTTGAAAATAATATAATACAAAGCTTTATTTTATAGTACAGTCTATATAATGAATTATGTGTATAAGCAACTCTCCTTATAGTAAACAAGAAATTTGGCCCTGCCAAGCCATTTTGCATTAAAAAGTCTCTCTGTAAAGACAACACCCCTTATATTAAACACAAAATGTCGGTTCCTTCGGGTTGCTTATATAAAGAGTGTACTGTATTGTATAAAACTTATTTTATCAGTATTGTACTTGTTTATCTTAAAAACAGTAAAAACAAAAAAGTTAGAACAGTTTTGTTACTTTTTGATTGATTTATCGCTGAATTACAATTGACAATCGACGGTTTTAATGAACTCTAGTTGCGAAGAAAAAAGCAACATTCATATCACAAATCATCTTGTTTTATATTGTTTTGAACCTATTTTTCATCATAAAAAATGTTTCTTAATTTTTTAAAATTTTTTATAAAGAAAGTGCCTGACCTGCCCAAATCTGATAGATTTCAAACTTCTTATATACTTTTCGTTTCAAGTCAAATCATTTGTTGCAGAACCTAACAATGTAAGCTAGAGCTTTGAAACCTTGGTTTTGGCCCCGGCCCTTGAGCCCGCATGACACCGAAGCCTTCATTCAAAAATCGGCCCTCGGGGCCGTACGACCAGGCATAGTCCGGCTCGTTTTAATTTTTTGGGTCGGCTCAAAGCATTTTCAAACACTTTTTTTTAGCCTCTGTTTGGCATTTTACAACTTTTTTTTGGCCTAGGCTAAGTGGGCCCTTATTTTATGACCATCCGCAACTTACCGCTTGTTCATTTCTACACCCAATATATTTGATTCCAACTTCTTGACATGCCAACCCAACCTCGACTACTGGTACTCCTACGATTCCATAGACGTACTCAATACCCTAAAAGCATTTTTATTAGTTTTAAATCTCTTAATGTCTAAAAATAAATTTTTTTTTATTTTTTGAATTTTTTATTGTTTTTAATTTTGACAATTTTGGTTATTAAATAAGAAAAGCTAATTTAAAACACGTTTTTTGTAAGGCTCGAGACGCCTGGTCGACATAAAAAAAATCGATGTCTCCAAATTTCTTGAAATTTTCAAATTTTGCTCTTTGTAGCAAAGCAAACAAAGTTGCTTAAACAAGTTTTTCCAAAATTACCGTATTCGAGGTTACGGTAATGTCGGTGTAAGTTGAAACGTTATTTGTATTGTTATGACACAAATTTAATAAAAATGTAATATATATTGATATTTTCACTAAAAAAGTAGGTGTGCGAACTTTGAATGCACATTTGACCCCTAAAAATTAGGGGTTAGCACATGTGCATAGGTTCATTTTAACCGCAATAAATAGTAGATTGATGATATGAAATAAAAATTAGGGTAAATAAAATATAGTTTTTGAGTTACAGCCGGATTACTGTAGCTGTGCATACTTTTTCAATTTTTTTGCACTGATGCACTAGTGCAGCAAAAATGTTGTCATAATATAAAATACGTATTTTTTAATGCTGAGTAATATAGTAAAAACCTCGGGTTTGTACGATGTCTGGTTTTTGAGTTACAAAAAATCGACCGACATTACCGTAACCTCGAATACGGTAATTTTGGAAAAACTTGTTTAAGCAACTTTGTTTGCTTTGATACAACGGGCAAATTTTCAAAATTTCAAAAAATTTGGAGACATCGATTTTTTTTATGTCGACTCAGGGATAAAAAGCGCTCGATTATTAAGAAAAACGTGTTTTAAAAGTTTTAAAAATAAGAAAAAGTGTCTTTAATTTGTTGTAAAGCGATCAAACACATTAAAATTGTGTGTGTTCTAATTTAAATCGTTTCAAATTCGTAAAAGTGTAGGACTCAGACAATAACAATTTGCGGTTCTTCGATGTCTTAAAAAATTTTTAAATTTAAAAAAAAACTTAAAAAGTTAAATATACTAATACAAAATTAAATAAAATGTAACTCTAGAGTAATATACTTGCTATTTTTTACCTTCTAAAGTAAATTTTTGCCGTTTTTTTATTTGTAAAAAAGTTCTTGCCATTTTATGTTTTGTAAAGAAAGTTTTTGCTATTTTATGTTCAGTAAAGAAAGTTATTGCCATTTTATGTTTTGTAAAGAAAGTTCTTGCGGTTTTTTGCATTGTAAAGAAAATTCTTGCCATTCTACGTTTTGTCAAGAAAGTTCTTGCGATTACAGAGCGAAAATTATCGCAATTTTATGTTTTGTAAAGAAAGTTCATGCCATTTATAGCAAAAAAGACATCAAAGTATAAGAAAAATCAATCAAAGATCATACAGAAAACATAACAAAATATTTTTTTTAAAAATAAAACCAAAAAAAATCAAAAAAAATATAAATTTTTCGAATTTTTTTCAGTAAAAATCAATACTCATTACCAGTACAAAAGCCAAGTATAACAAACTCAAAATTTTAAAAATATTACCTGATGTTTGAGCGAATTCGCCAAGACATGGGCTCCATCGGTTTGCGCCATGATTGTGACAATAACAGACAGGGAAAGGGGAATATGTTCACTGACTACACAATCTATAGCCTCGCTTTATATGAAACTTTCACTGTAATCAGTTGAGACCGGGCGGTTAATTGATTAAAATCGATTAGCCGCGAATATGTTACAATAGCCATGTTTGTTTCTACTAAGAATGTAAATGGATACACTTTCAGCATAATATTTGTGTTGTTGTGGTTTGAAAAGCGTATGAGATGTGGCAGAGGATCATGTTATCTTGTCTAAGCAGAAGACGATAGGGTGGGATATAGTAGAGCAAGGAAAGGCAGGGCAAAGACAGAGCAAAGGCATGTCAAGGCGAGGCAAGGAAAAGCATGCAAGGCAAGTCAAGGCAAGGCAAGGTAGAACAGGAGTACGGATCAAAGCAAGGCGTATCAGGGCAAGACCAGAGAAAGCAAGGTAGGGTAAGATAGGAGAGGGTATATCCTTATGTCTAGTCATCCTCTACGATATGACGTCACTACTACAAAAACTAAAAACTGATGATAATAATCAAACAAAGGACAAATTGAATGAAAAAGACAAATACAATACAGCTGAACAATCAAAAATTCAGTAAATAAACACCTCCACCTCAAATGCCTATTTAAAGTCGGATATCCGACAATATAGTATCATTTGATTTTCGAACCATGAAGATCGTATACGCCGTTCTTTGTGTCGTTATTATGGTTTTTGCGCTTGGCGTTGAGGTAAGTTTGACTGTTTAAATAATGGAGCCCTAGCCCAGAGTCCTAGCCTAGACATGGAGAACGGGCTGGGTCGACCTTGATCCCAATTTAAGTCAAGCCGGGCTTGAAAATAAAGTCCTGCCCGAAAAGCCCGGCCCGTTTGCACGTAAGAAAATTTGGGTCGGGCCTGATCAAAATTATGATCGGGCCAGACCTGAAAAATGAGCTTGGCCCGTTCTTCATGTCTATCCTAGCGCCATCTTTTAAAAAATTTTGTTGAAGGCCCAATCCAGTAAAGCCAGTCGTCCGCCTCACCATCATCGCCACCACTTTACTGGTTCTCCTCGTCCTCATGGTCATGGCAGCTCTCACCCCACTCGTACTCCATTTGGAATCATGCAGAAGATTAAAAACTTTTTCCACGTTTAAATCGATATAATTTTGTTAAAATATTTTAAAATTTAAATAAATTTGCGCTAACTGTTACCTAAATTTAGAATTTTAACCATTAAATCACAACTATCACCTAAATTTCTTAAGTAAAACTAAAAATGTTACCTAAATTTAAAATTTTTAAAAATTATGTATTTCAAAAAACTTTAAAAACTCAAGTTAAATTTATAATTTTCAAGCTTCATAAGCTTCATGTTTAACATTATTATCCATCTCTCTTTACTTAACATAGACGGTTTGTGTAAACTTGCTATACGACTTCCTTGTTGATTTATTTGAACAAACGTCACTTGCTTACGAGCTTGGTCGTATTTATGGCCAGGATAACCAGTATGAGCTGTTTTTTCGTAATAATGCCTGAGGGTTTCAATTTTTTAAAATTTGAATTTTTAAAACCTAAAAGTTTTTTGAAATTTGAAGTTTTATTTGAGTTTTACTGTTATTCTTTTATTGAATACTTCAATTTTACACAAAAAAATTTTTTTAAATTTTTTAAGTTTTTAAAATTCTTTTTTTTAATTTTTATGTTATAAAAATTTTTCGATTTTTTTTTAAATTTACTTTCAGAACCCCCAAACCCATAATGAACCTCCCGATCGTATCTCTCCTCTTACTACTCTACTGCACCTCGGTCTACCCAGTAATCGACAGTAATCCCCAAATCTCCAAGAGCGATATTCATAAATTCAAAGCTAATATACTACCCATCCCTTCCAACCCCCCTCAAGCTCATCCTCACTACTACAAACGTAATGGCAATCAAATATTGGTACCCATGGTACCATTGTCAGTTATGACATTAGGAAATGACCATAAACCGTTGAGACACAAGGCCAGGTCGTTGGAAGAGTTGAGTGAAGTGAATACGGAAGAAGAAGAGAGCAAAGAAGACTTTGATGTAAGTAAAATGATCGTCCAGAAGGCGTTTAAAGTCGCTCAAAAGGTGTTCCACAAGTTCACAAAATTTTTCGATTTTGTGAGTTGTGTTTGATTTTATATAGAGTAGAATATGTGTATTAAACTAAGGCTTAGAGCTAGGGCCAGGCCATAGACTAAAGCTGGGATAAGGCTAAGTCAGGAACTAAAGCTAAGGAGAGAGCCAATTCCGTAGGGCAAAGGCTAGAGCTCTGGGTTATAGAGCTAGAACTAAAGTTTAGACTTTGGACTAAGCCATAGACTACAGCTGAAGCTAGGACTTTGCCATAGACCAAAGCTGGAGATAGGACTAAGACACATCTAAGGCGAGGGCCAAGAGACTAAAGCTACTCCCTATGACTCTGGGCTAGGGCTCTGGGCTAGGGCTCTGGGCTAGGGCTCTGGGCTAGGGCTCTGGGCTAGGGCTTTGGGCTAAAGCTTTGGGCTAGGGCTCTGGACTAAGGCTCTGGGTTAGGGCTCAGGGATAGGACTCTGTGCTAGGGCGAACTCTGGGCTAGGCCAGGGCTTTAAAAATTATTATCCCTCTGCCTTTTACAGATAGACTCAGACATAGGTACAGAACGTATCTACCCCAAAGTCACCTCCTCCACCACCCACCCCTCCACCACAACACCCCACCCAACAACTACAAGCCCAGTAGACAAACCCATTTATAAGTTGATCTACTTTGATGCTCGCGGAATTTGTGAATCGATCCGGCTTATGTTCATCTACTCCAACATACCATTCATCGACAAACGAATCACCTTGAATGAATGGATGCGCTTAAAAGAAAGTAAGCGACTCCGCCGTTCTAAACACTTATTTGCAGCCACCGAGTTTGGGAAACTGCCAATTCTGGAAGTAAATAGCAAAAAACTCAGTCAATGTCTGGCCATATCGCGGTATTTGGCGCATAAGTTTGGTAGGTCGTGTGGAAATGGCAAAACTTTTTTTCAAAAAAAATGTTCGAAAAAAGTTGAACGTGTTCCCCCCTGTGGATTTTTTTGACCCCAGACCAAAAGTCCCCGCCCGGCCCTGATGATAATATAATAGGTATATAAAACTATTTTTACTAATCTAAGAGAAAGAGAGCGCAGAATTAAGTGAACAACCTAATAATACAAGCCCCCATTTTTAGGAATGGCAGGTTCGGACGAATGGGAAGTGGCGAAGCTAGATGAAGTTAGCGAGTTTCATCGTGAGGTTGTACACGACATTTCCCCCTATTTCTATGTTGTTAGCGGCTATCGTAAAGGCAATGCGGTAAAGTTTATTAACATTGTATCATACTATTCTAAAAAATCATTTTTTTTATTTTGGGGTATTATAATATATTATATTTGTATTGCGTCCTAATCTAAATAAGACAGTAAACAGTACCGATAATGCCAACACAACTTCAGGACCAAATGAGAAGAGACGTCTTCCTCCCAGCGATTGAAAAGCACCTGCCCAACTATGTGAAACTATTGAAAAAGTCAAAATCCGGGTTTTTTGGAAAGAAAGTTTCGTGGATCGATTTTACCATCAGCGAGTTCTTGTTTACCTTGAAGACGTACGAAAGTCGTATCTTGAGGAAATTCCCACAACTAGTACGCTTCTTGGACAGAGTGTACCATTTGCCGGAAATTAGAAATTACCTGAAGGAACGAGCCAAGACTCCATTATAATGCGGCATTTTTAAATTTGGCCGTTTTGAAGTTTTGGTTTTTTTTTAATTTTAAAAATTTGTTGTATAAAAATAGTGCTTATGTTATATCTTTACGCCCTAGTAATTTATAGTAGTCAATATATTTGTAAATAAATTGTGTTTAACATAGAAAATCGTATTTTACCTCATATTGCTCAAAATTTTTATATAAATTCTTTGTACCGCCAATGATACCTATAAAAAGTTTGAGCTCATGCTTTTCAATTTAAAATTTGAAAGAACTGACAATGTGAGTTTCCCGCCAATTTGGCATTGTGTTTCAAGCATTTTTTTGACTTTTCAAAACGCTACGCTTATAATTTTAAAAATGTAGGTGCGTTTAAAGGTTTCCTATCAGTATATCAAAGAAAAATGATTAAAAGCCAACAAATGACAAAATTATAAGCTTGAAACACAATGCCAATTCAGCGGAAAATTAAAAACGTAATTTTTGATCTAGGTTTTCCCGAGATTGACTTGTGAGTTTATTCCACAAGTACTGTATTGTAAACAACAGTTTACCCGTGCTTTCTATATAAAATTTTTCCCACCCCTCACATTTTTTTTTATTTTAACCTCCGCTGTTTGAATAAAAAAAGATTTTTACCCTTTCCCCATTCTTTTGCCACAAAAAAGACTTATATCTCATATGTCAATTCATCCCTCCGCCTCCACCCTACCCAAATCAAACTTCGATTAAAAAATCTTGAAAAGTTTATTTTTCCAACGATCAAAGAATATAACCGTATCGTGAATTAAAGCATCGTATATTATGAGAGAGAGTGAGAGAGAAAAGCTGGGCGAAGATTATTATAGTCCTTGAATGGGGAGGGTGAGATTTCAGAATGCGACTAAAATGCTTTCGAAGAAAAAACCTGTCCTGTGAGGATTCTGAATTGAAATTGTTTGAAAATTTCGAAAAAAAAATAAATTTTTGATTCTCCGAAATTTCAAAAATTTGAAAAACTCAAATTTCAATTTTTTTTTTAATTTTCAAAAACTCAATTCCTTATCATTCAGAACCCTTATGCGCCTACATTAACATACAACTACCGAATCTAGAGTCCTGTTCATCTCCGTCGGCCCGCCTTCTTCGGCCGTTCCAACATCGAATAGTCGACCACGTTGGAGCACGTTGACAACACCTCGAACACGCCAATCATGATAATCAATGGTTCCTGCGTTACGTCAAGCTCTTTGAATCGGCCATGACATAGAACACAAGATTCGCATCGTAAGCATGTGCCATTCTTTTGCACAGCACAATATGCTGATGGCATTTTGTGTGGGCAGAGATTGGAGGTGATCTTCATGTAGTTGTGGGATTGGATCGTCAAGGGCGGAGTAGTTTCGGCTTTTTTGAGTTGGAACAGGACCATGTGAGAGTTGATGCGAGGATTCTTGATGTAGTTGTGCTGAAATGGATAAATATTATTTTTATAAAAAAATTAAAAATAAAAAAAAATTGTTGCCCAGTCCTACCCTACCCACATTACCAACCCACCCTCTAAATGACCCTCCCGCTCCCCCAAAATGACCCCACTCTCCTCCACCTACCGTGCAGCAGATCCCCTCCCCCACCTACCGTGCAACTGATCCAATCCGTAATGTCATAGACGGCATTATCAACACAAGCAAAGGCATTCCAGCTCAATCCGTACATTTTAGCCTCCATCCACACCTCTCGGTTCCGTGCCGAATGAAAGCATCGACACTTCTGGCAGTAGCGTGAAGGTGGTCCTCGGAGACGATGCACACGGTGAGCTACACCACATTCACAGCCGAAATAATAGTCGGCGTTGAAGACAACAGCACGCAGTTTTAGATACTCGTAGAACAGGTTTTGATCAAACTGAAAGTAAAAATCTTTTTTATTTTTTTTAATTTAAATTTTTTGAACTTTTTTAATTTTTTTTTATTTTCGAAAAGGCTTTTTGAGTTAAAAATTCATAGAAACCAAATTTCTTTGCCCTTTCTATATTTAGGTACCAAAAACTTTAAAAATCGAAAGAAAATAGATTTTAGGTAACAAAAAAATCTAAAAATTAAAAAAAATAAAAATCAATCTTTTAAAAAATTGATTTTTATCCCAACTTACAGTTGAAAATTCGTCAAAATAGCGTTTGCACCCATCTAATGAACACAAAGAGTCGGCGGCCTTATTGATCAACGCGATGGCGCAGTCTATGGCCGGGTAGAAGCTCTATAATATGTAAAATAAGATCGTATATAACATAAAATGGCATTAATACTATCTTTTAACAATGAAATTTTTAAAAATTCCCAAAAATTTTTTTATTTTTACTTCAAATTACTTCAATTTTACTTCAAATCCATTAATTCTTTCGCATTTCAAAAAAAAAGTCAAAATAAATACTTTTAATACCTAATATTAACAAAAATTAAAACATTTTTGATACCTAAAATTAAAATAATCCAAAACCCCCACCTTCTCCGAATTCAGAAAGCTGACTGTACCATTCCTCGCATTAATAACGTCCCCGATATTGGTGGTGTACTTTAGGCCTAATACTGAAAAAGCGTCCAACCGATCCAAATTCGATAGCCTATTGATTGACTCGTGGACTGCCAATGGTTGTGGTAGATTGTATTCCAGTCCTACAAACTTCTTCACTAAGCCCTGATTCTTCGCATCAAAATACTTTAAATTGTTGTCGTAGCGAAGGTGAATATAGTCCAAAGCCAGGTCTCCGTAGATTATCGACCATTTAAAGAACGACTTGACTGTTGTTATTACTTTTTCGTTTAATGAGACAATTCCGTAGTAACAGCTAAAATAGCAAGTATGTTATAATAGCTAAAGGTAATATAAAAAAAAGTAAAAAAAACTAGAGGAAGGTTATAGAGCATAGCTAGAGAAGAAGTTCCCCTTTCACTTACAATGAAAAAGCCAAGTAGAAAGCCTTGTAGATGTAGTTCAAAACCAAATTGACAGTAATGTTTGACAAGAACATGACGAACAGCATGATGTACTTGAAGAAAACATCAGTTTTGTCACAGTTAAAGCAATCTTCACCGTCGTCATTCTTGTCCACAAATTTGGTCTTGTTCAGGATATTCTCCACGCTTTCAAAGGATGGGTTCTTCTTCATGTCTAAAATGATGTATGTTATAGTTTTTAAAGGTTAAAATAGTGCTTTAGAACGTAAAATTGTCTTTTATGGCCGATTATAATATAAAAATTTCTCATGTTTACTCTTCCCCCCGCCCCCCCAAATTTTTTTTTGAAAAAAAAATATTAACGTGAACCCGCCCCCCGTTGATTTAAAAGATAAAAAAAGTTGGCAACTTCTACCCTCTCCCGCCAGATAAAAAGTAACTCGTCTGCTCTTAACTCCATCTACTTGTGGACCAAAAACAATATTTGTTACCTAAATTTCAAAAAATATTTAAAAATCTCGTTTCCTTACCAATTTTATTGTTCAAACTCTCCGACTTCCTAGTCTTATTACTCTTCTCCTTCACCATGCTATCCTTTGAAGACGATCGACTCTTTCTTTCCTCCGCCTTCTTCACCACGTTCAAATCCTTGCCGCCAGGAACATTAAGACTGATCTTCTGACTCTTGCTGCCACTATTGTTCTTCTTTTTCTTTTGTTCTACCACCTTCTTCACTTCTTGTTTAAAGTCGGGTACTTTTGAAGATCCGACTGGTGCACTTTTGATGGTTTTGGCATCAGATTCGATTGGATTCCAACCGATGACAGTCTTTTTCGGCTTCTCTTCCTCTTTTACGTTAAGTTGGGTTAGTTGAGCACCTTTCTTCGGTTGGGCTGGCTTATTTTCCTTTTTGAGGGTTTTCATTGCCATTTCACTTGATCTCCGTGATAACGGTTTGGAGACTGAAAATATATTATTTAGGTAATGAAACAATTTTTGAAATTTGAGGCCTTTTTTAAAGCATAAAACGTCTAATTTTCAATTTTTGTTACCTAAAACCAAAAAAAAATAATTTTCAATCTTAATCTTCATCAATAACTATACCTTCATTCTTCTAAATTTTGTTACTTAAAATTCCAAATTACAGCCTTTTTTAAACTTCCTATCCCTCTTCAAAGCGCTTTGCAAAGCCCAGTCTTCACCTTTCCAACTTTTGTTGCCTAAAACCTCAAAAACAAAGCAAAACACTCACCATTACCAAAATTACCAGCAGAACCACTCGAGCCTTGACTCAAGTTGTTTCTCGACCTATTCTTGCGGAACTTCTTCAACTGTTGTTTCTTGAATTTGTCCGCAACTCCATCAAATGGCTTCATCAACAAGTTGTAGCACTGTTCGTAGTATTGATTGTCCAGCTGATAGAACGGTGGAGTTTGATTTGGATAAACCCCAGTATACCCATAGTTCTTGCTGGTATACGGAACTCCGTCCCAATCCACCATAGGCATCAAACCCATCGGCGGAGTGTAGGGTGGCGGAGGTTCGGGCCAAAACGCTTGATTCGGTGATGGTCCAACATTGTTATGCATCAAAACTGACGAACTAGAACCCAAAACTGGTGCTGAGAAAGATGAAAAAGTGGAGAAGTCGGTTACAGATGTTGTGTAGTCGGCAAACTCCGTTGACAAATTGTTTTGGGGCTCTGAAGTTGAAAAATAAAGTAAAATGTGGTAAAAAACTATGATTAAAGAAGAATTTAAAAGTATTACTCCAAAATAGATCGTCAAATTCTCTATAAAACTTTTAACTTTACACAAACTCCTTGTCTATATTCAACTTAATCTCTTTTAACCACAAAACCCACGCTTGATTTACCTAAAAACCGAAAAACATCAAAAATATAGACTTACCACTCTTTCTTGGACTTGACGGATCTTCATCTAACAAATCTCCTATATAATGACGTTCGGATTGATTAAAATCCATGCAATTTTGATTATCCTGGGCCATTCAGGCCCATTCCCCGTATCTGTAAACAGAAAGCAATAAGTTCACACTATTATACATTTTATAGGTATTGATCACGGTAAAACGCACGTTTTTGTGTGAAATTGACGAATTAAAACAAAGTATTAGATATTATAAGATTAAAAGGCATTTCAGGTTCATTCTAAAAAAACAGACTACAAGATGTATCAGTTTATAAACTACTAGTTTATTTTTTAAAGCTATTTTATATTATAGTAAATACATCAACAAGTGTACTGTCTTGAAAAGCTTGATTTAAATTTCAAAGTTAAAATTAAAGTCAATCATTAATTTTAGAATGTAATAAATAGAATAAACTTGATTTTAATAAATTTTCAGTTCAAACACTTTTGTTGTTAATTTGTCATAGGCAAATACTTTAGATTAGATATACCAATACCTCGTTAAAATCGAAATTAGCAGTAAAAATCAAAGTAAATTCCCGTAGATCTTACTTAATTTCCACCGTTAAACATTGTTCTTAATTACCCGTCGCACAAACCCCGATTAATTTGATCAATTTCATGTTATTCTGACCAATTTCGACTGAATTCATGCCCAGCTCTATGTTTATATACGAAATCAATCCAAAAAAATTAATCGAATACCGAAATCTGAACGTGAGCTCGAGCACACGAGGCAGTTGACGTCTTCAAGAGGAATCAGACGAGGAAAGAAAGCAAATAAAAAAAAATTTCGGAGAAATAAAAATTTTACGACTGCAGGGTGCGAAATGGCGGTGGCGGGTTGCGCCCGCTGTGAAGATAGGTAATTTTGAAGGGAATCGCGCGGAATTACTGTAAATGGCGGGCAACAATGTTCTGATGGGTGAAAAACAAACACGAAGCAGATGTCCTTTTATTTTCGAATATTTGAAAGCATAAAGAAAGGTATTCAAATTCGAATTTCGTTGGTTTATGGCCATATTGATGTGTAAAATATGCGATTAAAAAGTTGTGTTCGTAGTTTAAAAAAAATAAAATTAGAGAAGTAAAAAGAGCAGTTTAATACATATAAAATTAAAAATTCAATAGATTGAAACTACTAGTTTTTTAGTGGCATTAAAAATATTAACAATGCCTACCTCACCTTAAATTGTAAACTGTTGTACGTTTTTGAAAAATCGTTGAAATGCTTTAAAAATTCCGCACACACAATCCTCATAGCATTAAGTATAACCTCACTAAATTTCATGAACGTACAATACAACCTTTTTGAGAACAACAATGTTAAACATATTGAAGTAGGCCTTTTACTCAAAACTTTCAAATCGCTATAACCTTGGTAATATTCGAGGGCAAGTGTCTGGATTTGCCATGCAAATAACTTAAGACTTTGTTTTCAAATTCAGATTACGAGAATTACTAAATATGGATTAAAGTAATTGGAAATATTATAATAGGTGTTTTAGAACATTGCTTCTGCAAAGTGATAATAGAATATTTATTACATTGAAATGCGATAAACTTAAAAAAGAGGCTTATAATATTTAAATCATAATAACAAATCTACTATAATATGTTAAACAAAGGCGTGACAAAGTAAAGTTTTGATTGAAAGTAGTAAAAAAGTCTTTTTTTAGAGCTATAGTCATATATTTATACGTAGTATATCGTGATGATACGACTAAAATAACATTTTCTTTTGTATAATCTAAATAAAATAGCATTCTTTTCTTCATAATCAACCTAAAATGCAATTATTTCCTACATACTACAATGAAAATGCCACTTTTATTTACACTACAACTAAAATGCTATTATTTTTTCGTACTCTAACTAAAACTCCATATCTTTTCTCAAAATCTCGCAAAAAAGACGATTCTTTAAAATACGTCTTATGACAAAACAGAGTAATCAACAAAGTGCATGTAAACATATAACTCGAGATCATATCGCCGGAAGAGGTCACAACCTTTTTTCCCAAAAAATCTTTATAGCTTTCAAACTCCGCAAACAGCCTTGTTTCTTCTTCGCTTCGCTTTTTTCGCCTTGGATTTGGCCTCAGAGTTCGTTGGGATTGAAAGGAAGGAGGCGAGGGATGGAGAAGATGCGGAGAGACCGCCGAGGATGTTGTAGTGGGTCCGAGAGGAAGGATTTTTGAGGAGGGAGTGCGGGAGAAGTGGGGATGAATGAAGAGTGCTTAAAAAGTAAGATTATATAAAGAACAAAGCCTGATCAAGTTGAAGCAACATAATCAAGTTGTAGCAACGCCTGTCAGTAAAGGAAGGCAGTGAAGAAGGGGAGGGTTAGTTCTAAAGAAAAGATTTTTAAATATTTTATTTTAAAGAGGCTACCCATTACTACTAATTTCTTTAGCCCTAACCCAGAGCCCTAACCCAGAGCTTTAGCCCAAAGCTCTAGTCCAGAGCCCTAGTCCAGAGCCCTAGCCCAGAGCCCTAGCCCAGAGCTTTAGCCCCAGCTCTTGCTCTAGCTCTTGTCCTACCTCTTTCCCTAGCTCTTGCCATAGCGCTTGCTCTAGCCCAGGGCCCTAACCCAGAGCCTTAACCTAGAGCTCTAGTCCAAGGCCCTAGCCGATAACCCTGACCTTAAGCTCTAACCCTATAATAACTTTTATACCAGTCCCATCAAAACCCTATTATACCATAATCTATTATAATATTTAAAAAAATATGTTACACATTTTCAAAAGCGAACATAGAAAAAAAGAAGGACGAGATAGTGAGCAATCTTTCCAGAGCCGCCAGATGTGAAAGAAGAGCAAAACAAAAAGAGGGAACAGATGGAAGGCTACTGAAGAAGGAGGAAAAAAGTAGAAAAAGTCGCTTTGGCCTTCAAAAACCCCTCACTATGATGTCTCTTACACTTCTGGATTAAAACAACTCTTTATGAGTTGTTAAAACGCAATTAAAGTCACTATTCACAAGTTTGAGGTCATTTTTTTATTTGGAAAACTGAAATTATTATAAATATTACACTTATTATAAACAAACATGGCTACAACATAGTCAAAAATGTAAAAAAAGTAAATTAAAGTATGTAAAGAAAAAAAATTTTAAAGTAGCAGTCTTTGTCAATTTTTGTTTCAATTTTTTTCACAACATGAACAGTGGGACTAAATTAAACACTTATATTAGGTGCCGACATAAAAAACCCGCCATTTTTTACAGGAAATTACAGGCAAAGTATGGCGGGTTGTTTATGTTGACACCTATTAAAAAAGTCTTGATGATTCTACCCATTTCTACTCTTTCTCTCTATTGTCCTGCGTTGATAACAGTACAAAATAGACATAACAATAAAATGTAGTTTTTTTGCAAAGAGCATTATAAATTTCGACGTAGGCAAAGCAACGAGTACGGATCGCTGTAACGGTACAATGGGAATGTGTTTGTAGCTGATTGTGAACATTTTTCTGTTCTTTTCGTCTTTTTTTCAACTGTTGTGTTGTGGTTGTAAAAAATTCTGTATCTTTTTTACTAGAAAATTGCAGCTTTTGTTGTTGGCCCTTCTTATTCTTGTTGAGGAAAACGCACGAATTGACGCTTCAATCCACTGTAGCCAGGTGATTAAAAAGTTGTCTAGAGCGCAGAAGGAGTCAGTTCGGATTCATTTGATTACATTTTGGCGTTTTGTTAAATAGTTTAACAAGAAGTTTTGGCTAGCCACACAATATTTAGATAAAAAATATTTTTATATGTCTGACATTACAGTACGAAATTACAGTATTTTCACTTATAAATTCAATGTTTTATTTACAGTAAAAAATTACAGTATCTTCCGTTATAAATCCAAAGTTTATTTTTGAGCTCAGATATGAATAATTGGATAAGCGGAACATGAATATGCAAAACAACAACTACAATTATACAATGGAATACATAAGTAGGTCACCATGACGACCATTGAATGGCAACGGAAATTCGTGAGGATATTCTACAAAAAGTGCGTGTAAACCGATTTGAAGACGTTTTGGAAATAGGATTAACTTATAATATTGTTAACAATCGTTACAGTTTATTTCTGTGATACCTTTTAAACTTTCATTTTAGTTTTAGGTGGCTTGAAATATTTTTGGCATTAATTTTCGCTTTTTTAAGTGTAATATTTTTTATTTATAAATTTTTAGTATATATGTTACTGCAGGGCAGGGGTAATTTTTGTTTGAAGAAGAGAGAAGGACGTGGTAAAAAGCAAAGGAAAAAAGAGATAAACTTTAATCTTATTGTTAATATAAGATGAAGAAAAGGGTAGAAATGGAGAATGGGCCAGCCTGAGCAAAATTAAGATCGGGCCAGGTTTGAAAAGTAAGCCCGGCTTGGCTTTTTCTTTATGTCTAGAAAAAAAGGAGGGGGATTAAAAAACTTTTATTGACATAGTACATGTAATATTAAAATAACAATTTTTTTGTAATTTTGTAATCTGGTAGCTCATCAGTCATGCCGTATAACACCCAATCAAAAAACCATTCAATCGGCCTGAAAGTAGATACCCATATAGGATGAAGGACCGTAAAAAGTTGCCTTAAAAACTGTATTTAAAAATTGCTATTATAAATTGTGTCGGTTAGCGAGATATTACCGGTCAAAAAAATTATTATACGTTGGGCGTTCCGGAAAGTGTTTCATTTCGAAGGTGGCACACAGCCTAGTTTTATAATATAAACTTGAATTTTTAAAATAAGTTTTTTCAGATTAGAATAACAATATATATGATGATATAACAAAAACCGTGCCAAAATCTATTAATTATAAGTATTCTGTGTCGGTTAGATTAGCCATAATTTCTTTTTATCTTATTATTCTTAATCTAGCATTATTGGTTTTGTTTTTTTTTATTTTTTACTACATTTGGAGCATCTACTACAATATATTTCTAGCCTAATATATTTGCTGTAAATTTGGTTTATTGTACTTACTATATTCTTGCCTTATCTTAATTACTACATCCTTAACTTTCCTTGACAACTGAATCAGTACATTGTATTTATTATAGCTTGTCTTTGACCTCTTATATCTTCTGTCTTTTTGATTTACAGTACATTATCTTCAATCCACCTTACATTATACTAATCTCAAGTCTACAACAACACTTACCCTACCATACCGTAGTATTTTACCCTTCTACATCAAAATATACCCGTGTTACCGACTTGAATGGTAAAATACCGTCGACTGATGGAGATGGAGACAGAAGAGCCGCGGATTCCCTCGCGGTTGAGTATTTTGAGTCGAAGTAAGTGTGTGTTTTTATGCGACGAGATAATCCCGAGATCAAAACCCTCTCAGCTCGGGTCGAACGTGTTATATTACACAAGCGTAGATAACACATATCAATTGCAGACTCGTCGAACGCCGACTGTCATTCCCAGTTCAGTGAGGAGGAGTTTCAACGGGACTTACAGAAAAAGTAGGTATTGTACTGATGGTTTAGAGTAATAGTATTGTAATTATTGTCAGGAAGAGTAATTTTTGAGTCCATAGAGAAGCGGCAAGGGGGGGGGGGGAGGAGAGGAGCAAACATACAATTTTTTACAACTTTCTTGGTTTACAGTAGTACCAGTAGCTTATATAAAAAATCTTTGCGGTTTTAAGTTTTAAAACTAATATATTTAAATATCCAGGCAGTTTGGCAACTTTGGCATTGTGTTGCAAGCACTTTTTTTGATGTTCCAGACAAGATACGCTTACAAATTTAACATTGCAAGTTTATTTGAAGCTTTTCTATCATTATATTGAAGAAAAATAGTTAAAAGTCAAAAAAAGCTTGAAACACTATGCCAATTTGGCGGGAAATTCAGAACGCGATTTTTTGATCTCGATTTTTTCAAAGCTGACCGCAAAACACAGCTTACAATTTTGCATAAGTTGTTACATTTACATGAACATTCAATAAAAAAACTTTTAATGAAATCTGAGCGTTGCAGGTCGGGTACCTTCCTTGTTAGCCATAGAGGAAAAGTGTTGAAAATTACTAGTAAAATGCGTTTTATATTCAAACTTTTTCCAAAAAGTTTATATGTTTCATCTGACTGTACCTACAACCTTTTGTACTTTCTAAAAGAGCTCAAAAACCAACGAACGTTCTGTAACAAAGAGATCAAACTTTTACTTTTACCGTTTGTTCTAAAGGGTTTTTTGAAATTTGAAGCGTGTACTTTTTAAAAATCTAAAAATACATATAATTTACTTGATTATTTTACATGTAATGTAGAAGCTTTTTATCTTTTTTTTTAGTTTAGAAAATGTAAAAAAAATTTTGAAAAAATTTGAACGTGGTCCCCCTGTAGATCTCTGGAAAAAAATTTTTGCAAACAATCGGTTCAGGTAGTATGCTGATTTTTTCGGTCTCTGCACCGCGACCAAAAATACCCGCTCGGCCCTGCTGATGGCTTTAAACTTTTTTTTTAAATAAATAATTTTTTTAATCTTTTTTAGTTTTGGATTTAACTTTATTTTTTGTTCTTTTTATTTTTATTTTTCGTAATTTGCCATGCCGTTCAACATTTGTTTTACATCTGATATGCGCATAAAATGTGGTGGTATTGGGGGTGCGAGTACACATAGAGGACATAAGTACATATATAAATATAGCTATATATGTTTAGATGTATGGATGTGTGGATTTTCACATGCATACTTATTTTACGTTTATAACACATATATAAAATACTATAGTTTATATCATTTCTAGGTCGAAAAACGATGTTGTTTGAACAATAATTTAAAAGCCATTTTTCAAAAAGCTAATTGTCTGTGTCATTACATATTGTACATTACACTACATACACTCTGTAATTATAGAGTCGAATAGAAAACATCTTTTAATTTCTTTTATAAGCCTTTTTTTCAAATTTTTATTGAAAAATTGGTGTTGGAAACAATATGTATTGAACAAATGAATGTGTATAGGAAGTAAATTACTATGATATCGTGAAGATTAATTTACTTTTTTTTTGAAAGGAGGGTTTTGATAGTTCTTAAATTGTACCATTTTTGATATTTTTTTATTCTTTAATTTTCAAAAATTTCAATTTTTTTTGAAATTTCAATGGAAACCGGTTGTAAATGTAATGGGGAATGTTATATGAAAGTGTAATTATTTTAGTTTTTTTAAGCTTAAACTTTTGAATTAAATTCAAGTTACTAATCATATTTTTTAAATTTTATAATATAGGCTTAAAGTTGATAAGCCTAAGGTTTTGTTTCATTTTTAAAAATTTTTATGATCTTTTTTCAGGCCGAACGTTGTGGGACCGGGCGGTGTGCCATTACCACGCCAAGCCGAACTCACTGCCATGTTGGACGGCGACAAAATATCTGTCATGTGCTTCACGTGGAACATTGCCTCGAGGGTATATTTTTGTTTTTTCAATTTTTTGGAGCTTTTTGAAAATTTAAATTATATTAAATTTTTAATAAATCTTCTCTAGCTCTAGTCTTGCTATACAATTCGTAAAATTTTTAAAAATTTTAATTTTTTGAACTTATATAGTTATAATAAAATCCTTAAAAAGGGACCTTTAGCCAGTAAGTGGACTGAACAGCCTCAGTGAGCTATTTGAAAAAGTGCCTCGGAATGAACGTCAAGATATCATAGCCATTGCCTTACAAGAGCTACCTACTTCAACAATGTATGTTTTTAAAATAATTTGATGTAAAATACGAATCCTATTTTTGTGTCTAGATATTTTTTTATTTTGCCCTAGGGAATTCGCTAGAGACGGGGTGTTTTTTACATTAAATAAGGGCAAACCTACCGTTCTTTTAGAACACAACGTAAAAAAATTTGAAAAGTGGCAGCACAGGTACTGTGGTTTTCGAAGTTAGAGGCACAGAATTATTTGATCATTCTAATATCTTTTTTAGTAATAGTTAAAGAAGCTAAAATAATATCATTTTTAGACGGTTCCACAATGACATGGTAGCAATAGTGCAGAAAGCTTTGGATGACACGCATCGAGTCTACTGTTGGGTGCGAAAGTGGTCCCAAATGGTACTGATTTTCATTAGAAAAAAGTTGAGCTTGTACGCTTCTTGTAAGTTTTTTTTTAATTTTTTTTATTTTGAATTTTGGCATATTAAAAATCTTCGAAAATGACAGTTTTGTGCTATAATTTTGAATTTGAAAGCGAAAATAATGATCTTATAGGCTGTATATGTCAATTTAATAATATTATAAGCCTAGAATTAAAATTTTAAATTTTGTGCATAAAATTTTAAAAATGAATGATTTTCAGATCCAGAATATCAATTTGTGGCTACAAAACGGCTAGCCTCACCCTTCAGAACAAAAGGAGCTATTGGAGTTTGCTTTAGGTTATTACAAACGACTTGCGTGTTTATAACGTGCCATTTGACTCGTAAGTAGCTTTAGCTCTTTCCTTAGCCCTAGCCCTAGACTTAGCTACAGCTCTAACCCTAGCTTTAATCCTAACCTTATCAATAGCTCTAGCCTAGCTCTAGACTTAGTCGTACTAGAACTAGTCCTAGTGGTAGCCATAGCTCTAGATTTAGCCATAGTTTTAGCCGGAGCTCTAGCCCTGATTGTAACATTAGTTTTAGCTATGCTTCAGACCATAGCCATTGTCCTAGTCCATAGTATGAGCTTAGCCTCTCTAAACAAAAACGGCAAGACGATATTACCCTTCCTTACCCTAAACCTTTTTTACATTTTCTTTTTCTTCCTATATTCCTAGCTAAACTTTCCGTCTTCTAGATTACGTTAATATAACCTTTTTATTTAAATAATTATACTCTTCCCAACCAACCTCAATATTTCAGATGGAAAAGTGAAGAAGCGAGTGTCAGACTATGATAAACTATCCAAAGCTTTTACCTTTCCAATGCTCAAAACCGATTCGAATACGGGTATTCCAATGAAGAACGCTGGCTATGTCTTTTGGTTTGGGGATCTAAACTTTCGAATACAAAGACAAGATACGGCCGACATCATACGAAGCCAGCTGGAAGAGAAGTTGTTCAAGGAAAAGATCGACTTTAACACACTGTTAAGTCATGATGAATTGACATTGGAGAAGGCGAAAGGTAAGGGTTTATTTGATGTTTATAGGGTTATAAAAATTCTAAAGTTGTCATTTTGAACTTTTTTAAATTTCATTTTTAGAGATTTAAAATAATTTTTAAATTTCAATTTTTTAAAATTTAAAATTTTTTTTAGAATTTTAATTTACGTGTTTTAGGCCTAGTATTTGACGGCTTCAAAGAAGGCATTATCACTTTCCCTCCAACTCATAAGTTCTACCGTAATACCAATGAGTTTGTACCTCATCGAATACCTTCGTATACAGTAAGTTAGTACTAAAGTCATATTCACACAAGTATGAGTATGCGTAGGGTAGGGTAGGGTAGGGTAGGGTAGGGTAGGGTAGGGTAGGGTAGGGTAGGGTAGGGTAGGGTAGGGTAGGGTAGGGTAAGGCAAAGCAAACCAAAGCAAGGCAAGCCAGAGTTGAGTGGGGTAGAGCAAGACAGAAACGTCATGATAAATCAAAATAGCCGTTACTTCTCTATACTATCTTTGTACTGTTTACTTTAATTTTTGATTATACCGCCTCAACTCACAGCCAAGCTTAATCTGACCAAGAATTTTCATTTTCAGGACCGTGTATTGTACTGGGCCAAGGACTTTGACACGATATATCCGATACGATACGACTGTGTATGGGCTCTGACCGTTTCCGACCACAAACCAGTGTACTGTACATTCAAAATCAAGGTACTAGAGAAGCGGACCGATGCTGGGGGCTCAGTACATACCAACACAACGACCTCAAGGGGTTCGACGGTCAGTCGCAGCGCCAAATCTTGCTATTAAAATCCGGGTAAAATAAAATAAATTATAAAATAACTTGTTGGTTGTGTGTAATATAAAGGTCTTTTTGATTTTTTTTCTACTTTAAAAGGTCTATATTTTATTTTTCTTAAAAAATATTTGAAAAAATTGAAAAAGTAGGCTTAAAATTCAAAAAATTTCAAAAAAGGTTCCTTTAAAACACCAAAAAGTTTTAAAAATTTGGTTACAGTAGAGTTACTGTAAGTTCAAACCCTTTTTAAAAAACAAAAAATGGGAATATCTTCATAAACATTAATTTATTAACCATTTTAATATAAAATAACGCAACCCTGTCGGTCAGGGCCATAATAATATAGACCGCTTCTGTTTGACAATCATAGTACAATCTGTAGTAAAATATAGCCGAAGTACAACTAGTAGTATATGCCAGGCATAGTATGACATCTCCTTTAGAGTAGGCACTCTAAAAGTCGGCTATATATAGAGGTCTTGTTATGACCATTAGCACAAAACGGCCAGTGAGTGCATAATGATCGGGAACACTACTAGTACAGCAAGGCCATAGTAAGACTACTAATACAGCACAGCCATAGCAAGACCAATTTCATGCGATAGCCATACTAGTACCACGTGTACATAAAGAGTACAATATGATCGCCAATAAAGAAGGGCCATGAGTGCTAAGACCGCCTGCATATTATGAAAGGATTGCAAGAGAATATGAACGATCCGAATACACGTACACACAAGCAACAAGAACAACAAATAAATATCAAGTGACATTCACCATAAATACACACACAAGAACGAACCCACGAAACACATTGTAACAACGGACGGACAAAACTGTTTTAGGCTATGGTTTGCTTAAAATTTTCAGAAATCGCCAAAAAATTAGAAAAATTTTCTTTTTTGTCATAACTTTTTTCAAACTCAAGGTGTAGCTACAAACGTTGGTGAGATTATAGGTTATGTATATTGCCAACAAAACAATAAAACCAAAAAGGAAAATTCACAACAATCATGAAGTTACAGTAAGTCAACATAACCCCATTTTCCAAATTTTTCAAAAATTTGAAATAAATAGGGTCAAGTAAAACTAATGTAAATTCCGAAATCTTAAAAACTAAAAATCGTTTTTTACAGGTTAGTTATCAATATAAATGAACTTTGCTCCCACAAATTTTCAAAGATCTACCTAAACTTTCAAAAAAGTTATGGCCAAAAATTAGAAAATTTACAAACTTCGGACAATGAGTGCCGTTTCTGATATTACTATTCTATAAATAGGCCTCTAATAGTCTCAAAATTCCTTAAATTAACTATTAAATATATTTTTTCCTATTATACTTTACTTTTAAATTTAAAAAATTTTCAAAATCCCTTTTAAAACTAAAAAATTAAAAAATCTTGATAAAAAGTGCACCGTGCAACAAAAACTTTCAGGCAATTTGCACCGTGCAAAGATAAAAATTCAAGAAATCTAGACCAAGCCCTTTTCTGAAAATATAAAAGTTTTGAAAAACTATGTAAAAACATGCATAAGATCGAAAAAACGAAAAAATCGCCATACAAACATCAATTATAATGAGAAGATGACAGTTAACACATTAGACTGACCATCAATTTTAAGCCCATGAACTGTCGATGACAATAACTTAACTTTGAATAATATAACCATGTTAAAAAGGCCTTTTAAGCCCGAATAGTTATAAAAATACAAACCATAGCACAATTTTAGAAAATGAAAACCTTGATGAAAGTGGAAAAGCGATTTCTGTGACCAAAGACACGTAATGTAAGTATATCAAATGGACAATATATTATAATACATTATTACTCTTTAATACTCCGAGACACGCTTTTTTACAATTCGTACAAGTTTTGAAGGCGGCTGCTGAGATTGTGAGGAAATTGGGCCACAAACTGGGTCCAAATGTCGTTTCCGACCTGACGTTGGAAGTCGAGCAGGATCTAAAAATATGATTATAGTCGCAACAACGTGTTTTACATCCAAAAAAGACTTTATGGCTCGCTAAGACTACAAAGAAGCGTGATACAATGTTGCTAAAAAACGTTTTATCACCCCTCCCACACACACAAAAATTTTTTTTACGCCGCCCAATTTTTTTTCCTTTTCAACCTTCAGAACCAAAACCGCCCTTCCAGCCCTCCCTATAGTATCAAAAACCAAAAAAAAACTATATTAACCCACCTCTCTGAACATTTGTCGTAAATCCGGCGAAGGATTGGTCCATGAGGCCAGCGCATCACAAAAGAAGACAAAGTTGGGTATGACACCCTGAGGGTTGTGTCTTATCACGATGCAGATGCCTCGGAATGCGGATTCCTTCTCTTCGTTATCTCTTATATTCCTCAAAGCCAAGCACCAAGGTCGGATGAAGGAGTTGAGGTGGGGTGCTAGTATTGGTGCACAGTGCAGTCCTAGTCGGCCTAATGTTATGGCTGAAATGCAAATTTTAAACTCATACTGTAGGACTTTAGATTTTCATTTTTGAAATCAAGTTTTATTACTGTAGGCTTCTGTAAGTTACTTTACTCTATCCTACCCTACCCTAGCATACAGTAGCCTAGTATCTCTTTCCCGAAACTATCCTACTGTAATTTCAAAAACTTTTCCTACAACACCCCCTTCCCATGCCTTACCAGTGTTTTCAAGCAGCGTTCGTGTCACTCGGTCCTTGTTGATCACCTCTATTAATGGCATTACAATCAAACTGGCATATTGTGTCATGTGTTCTCCAATCTTCAGTGCAATCTCCCCCATTGCCCAGATAGCATTATTACAAACAGAGACGTTGGTTGGGTCCAGATTGCTCATTAAAACCGGCATTACATGTTGAATTTGTGTTGCTATTAGAGGGAAACATGATTTGACCAAGTCGCCCACTAATGCGAATGAGCTTTGTCGTACTTCTTTCGATGTGTCCTGAAACGCGATTTAATAAGATTATAAAGCAATTACTAATACTAATACCCAAAAAAAACAAGCTTGGCCCATACCCCCACTTTTAACCTCCAACCACACCCCACTTACATTCGCGCAATACAGGGCCAGCTGTACCAAATTACTTCGTTCCACAATCGGCATGATGTTGCTGCCCACACCTTCGCATAATTCACTAATCAAATCCAATGCCACCACCAGAAAGTCCTTATCAGCATCGCCATGCGCTGTTCCGTTCAGATTTCCATTCAAACTGGGGTTGGCGGCTTGGTTCGAGCTCTCGAGTATGACTTGTTGTAACGTGCTGTTAATCAGTACGATACACCGTTGGAAGACCGAGTCACAGTAGGGCATAAAAGTGATGCCTAATGCATTCGCAACTGATGATATGCATTCTAGGAGGGGGAAGAGTTCTCGGTCATCGTCTCGTAGAATTTGGCACTTTCGTATTAAGGGTTCCATTAGGGTGTTAGCATATTCTGGATGGCCCAGAGTGGCTCGCACTGAATCGGCTAGAGTGCCAATAGCGTCGTATAATATTAGTAGATTTTTTGACTGAAAAATCGATTATAAATACTCAATATTGTAAAACTTATGGCTTCTAATCTTTCTAACAACGATATTTCATGCCGAAAAGCTAACTTTTAAGCCTAAAACAACATTTTAAAAGAGTTTCTTTCGTTTTTCATATTTCTAGTAAAGCTAGGATATTCTAAATGTCATTTTTAATCTACTTTTTTCATCATTTTCCCTAAAAACTTCAATAAATTCTAAAAAATCAAAAAACCCTTACCTGATACCCATTAAAAGCCTGAATCAGCGTCCTTAAGATGTCTGGTAGATAAGGTACCAGCTCGTTACCGGCTTCTTCCTCGAATGTCGCAAATGCTGAGCAAGCTGCTTCTTGTACACGTTTATTTTTGTCCAAAATACGGATTAATAACTGAAAAACTTCAATTTAAAAAAAATTGTATTTCGCCCAAAAACTTTTTACCCCGCCCGAAGATTTTTTACCCAGAAAATACCCATCCCAAGCTTTAATCACCTAAAAACAATCAAAAACCTAAAAAATCTTACTTTACTGAGTAATTCCCTGAATAGTTCTGATTGAGGTTGAAAGACGACAAAGTGACAATACCGTGACAACGTCCAACAAGTGATGGACCGAACCAAAGCTCGTTGATCGTCGAGTTGAGAAATTAGAAATGGAATCAAGACCGGTAAGTGTGGGTTCATTCCAGTCGTGCAGCCTTCTGAAACCGCTCCCAACGCCAGAATCCCGCTTTCTCTGACGATCCAGTCCTCGTTCTGTAGACAACTATTTACATTAACTAATAGGTTATCGAGGAAGGAATCGCCAAAGATACTCGACAGCATGTCCAACGATGCCGCTGCACATTTACGCAAACTCCACTCAATATAAGCGTCGTCATCATCGTCGTCGTATTCATCTTCTTCATCTCCACCTCCTCCGCCGTTTTCTTGGCCAAAGAAATTTCGAGTCTTGTGATGTCGCGGCCGAATATCTTGTGCTCGATCTGGTACTTCTGAATCGTCCTCTACATCGGCCTGGAAATAGATTGTTATTAGCAACCTGTATAAAAAACTAAAAACACAAAAAAAATCTCAAAAACAAAATTGTAGACATCTAAACCATCTTTTTAAAAAAGTCTAAAATTCTAAAAAATCTAAACCTAAGAACTAATAAAATAGCGAAACCATTACCTTTAACGTAGTTAAATCTGTCGGAGAATACCTCATGCACTTCAATAACACTGCTGTAAGTTGTGGTAGAATAGGTGTGACAACTTGTTTACAGATCTCGATATTTTCAGCCAATCCTAGCCAAAATTCGCAAGCTTCTTGTGCAATATCCAGCCTTTCATCCTGCGTTTTCACCAGTATAAATTGAGCAATATTGTGAAGTTGTGGCTGGATCTTTTCAACATAACTTTCCAGCAGTAACGTTAATGCTCTACATAATTCTTTTTGAATTTCCTGAAAATTGAAAAGTAAGACGCTTGAAATTCGTCCATAATATTGTTGTCTAGAATCTTTGACGTCTAATAATATCAATAATTTGTCCATTGTTACCTAAAACCAAAAAGAAAAACAAAAATTCAACTTACCCCTGCTGGATCATATGCCAAAGAAAATAATGCCTCCAGAAACGGATCAATTATCGACACAAACGCCTCATTCTGTACCAGTAGAATGCAATTTATTGTAGTTATCGCCAATGTCCTCAATTCAACAGACTCTGATTGAAAAAACGGCAAAATTTTCCCAACCAAGGTACTGACCTCTTCAAAGATCAATCGGTCCGCCGAATCTTCACATATCTTTTGTAACGAACTCAAGGCACCCTAAAAAATAGTTTGATAAAAATGGAAAGACTTTATTTTATCTGTAAAATGCAAAACTTTTTCCATAAATACTAATTTTGAGCCAGTTTAGATCAAAAAGTATATTATCCATCCCATCATATCCCTGAACTCACTTCAACCTGCGTTTTATTATCCGAATTTAGCATTTCACATAAAGTTGGCAGTAACTCGGGCCAGTTATGACATCCTTCATGACAAAATATCGTTGTTATTATTATCCCCACTGTGGCACGAAGTAGAGGCGATTCATCGGCAATAGCAGCGAAACAGTTCCGTTTAAGATAGAGTTTGATATGTAGTGGAATTTGTGGCCAATGTAGACGTATAGCATTCTTTAGTAGCAACGCACTCAATGCCCTTTGGCTCACCTAAACGTAGAATACCAAAAAGTATTGTAAAAACTTACTTCAGCTTGTTTTTGTTCACCGAGAACGTAACATAGGTAGCAATAGAACTCTGGTAAACTGTTTAGCGCATCCAAACTCTAAAAATACCAAAAACTCATTAGAATCCGTCTTATACTCATTGCTTACCTTCTGAACTTGCTGTTGGACATTATTATCAGAAGATTGTGAATGTTGCAGTAATTGAACGATCTAAAACAAGAATATAATCTATTCTAAAATTGATACCTGTTCCAATTCTGGCTGTGACGGTTGCCAATTCCATTCTCCTTGTGTCGAACTTGCTTGTTGCATTACTTTGATTGTACGAAGACCTTGAACCGAAAGGTACACTTATTTTTCTTTTTCTAAGACACACAATGCCAGAGACTTTGCGCTTATGCGTTTTCGTGTCGGGACGGCAACAAAGTAGTAATGTTAACGTTTCAAGGACGTTTTTACGAATTATAATTAATGCATTTTATAAATCTTGTCATCAAGTTTATATTTATGACTTTTTAACAAAGATTAAACTGCTGGAAACATTGAATAATTGCTAAATTTTATAAATGGGTATGTGAGACGGTAAAACCACTGTAACTTCACATTTACGGTATATTTCAAAAATGTGTTTAAAAAATTAGATTTCTAATAAAATGAGCTACAATCACACAAATTTTTATAACTTTAACTGTATTTTAAATGAAGTTATGTTCGAAATAAGCTCAACTTTTTGAATATTGCACCGTATTTTTGAAATTTCAAAGTTAAAAGTAAAAAATTCGAGCCAAAGTATTAAATATTAACTTCTAAATCATAGCCAAGTTTATGCTACTGTTTACTATAATTTATGTCAGATGGTTGAACAACACTGAAGCGTGCGATTCCAGACGATGACGGGCTTGTTCCTCATTCCGATTTGATCTCCAAGCCTCCATTATCTCCGGCGTATCTTTTTCGAATTCGCTCACTCTGTGAAGATGCTTTCGGCGGACGTGGCGAATACTTTCACTCAACAAGAATTGGACTGGCTTCACAAATTCACCGTCCAAACCGGCCTTACAATAAAAGGGAATCGGGCTGGCTATGTTAATGAGTATAATGTGTTGAGGTGGTGTCACGCTTATCCGGATGATTTTGATGTGGCTGTGAAGAAGTTTCAACGTCATCTGAACATTAGAAAGCTGTTGTTTTTGGACATTATTAAAGATGATGATATGAGTATTGTGGATTGTGTTATCGATGAGTTGGCTGAGCATTATGCGCCTATGCATTACATTGGCAATGTAGGTTTAGATGGCTGTAAATTGGGAAAGAAGAGGATGATTTGAATAAAACTTTGTGAGCAGCTTTCTTATATTATTTTTTGCAAGTATGCAAAGTTTCAGAAAAATTGAAAAAAAAATTTATCTTGGTCCCCCCTGTTGATCTAAAATTTATCTTTGAAAATATTTTTTTTAATTTTTCAGCTTTCAATAACCTCTGCAGAGCTCTGTAGCATTTTCTGTAAACTTTTTTTTTTTATTTTAGGTTTAAAAATCTAAAAACAATATAAAAAATCTAATTTCAGGCCGGTGCGGACGACCTGCGGCCGGTGTTTCTCGAACAAAACGGTCAATTTGACATTCAATCAATGATGGCACAAATCAGAATTTCAGCCTTTATGATGAGTAGGTTCAGGCTGATGGAGAGGATTCTACACAGAGTACGAGATGCTGAAGAAAGAACTGGTGAACTCAGTAGTGCTATATTGTTATGGGACTTGAAGGGGCTGGTTTTTCATACCAATTTGATACAGTTTTTGACTGGTAAGTTGGGGACGAAAAATTTAGAAAAATGTTACTTTAAGGTACAATTTTCAAATTTTTGTAAAATTTTTATTTTTTAAAAATTTCACATTTTTGCAAAATATTATGGGCCAACACTTAAAAATATGAAATTTCACATCTCTTCAGGTCCTTTTCGTATCATGTGGGGCACATTAATGGAGCAATACCCATATATGTTCAGCAAGTTCATTTTAATTAATGCTCCCAGCTTCATGAATGTCATATACAACGCGTGCTCAGGGTTCATTCCGGCTGAATATAGAGTAAGACAACAGTTTTTGGATCATTAGTATCAATTTTAAGATGAAACTTTAAAAATTTTTTTTAAAAATGAGATTTCCGTGGGATGGCTGACTGCACCGTGCAATTTTAAAACTTTTTTAAATTCCCATATTACCTCAAATTTTTTGAAATTTTGGATGTTATTTCACAAATATTGTTTTATAAAACTAATCAAATTTTATTTTTTGTTATTTGAAAATGACGCTATACTAATTTAAAACTTGACTGCACAGTGCAGTCGCCAAATTTAAGAAAACTGCACCGTGCAACATCCAAATTTAATAAAACTGCACGGTGCAACACTTAAATTTCAAAAAAATTATTTCAAGTCGTAGGTCGGCCCTTTTCTCTTAGAAATCAATGAAATTGGTGTTGCCTAGGGGTGTTAAGGCGAGTCTCCCTTAGCTTGTAGAGACAGCATGGCTATCATAAATTAATTTGAACATGGTGGGTAACAATTTTGAGCATGGTGGCTAACAGACTGAGGAAGAGTGAGATTCGATATAAAGTCAATAACGTATAAGTCGTGTCATAACATGTATTAATGTACCGCACCGATGAAATCATTAATGAAAAATTTATTTATCGAAAGTTAAAACGTTAATGAAAAACAAATAAGAGGCAAACAAAACAACACCCACAACATACGACCTTAACGTTGACGGTTAGTGGGCAGGCGCTTCACCTGCCTAAAATTGGGTGCTTCCAGATTGAAGGAGAATCTCCAATCAAAAAATTCATGAGCCGGGTGATGGCCACATTGAGTCGACTGTCGTTTTTTAAGAAACCATCAAGTTCTGGCCGTACTGTGAGTATGATCGCCAGATCGTACTCGCGGCCCTGTAAACTATCTATACTTACGATTGATACTTTCATCATTGGGTTGGCCGCCAACCGGGTCTAAAGACGGTGAAGCAGATTGATTTTGGCAGCGGCATAGGCAGTGATGTATGCGACCGCGAACGTCCCAGAAACCACCTCCGGGATTGTCAATAACTCCTCACCGAAGAAGTCGAGGGCGACTCTGATTTGGCCCAAATTTGTCTTGCTTGGCCTGACCGTCGTTGCAGTCTACGAGCAATGCAAAATGTTTAATGGTTGCTTCGTGTGCAAGGCCTCTTCCAGGCGCGCCGGGAACACTCGAGGTCCCACGTGTTGTAGCTGACCGTGGTATACAGTCTGGCTGATAATATCAGCCAGCTCCGCGGTGAACCGATACGTGAATCTCAGCGGAAGTTGACTGACTCTCGTGTTACGTAGGAAATTCGTCAATATCGGCATTTGCCCAAACTGTTGAAGTAGCTGCAGTTCGCCGTCCGACGACGGAGTCAGTTGACACGGGTCTCCTACAACCAACATCCTACTAATGCTTAATGAACTCGTCGCCAAGGCGGTGGAGGTGAAATACCTCCCTCGTCTACAAGAAGTAGCTGCACTGGTAACTGATGCTTTGCCAGTACGGGAATGATCAGTGACGTAGTAGCCAAGACATTGGTAGAGTCGGTCCCGATAAGTCCGAGGGTCAGCATTCGGATCAACCGCCTACGAGCAAACTTGTGGATGCATACTTGCTTGTTTTAGCCAACGACCCGGCTTTCCTTCCAGAGGCTGTACTTCGTCCGCTGTGGGTAGAACGTTGATGGCCGAATGAGTGAAGAACCGTTCGATGACGCCATTTGCCGCATTAAGTGCCAAGTCGACCTCCGAACGTCACCACAGTACCCTGGCTGGTAGAACAGAGCGTTTCGAAAGCGCTTCTCCACCGCAGAATTGGATTTTGCGATTGCTACCGATAAGGTAGCGACGCCGGACGCATACATCTCTTCCAGAATTACGCCCATCAAAAACGTCTTGCCAGATCCCGCGGGGGCTTTGGCTACCAGTGTAGTCTGGTCAAGTGTCAACGCTTCAGCAAAGGCCTTATGGGAGCTGCTAGAAGGCCCAGTCCAACTCCCAAAACCTATCCTAAAACTTGTCCCTAAAAACCTCAACCTTCTTCCCTCTAGACTCTGAATCTGACCTCCGAAAAACGCTTGGGTCCTCGTACCCTTTCTTCACGCCCTGATCGTCATCACTGATGCGCACCTAAAATAAGAGCGTATCTTCTTCCCCGAAGACCTTCGTGGTGTCTGGCCACGAATACCCCTTCCACTTAAACAGCCCCTCGTCAGGCGCTAGGTCGACCTCGAGTGATCGGCACCGGCGCTTTAAATAGGCCGTTATTGTAACGGACTGTGGCCAGCCCACAACCTGCCCGATTTGGCCGCCTTCTTCTCACCGAAGCTCTCTGCCTTCGTCTTATCGAAGAGGGCGCAGACGACTGCAGAAGGCGGTCAAATCCCAAGGCCCCGTAGTTTACTGTACGACAATTAAAAACCTTTTAAAACCTCACTTTCAGAAGAAAATCCACGTTCTAAACACCTCCCCTGATGACTATAGTGAACTGCACAAACATATAGCAATAAGTCATTTGCCAAAAGAATACCAAGGTCATGTTGATGTTCTACTACCATCTCCTAAAAAATGTGAAGTCGCTCCGATTCCGCACCCTGAGGTTTTGTTGAGTGAAGTCAGCATTCCGGCTGGTGAGTTAGGCTTAAATTTAGTTAAAATTTAGATTAACATAATTTTATTTAATCGACTGAAGCGGTTTTAAGCCTAAAAATTTTAAAAAAGTTTAAAATTTTTAAATTTAGCGCTATTTTGGCATTGTGTTGCAAGTTATCTTTTATGTAAAAAAACTTAATTTTTAAATCCTCAAGGCTTCGTTAAATCAAAGCTTTAAATTTGTAGCCTTTTATTAGTAAAAAAGGTCTAAAATGCCGAAAATGGCGCTAAAATCATAATTTTGAATTTGAAAATTAATTTTTAAGCCTATCAAAACCAACTTCAAACAAAATAACTTTTAGGAGGGGTAAAAATAGAAACCTTCTATCTAACCCAAGCCCAACAATTGGAATTCTTCATGAAACACACCAAGGAGTTCACCATGAACATCTTCTTCCACCCTAGTAAAAAGTCGATTTCTGATCATAAATCAGAAGTCGATGAGATGCTAGAAGTGTTTGCCGGCTGTGAACGACCACCTTTGGCTGCTCTCGACTCATGGCCATGGAAAATACCCTATACTGGGTTTTATCACATTATCTATGGGAATGAAAAGGCCTGGTTCATGAGTGTTTCTTTGGAATATCAAATCTTTGAGGTTCATCAGAATGGCAATAAGGTTAAAGTTAACCCAATTAAGGCATGATTTTGTTTATATTGAGGATTTAAATTATGGGTTTAAACCATAAATTATTTATTTCCTGGACTGGAATAGTATTTTATAATATTTTCTTACTTTGCGATGTAGAGGAGTATGGTTAACATCCTATAACTCTAAGAGGAAAATTAATTTCCAAAGTTTATTTTTTTCATTACTTAACTAAATAAATCAGCTATGCTTTCGTAAATTTCCAAAAAAATTACCTCTTTTCTAAAAAAAGTCATGATTAAAACAATATTCACCATCAATAAATTAATCTATACCTAAACTAAAATATTAAAAACGGCTAAGACAACACAGTTAGATCAATTTTAATACTTAAAATAAATATATTATCACAGTCTTTACATACCACAAGAATATTACTCGTTTTTCTTCACTTCTTCAGGTTTAATCTCTGCCGGCTCTTCAGTTTTAGCAATATTCTCGTCTTCAGCACAACAATCTCCAGTTGCTTTGGCTTTTCGATTTTTCTTCAGATCCAATGGACAAGTTGGATACAACCAAGCATCAAGTTTGGTCTTCCAAGCTTGTGGAACAAACCTCAAGATCAGGGGTTGGATAAAGCGGACGTAGATCACCACCAACACGGGCAATATAAAACATGGCACACAAACCATCCTAAAAACAAAAAATTAATGTTTAAAAAGTTACCTTAAAGTCTTCTTATGCTGTGTACAGCTTATCAAAATTAAAAGTCAACTCGACAAGTTGTTATAAACTTTTAATATCTAAAAATCAATGTTTCAAGTTAAAACACGCGCACAATCGACCAAAAACAACTATAACAACAAACTAGTAAATCTAAAACAATATAAAACATTTATTTTAATAAAATAAACTTAATTTTACAACAATAACAACGGTAAATTGTAAAAGAACATCAAAACTACTTATTTTCAATAAATTTACCGAGGAAATAATTTTTTCTGCGAACTGCGAAAAGACACTTTGCAGCCTGCGTACGGCATTTTATACAATGGAACGTATACAAGTTGTAAAGAATTTGCAAATGAAACCAGAGATGAATCTATATGTCGTTAAAAATGTAACAATGACTGCTTTTATTTTGTAAAATACGTTGTTTGTTGACATAGTAATTTTATGTTATTTTAGACATTTTTCTAAAAATAATTCGGCTCATGACTCCCAAACATCTGTAACCTTCCAGACATGTCCATAAATAATTTTTGACTCAAAAAATTGTCAAAAATTTGCTAATACGTTTTGTGAATAAATAATAAAATTGCAATGGCTTCTTACGGGTGGCATGCTTTACTATGTTATTTTATAATAGTGTGCTGGTATTACTGTATATGAAGCAGTAAAAAAAGTATTGCAAAAACAATGTTTTTAGCTGTACTTGGCTTAAAATAACTGTATTTGAAATCATTTACGTAAGACATAGATACGTCAAATTTTCTTTATTTTATCGCACAGTGTAAACGAGAAATTTCAAAATGTCATTTAAAGATAATTTCAAATTTTTTAAAAAAGTTTTTAAAAAATATTAAAATTAGAGATTAAACCTTTTACTTTTAGCAAAAAAACTTTTTTTAATAGTCATTTTTAGCGGACTGTGCAATTTTTCATTTTTTACTTTGCACGGTGCAAACAAAAAAGTTTAAAAGTGCACTGTGAAGATAAAATTGTAATTTTTGTAATTATTTTTTTAAAAAATCAAAATTTAAAGTAAAATACGCATTGTAAAAATTTAGGTGGGTTGAAAGCTGTTATTTAACTGAAATATGATTTTTAAAATTTTTTAAACTGCACCGTGCAAAAAACGCAAAAAAAATTTTAAACGTCATAAATTCGTGCTTCGTATTTTACCAAAACAAATGTTCAAAACGATAAAAAAGATTTATTACTCGAGAAATAATATATTATACAGCCTTGTGGGTGTCCACATGTTACAATAGCATTTAGGTATATATGGAGATCGTTGTTTACAGTGAGTGTGGAATGTCGACTCTCAGTATCGTCTTAGGTTGATCAACGCCCGCATCATACTCATCGCGTTCAATTTGCGTGTATTTGTGGGCTCTGCAAAGGCTGAATATACGGTATCGCTTTCGTCGCGGGTTACTGTACCTTTTAGTTGTCGTTTCACGTTGGCCATGGATCGTATGTCGTCGGTGGGGATTTCAATTATCATGGGTATTGGCTGGTCTGAGTAGATGGGACTGCAGAAGGCGGACAACGTAAGGGATAGAAGGAATATCATGAACAACATCTGTGACTGCCTCATCTTCTGAAAATCGTAAAATTAAAAAAATTAAAATTCCTTAAAATACGCGGAAAAAAATTAAGTCTTCATAAGAACCACAAAGATTTATAGTTTATATTAGCATAAGTCGACTTTATAAAAAAATCAATGTTTGAATTTCAAATTTTCCGCCATTTTGGCATTCTGTTCCTAACTTATTACTAAGCTCTTAGAAGCTCAAAAACTCATAAAAAGTCTAAATGCCTTGTTTTAAGTAGTTTTAGTGCTAAAAACCCAAAAAACTATCTTGCAACAGAATGCCAAAACCCCGCAAACACAAAAATTTTTTTTTTCGAAATTTGCAAAACTTGAAGGTCTATAAAAAGTAGTTAAAACATCTTGTTACAATTAGTTTTAGTATTCAAAGAATTAAAAAAAAACGCATGAAACAGAATGCCAAAGCCCCGCCAATTTTAAAAAATTTCAAAAACTCGCGAAATTTGAAAATCTTTTTAGCCATTACGTTGTAGCTAAAAACTAGTGACATTTTGGTTTATTCTCTAACATTATATTTACGTTTTGAGTCATTATATACTACAATATGATATTATACTACCTACATGTTGGTAGTAACAAAACATGGTAAAGAACAACAAAAACAGTAAATAAATAAACATGAAAACGTAAAAATACAAGTGATAATAACATTCATTTTCTGCCGCTTTACTAAATGTAAGTCTTCGTATCATAGACCACAAAGTAAATTATTAAATCGTCATAATAACTTGTATAAAAAGTGATGAGCTAGTCTATTATAGCGATATAAAGTTCAGTAGCTTACATACAACGTACTAGAATGATATATGAACTAATAGTAAGGTTTGTTATCATCGTCTATGAATAAAATAATGTGCTTTGATACAGTAGACTGAGTGTGAGTTCAGCCGACCTTTTAGAAAAAATAACCAAAAAAATACTTAATAACTTTAAGTCATCCTTTTGTAGACAATAACTTTAAAATTAAGTCATCATTCCGATGACAATATGGATGAAATAATGCTTGCCAAAGATGAAAAATACGGATTTTAAGCTTGAAAAGCGTAAAACTTGATCTTTTTAGGTTTTGAGTATTGAAAACTAAAAAAAATTCAAAAAATTTTTAAAAAAATTATATTCTTACTCCTCCTCTCCGAAAACAAAATCATCCTGCCCAGTAGTGATTAAAAGATATCAGAAACAATTTTTTTTACTATGCTATGATTGTGTTAAGAAGCACAGACTTATGTAAACAAACTGTGATTTGAAGATTTTTTGAATATAAAGGGTTCAATTTTGCAAACAGTGTTCAAAAAAGTATAATATTATATTAACAATTACACAAAGACAATTTGATACTAGATGTTTACAAAAAACGGCCAACATAACCTATACCAAACCATTATTTGATGACAGGTTTAAAAGTGCAAAACCATATCTTTCTTCTTCTCTGTAATTTGTTACTGTACTGCCATCTCTTGCCTCATCAACACTTCTTTTTTAAACATTTACCCTGTCCTCCCTCCTCCTCCCTGTATTATAAATCACCATATCCCCCAAAACTTGTAAAACTATTATAGTTTTACAAGTCGCTAGCTACCTAAAACTTAAAGACCATATACTATCTTAAAAATGCTCAGTTAATTTCAAAACACTTTAATGTGTACTCAATATACTAGTATTTGACCATCCAAGACATACGTAATATTGATATACATAAATATATATTTATAATAAGTCAAAAACACTATAAACCAATTGTGAACATGACAAGTACACGCACTATACATCTATACATCAGTAAGTTCAAATATATTAATAAAAACATAATCATGACTTACTGCTGGATATACGTATATATATACATACATATACATGGATATATATACATAGATATCCATATTTATACATACATACTATATATCTCGTCAGTTTAATGATAAGAGGGTACATACAGTTATCTTTTGAAAAAAAATTTACAAAAAGCACCTATACACAAGTGTAAATAAAAATATGGAAATTACGTTACATCAAACACCTACACTTTATATTGTCATTGTTTATCGTATAGACTTGCGTAACTTCCACTACAATGTAGGGCTTCACTTGTCACGTATGCATACGGAACTATATTGTAGTTGGAAAGCCCAAGCTTAAACTAGTCATATACTCACTGACTAGCGTAAGACAAAAATATGTTTTTGGTAAAAAAGTAAGTTGTAATTTGCTGCAAACTTTGTCTATGATAAAGATTTAAATAGTGTTAAGTATAGAGTAGAAATAGTAGTACAAATTTCAACTTCAAAACACATGTACTTAAGCTTAAATTCATGGTTTTAAAATTAGCCCGTGCCCTAGCCCAGAGCCCTAGCCCAGAGCCTTAGTCCAGAGACTTAACCCAGAGCCCTAGCTCAAAGCCTTAGCTTAAAGCTAGTCCAGCACTCTAGCTCCAAACCCTAGTCTTACAAATATTGTTAGACTTGCCTTGGCTTTCAGCTAGTGTTACCCAAAACCCAGCCTTAAATTTGTCCTGGCACTGAGCTAGTGTTATCCAAGCTCTGCCTTGGCTGAAAGATAGTCTTAACCAAGCTTTTTCCTGACATTGCCCGAGCTCTATCTTGGCTCTAAGCTAGCCTTATCAAATTTTTTTTCCTGGCTCTGAGTTAGTTTTACTCAAGCCCTACCTAGTCATGCCCCCTTTACTTATATTATTTATCTTTATCATATATCTTTATCATGCACTTTACCATTCCTAACACACAAAATAAACAACAACCTGCCAATACCCATGGTACGACCTTTAAAAGTCCTATTTTTACAAAAAAATATTTACATTTTGTAATTGACATTTCAAAAGTTTCTAATCAACTTTTGCATAACATATCATTAGCTACAAAGTCACATACACATTCTTAAAAATACCACAAGTTCTTGGTAAACATAGTTATTTCAATCGAGTACATTGCACCTAATCTTAATTTTAAAAAACTTGACATTCACTTCCAAAATACCTAAAAATAAGCTATCATACTGTTAAAAAAACCTTTTTGATTGTGTTTTAGTACTGTTAAAGACTAACTGGTACGAATAGTATAATACTATTTAAACACAACTTGTATCATACTATTTTTTACGTGCTATGTAGTATTTTTCTTATACTACGCAGTATTATTTCAATAAGTACTATGTAGTACCATTATAATAAGTGCTATATAGCACTATACTAATATGTGCTATATAGTACTTTAGTAATACGTGCTATAAAATACGCTTTAAGCTTGTACTATATAGTACTATTATAACAAGTGCTATATAGTACTATTTTTAAAAAACGTGATATTGTACTATTTTTGTACGTGCAATATGGTACTAGTCTAATAAGTAGTATGCGTACTAAAAACTTGTTTTTTACTATGTATTATATAGTACCATTTTTTCAAGTTCCAATATTAGCTGTGTATAATAAAACTCAATTTAACTTAACATCAAAGCAACATCCAAACTTTCTTCTAAATACCACCATATGCATATATTAACCATAGCAATCAAACCCAACATGCCCATGGAGCTACACAATTTTTCAACCTGCCAAAAACTACTGTAAAACGCACCTGCTCATAAATAAACGTGCAGGTGTAACTCTAACATTTTGTGCATACAAATGAATCCGAGAGGACTGAAGATGACAGACAATAAATGACATGAGATAATGTCATTGTCATCATAATTTGCATTACAAATACAACTTTAAAGTGGCAATCTAATGAATAAAAGGCAGGAATCAATTAGTATTGTAGGTATAGACTTTTGATGTAAGGCAAGGCAAAGGCAAGACAAAAGTAAAGCAAAAGTAAGGCAAAAGCAAGGCAAAGGCACCCCAAGACAAGCCCTAGGCAAATTCAAGACAAGCCCAAAGCAAGCCCACGACAAGCCCAGGACAAGTCCAAGGCAAGCCCAAGACAAGCCCAAGGCAAGCCCAACACAAGCCTACACCAACTCCAAGGCAAGCCCAAGACAAGCCCGAGGTAAGCCTAAAGCAAGCCTGAGGCAAAACAATTACTAAGTTCTATTAGCTATGCAAGGCAATGACTATAGTAGTTGACTCAAAACCTTCAGACAATACAAAAGACAATTATTGTATGAATTGTCATTTCAAAGTTGAATTAAGCAGTTTGGAAGAAGTGTCTAAGTACCCCTCCCACTGTCTATCATGTCATGCCAAAACAAAGCGACGTATTCCAAGAACCAATACCTCAAGAAGCTACCGTAAACACTTATTAAAATACTGAATATCATTATTGGTGTAGACTTTACAAGTCGATTTGCAAGTTTACACGTAGCTTTTATTGCTTTAGGGATGGGATACGTAATATACAATGAAAGTAGACTTAGTAGTCTTTGTCTAGTACTGAAATACTTAAAATTGATTTTTTTGTACTATATAGCACGTACTGAAAGATAAAGACTAAGAGCTTCAAAAAACGAAATTTTGAAAAACACATAAAACACCTTCTAAAACAATTTTTGAGGTATGCCCTACCATTTAAAAACAAAGGTTCTCATCCCTAGGTACTGCACAGTACGTACTCTAACTCTACTGTATATATGTTTGGCATAGTGTCAAATGAATGTAGTACCTTCCCAAGATACGTAAATGCTCATGTTTACCCAACGCCGCCATTTTTGAACGACAAAACAAATGTAAAATCAACAAAATGCGTTGTAGCTTGCTTGCCCTACGTTGACATTATACTATGTCAATATGTTTTACATAGGAAAATGTGCATAACTTATTGCTACAATAATGTCGTTTTACATCAAACTGCAAAGGCTAAGCTCTAATGCTAAAGCTAGGGCCCTGAAATAAGGCTCTGTGCTAGAGCTCTAGGCTAGAACCCTAGACTTAGCCTAGGCCTACTAGAACAAACTACCGTAAAAAACCCCAAGCTTGTAAATGTTGTCATCTATAAAGTATAACATATTAACTATGA